TGCATCGGGCTGTTGAAAAACAGATTCCGGTGTCTGCAAAGGCACCGGGCTCTGTATTACCACCCTTCAACAGCCACCGCCATTATTTCGGCATGTGCAGTGCTCCACTACATCTGCCTTGCATCGAGCGAGCCAGAACCGGAGTCAGACTCCGACCCTGAAGAGTCAGAGTTGGAGTCTGAGCCGAGCTCGGACGGTTCTGAGCCGAGCTCGGAGAGGTCAGCGTCGGCTCCCGAGAGGCTGGCTCCTGCCGGCCCTCCGGTCGGCCTTCCGGTCGGCCTCTCGGACAGGGGGACGGCTCTGAGGCAGCGCCTTGTCGCCCGGTTCGGAACCCGCCGCAGACGTGCCCGTGCGGAGCGCCACAGGCAAGGGGTCCGCCGCCACGACGGTAGTCCCGACCACCAGGGACTCCGTCGGGAAGCCCCTCAGCGCCCTCGCTGCGGTGGTGCCCAGCACGGACGCCGCCAGCGACAGGGAACCTCTCGCCACCACGACTGAGGTCCTGACCACCAAGGACCCCGTCACATTCTTGCCCTCAGTGAAGCCCTCCCCGTGGAAGCCGTAAAGTGCACACTTCGCTTCCTGCTCCACAGTCATGGCCGTCCACAAGCTACATACTCTCTTCAGCTCCTACACCTTGTGAAGTTCGTCGCACAGCCAGCGTGCTGCCTCCGGATACGTGTCGAGTGCATCGCGGTGAAATCGATACAGCCTTTTTTTCATTTTTATGAGCAGAAGGCACGAGACGCAGTCGACAGTGACAGAAAAGGTTCGGAGGTTTAGTTGCCAGACCAACAGGTCATCTGAATTGCCCCTGCAAAGAACTCAGAAGTAATTTAGACTACCTCTAGAAAGAAATGCTTGCTTTTGCAGAGATTGCTTTCTTAGTTGCTGATTGAACCAGGGATATTGTTGTCATGGACATTGTTTCATTTTACAAATGCTTCAAAGCGTCTTGCCTTCTGCTCCATTTTATTATCTCTTTTATGGTACTTCATCAAAGTTAGGTGATTGTGTTATCTCAAGACAGTGCACATGTAGTTTGTTTTGAAAATTGCTTTATTTCTTAAAGAAAAACCTGTGACTTCATGAATAAAAGTGTGATAACATGGAATGTAATATTTCATTCTTGGAAGTAAAACTGAGCATCGACTGGAACCATGTAAGCAATTGGGCAATCTTAAGTATATATCACATATATCTTGTTGAACACTCTGGTCTTATTTGAGCACAATAGTTAAATTTCGAAAGGAAAAAAAAAATATATATATTCTCTGACTAGCATAACACCATATAAACACTGGACCACTTTGAAAGAATTATCACAGATGTTGCGCCAAACATTCTTATTTGAGCACAGCAATAGCAAGTTCTCGAAAGATAAAAAAAATTGTTTCTGACTAAAGCATCCGTCACTCGCGCGCTCCCCGTTGGTTCCGCCGACCCCTCCGCTGCCCCCGGCACACCCGGCTCCTCGTGGTTCGACATTTTGGTTTGAAGAAGGCGCGTAGCGCACATCCTGCATAATATTGGAACAACTTTCTCTCCAATTAATTCTTAAATTTATTGCAAAAGGGTACAAAAAAGCGGTTTGTTTTAACAACGCCCAAAAGGTTTTGATTGTTTTTCAATACTTTTACCTGTACTAGAACAGATGCGACGGCCAGCGACGCACAGGATTGGTTGCCGTTCCTTCGCTAAACGCAGGAACTGCTCCCCGCGTCGTAGTAAATCGGTAAATCCTACCCCGTATCCCGCGCGTAGGGACGCCTCAGGGAATGCGTAGCTACTTCCGCTCGTCGGTGGTTGGCTCCGGACGTCGCTGAAACGGGTGACGGGTGTCAAGTTTGCGATGACGTAGCGGCGTCAAAGTGGGCAGAGCCGTCACGTGAGTGTTGCTAGGATACGCTCCTCCTTTGCATTACGTCACTTCCATGTACCTTTTCTCAAATGTCCAACCTAGCGATCCAGGAACCCTCTGGGAGGAACCAAAAGTAAAAACAAAACAAAAATATACGTACGCGCACAAAAAATAAAATTAAAAAAGAAACAAAACAAAAACTTACGTCACTTCCGATTTGTGTTGTTTTGCTTGTTTTTGCTTTTTCTCTCAGCCAATAGGCGTTGCAACCTTACTGCGGCGAAACGCTCGTCTGGAAATGCCGAGAAACAGAAACTCAAGGTACTAAATGCTACCAAGATGGCCGCGTGCACAGTGCTGACAGACCACAGCAACCGGTCTAAAGTTTACTTTCGGAAATGCATTTCTACGGGAAAAAGCGGCTGCACTTTCTGTTTTCGCTTGAGTATAAGAGCAGACATTACGAATAACTATAATGTAATAAATAGTTTTTTGAAACATTTTTCAGGCACGTAATGAAAATATTGCATTTACGCTTTTGTGCATGGGGGCTTTATGTATCGAGCGAACGATGCCGACAGCCACACCTTCTGTGAACACAGGTTGCTTACAATGTAGCGCACTTTAACATCGGTCACTGACGAAAAAATAACGGAGTAACTAAAGCAAATACACTTTTACAATGTTAAAAAATGTATGTACATACTACACACTATTCGGTACGACAATGCGTGCCTGGAGCGCGCTTTCGATTACACCAAAAGTGGTCTCGAAGTGGCAACAAATGACGCCACAGAAGCCTGGTGGTTGGTCGTAGAAATGCTAACGAGAAGCTGCGAACGTCCCAGCTTCTGGTTGCGGAAACTTCCGTGGACTGTCACTAGAGAGCAGACTTGTACACGTTACTGAAAAAAAGGAACTGATTACAATTACAATTACTACAGTCAAAAAAGTAACCGATTACCGTTACTGATTACTGCCTCCCAGAAGTAATTGAACAATTACTGCAAAGTAATTGATTACTTTTCAAGTTACTTTCACGTTACTTCTTATTGCGATGACAGAAATACACAAATACACAGTAAAATATTGCGTACACAATTTTGTTTGGTTATTGTTCCCTTTTTTGTTTTCAGACCCGGACCTTGTCGTGTAGCTGACACGTCGACCTAAGGAACAAAGCCCACTAAAAAGTCAATAGCGAGTTCCCGCTTCCCGTCGACTTTATCAGCAATCTGCAACGAGATCCGGAACTCCCCAGCCAAGGCTCGTGGCGCGCTTGTAGAAGAGCGTGGTGTAAAAGAAAAAAGGATTTGCCGACTAATCCTAGTTTTATTTTTTTTAGATGTTAAAAAAATGTCAATCATTTTTGCTCCATGGCTGAGTGACTATGCTGATTTTTGTGAGAAAAAAGAATTGTGGGATGAAAAATGTAATTGGTAATTGTGTAATTGATTTTGTAATTGATTACAGAAAAAAGTAATTGAATTACTCCGAGCGTTACAGCTTGACAAATGTAATTGAAGCGTTACAAAATTACACTTAACTGTAATTGATTACAAGTAATCAATTACTTGTAACGCGTTACGTACAAGTCTGCTAGAGAGCGAGACCTGCAGTAGAACAGGCGTCTGCCATAATCACGGCAACTGTTGAAACTATGGTGCCTGGATTGCGTCTTTGACTGGTGTGTTTAGCGTCCCATCCCGCCCATACGTCAAAAGTGGTCCCAATGTGGCAACAAATGACGCGAGTGTCATGCTGTCGCCTGTCGCGATCCTGGCGGTTGGCCGTAGAAATGCTGGCGAAAAGCACGAGCGAACGCGAGTGTCGCTGTCGTCACGGCGTTCCTTTAGGCGTCCCAACTTTCGGCTTCTCTAGCTTCCGTGAACTGTCACAGTGGAAAGCGAAGTGCAGCAGAACAGGCGTCTGTCAATAATAGCACAACTGTTAAGACGCCGCCAGGGTCGCGATCGGCGACAACATGACACTTGTATGACGTCATCAGGCGGAAATCGAGGGACCACTTTTTTGGCCGCGGTAAACACACCAGTCGGAGACGCGTTCCAGGCACCATAGTTGAAACGCCACCAGGATCGCGACTGGCGACAACATGATACTTTTATGACGTCATCAGGAGAAAATCGAGGGAGCACTCTTTTGGACGCGGTAAACGCGGTAAACAGACCGGTCGGATACGCGTTCCAGGCACCATAGTGCGACCCAAATAACCCAAATAAGTTATAACCGAAGTGATCCATGTTGTTTTCCGGCGAAAAGACAGGCGCGTTTTTCCATAGGAATAATGCACAGGAACACCGCAAAAGCTGTTTGAAATGCTGCGGGAAAGACGCCCTCGGTACACGACGAAATTTGGGGAATGTATACTTTGAAAGAGTGAGGAAGTGCTAGGTGAGCTGGTTCAAAAACGACACTTGTAAATCATAATTAAAAAAAAAAAAAAAAATCCGGAATGAAAAGAGGGGGCAAACATAACACCGTCTCTAAACACAGCCGCAAAATTTATTTCCACACAATATTTTTTTTTTATAGAGGGCAACCCCACCCACACCGCTGACTCCAACAACCGTGAACCTCACAGTCAGCTGTGCGGATGGGGTTGCCCATGGGTTGCCCTCTATAAAAAGGATTGTGTGGAAATAAAATTTCCAGCTGTGTCTAGGGACGGTGTTGTGATTGTTCCCCTTTTTTCGTTCCTTGTCTTGAGCTATTTTTTTTTTTAGTACGATTGTTTACCAGTTGTACATTCCTAGAAAAATGTAGAGTTTAAGTACATACTCAGAGAATATACCTCAACTTCTAGTAAAGCAAAAGATTTCTAAACCTTAGTGAAGTAGTAGAATGCACTTTGCTGCGCATCAGTGCCCGGGTCTGCTACGAAATCGAAACCAAGCTCTAGTCACGCTTCTTTTGTTTATTTAATTAGTTAAAAAATTATTCAAAAATGATTTTATTTTTATCTAAAATGTGTAATATATTATTTGGACTTCAACATATATTGTCTCAATATCATTTTACCATTTCGCGTGTAAAACACAGAACACCCAGCGTTGCCAAAAACTAAACCTTAAGGTAACTAATAGCCAAGCCAAGAACACAAACAAAAGAACACACTTGACTGACTGCACCGGCTGAACGAACGCTGCATCCTACTTGATTTCTCAGTGGCTATTAATTAGTTGCTTTTGTGATCTATCGAGTGTAAGTAATATTCTTTCCACAACAGTGCCGTATGCCCTGTGGCGTCACTGTCTCGCTTGCGTCAAGTGCAATGGAACTCTACGTGTGTTCGCCTCGACCAGCAGCTCTTGGAGGATAGTCCAGTGGGTAAACCTTCGATCCTGTCTTTATAAACAGATCTGTTTCTTTCGATATCGTGCCAGAGTTCACATTTACCATTTCTCGAAATGTTTTGTACATGCGTATGTTAGGACTCGGCAGTCTTCGTTGCTCGCCAGCCTCGTACGAGCCTGTGCCTCTGCACCGCGATACTACGTCGTGTTATTTGGCGCGGTTTGCAAAGTCATTTTACGGTTCCGTGGATTTTTCGTTTGCAACGACTAAAAACTCTACGCTCGCTCCGCCGCACGCGCACGCCTTCCCCGTATAAAAGATTCGAAGTAAATAACCAAAATTAAGCGTCGAGGAACGCGCGTGCAAGATGTTCCATTTCATCATCATCAGAATCGGCGCCGCAGGCGTTCGAAGTATGGGCGATTTGCCTTTCTGTGGTGCCGCGGCTCTCCTGAGCGAAAATAAATATGTTTTAGGCTTTTGCTTTAGAACAGTTACTGCTGCAGCCGCACGCGGCTGCAGCAGTAACTGTTTCTAGGCCCGTAGCTCTCAAGTTTTGAGCAGCGCTCCATGCGAGCAAAATAGAATATTTGTGGCTCGCGTTTCGAACACGCGTCATTGCGCTTCCCCGCGGGCTCACGGAAGCTACGAAAGAAAGCAATACAAATAAGAACGCTGAAAGGAATGTTTCATGGGACGCTAAGGCCGCGAACTCATAATTTTTTTTTTTTTTATTTTAGTTTGTTAGACGTTTTTATTGCGCGTCTGCAGGTGCTGACAGATGCTTGCATTCGAACGTGGCACGAGCAAAATCGAATGTTGCAGTGTGGCGTGGATGGTGGAGCGTGCATAACCTGGGTTGTGTTCCAAATTTGACCTAAATGGATCAGAGTTACTCCCGCGGGTCGTGTCACGTGACAACACAGATTGAAAAACGCTGGATTTGGGTAGGTTTTAGAATGCCAAGGTGCAAAACCCTTACCTTGAAGTAAGATTCTGTAAATTTTTGAACACGGCCCTAGTCACGTCTTGCGTAAGTCTTGAGGACGCTCTCGTGCCCCCTGCCTCAGAGCAATTCTATAATAAAGCGCTGAAGAACGCACGTGCAAGATGTCATTTTTTTAGGCTTCTGTTTTAGAACAGTTACTGCTGCAGATATGACGGGTGAAACACCATTTCCTGCATTCTCCTTGATGCTACGGTAATTTAGTGATAGGTCTATTCGGTACATTAGTTATCAATAGGCACCATTTTCAAGATCGGTAGACTCTCAGGTAGATAATCAAGGTTTCTCAAAGATTTGCAGCTGTGCGACCCGTGTCAGCCATGTCTGTGCTCGCACCGCCCTCTCTTTGTCGTCGTTCCAAACGCTTGCGTGTCTAGTTTCCTTTCCTTCCGCTCTCCCAAGGTGGCGGTCCCGTCGCACGTGTCTAGTGTCTGGCTTTTCGGGGCGGGTCCAGGGGTTTCCCCAAGAATTGAAATTAGGGGGCGTGTCTAAATTTTTAACGGGTGTTTAGGGGGGTGGGACATTGAGAATAGAGGAGTCGTTGTGAGTTAAGGGAGTGCCTTCAGAAAAACAAGGGGGACGGACGGAATGCTGAAAACCGGAACCACGCTTGCACGACCCTTGGGCAAACAAAACCACGCAACCACGTGCAACGAGCAGCCGCACAGCGACACAGCCATTACGAAGTTACAAATTTGGGAGAGGGGAGCAAGTGGCACCGAGGGCCGAGACCTGGGGCGCCGGCGAGTCGAGCGAGTAGGCTGCTTGTGCAATCTCCGCCCAGTCGGGTCATGGTTTTGGTTTCAGAGGGAAGGAGAAATAAATAGAAATGAATATATAAAATAAATTGCATTTTATTTTCAAAATGCGGTGGAGACGTTTTGTTGAAATTATTGTTAGCAAACCAAGTTCAATATTAGTATTTCTGTATTAATGAGAGCCCCCCACCACCAAAGCGCTGCGACGCTATTTACAGTGCTGCTTATGGTGGCGATGCTAATGTCAACGCTGTGACCGGGAATTGAGCACGCTTCCCCAACGCCGCGGCGGCTTCACAGTTGTGGCTGACTGAAGGTGTGCCTAATGCGTGCGTCGTTGCGCACGTCACGTTGCAGCCATCTTGCTGAGTAAAGGTCTGGCCTAGTGCATGCACCAATGGGCATGTGGCGGCACAGCCAATGGGGAGGACGTGACGCCTAATCATGAGTGTATAAAATGAGCGTGCGGCCTCCTTCGCGTCACTCGCTCTTTGGATTTCATCGGTGCCATGTCTACTGGGATGGACTCTCGACGCTACGTCATGAGGCTCTTCAGATTTTCATCGATGCCGTCTTTGCATTAAAGAAAGAACTTTAATGCACGTCGCAAACATCTGCGAAAACATTTCGCCAAAGGGACTGTAATGCTTTGGCATTCCTACACATCAGCAATCTTAAGTGTCTCTGCCGAATTGTTTTTTGCTTGTTTAGGGTTTTTGTGTTTGCTGAGACAGCTGACGCGCTCCTCATTTGTGTCGTGAACGTAACAATAAAAGCGATAATTGGTTGCCTCATATAAACTTTTTGTAAGCACATCTGTAAACACGGTATGTGGCAAACACACGTGCTGGCACACAAACAGAAAACTGGCGGGCGACAAGGAGAACAGTGGGAATGTCCAGCTGGGTAACACAAACTGTAATCCGTTGTGCTAGGACACATCCATGCAATTAACTTGTGAGGACAGCCTACCGTTTTATGGTCTTGCTAGTTTTGTCCGTCACTTGTTTTAATCAAACTCCTAAACAAGCTTTCTTTTTTTTATTCTATTCAGTCTTGCTTGTGTTAGTATGGGCTTAAGCGCATATGTATGAGCAGGGATGATATTAAGTTTTCAATATTTTTCATTTGTACTTTTATATCCTACTCTTGCATCTTGAAATGGTTTTGTTTTCAACTTACGAAACTTTCTATTTGGGATGTTGCAAGTGTTTTGTTTTCATGAGGCTTAACTTGTGCTTCTTTTGTTGATTATGCCTTCTATTAGAAATCCATGAGAGGAACCAACCCAATACCAGGACAGTTCTCAATAGCTGCCATTCAGATAAATTGAAATTATGCTGTTTGCTTTTTAATGGTATAGGCTGGATTATATTTAAGGAAAGGGTATGTTTGGAAGTGGTTCTGGAATGTTACATGGGGATGCTTTTTCGTTCATATTTTTTTGTATTTAGAAAAACACGCCCGCACTTATAGCCTCAAGTTTTACCTGGTTGACCCGCACTAATATTTACTTATACTGCTACGAAATTAAGCTTTTGTGGCTCCTGAGCTACTTCAAAGCGGAGCTCTTGCTCCTCCAAAGTTGCTCTAAAGGGGCATCTTTGCTGCTTTCAGACTTGCTGCAAAAGGCTGAAGCTTGCTTCCACCCCTGGGACTGCTTTTTCACCTAACTCTCACTTGAAATTTAATTAAACTTCCTGGCTGACTTCGACGTAGCGTTTGTTTGAACGGCCACAGAAGTGTGTTCTGCCCTCACTTCCAGCTGTGCCCCTGAAGTCCTGGAGTTGCAGGATGGCTGGACCGTCTTTAGCTATGGACCCCCTAGCCCAGATCAACACTTATCGATCCTTCGTCTACATGCTGGAGGATCCTGCCGCAAGTGAGTGTCATTCTGCAGCCCAAACACTGTACCCTGGAAGAGCAAAAAAGAAAAAAAAAATTGTTCTAAACACCATTTTGATGTCAGCTCGATGGTGACTTCTGAGACATGGAATTAGTGGAAAAGGAAGGGGGGCAGAGGAGGAGGAGTTTGGAAACTCTGTGAAGTCGGCAACTAGGTAGTGTCTCCATTCTGGTGGTATGCAAAAAATCTGTTTGGTTACACTAAGTGTGTTTGGTAAAGTGTGGTGTGTCCTGATGATCTCAGAAATAATTTTCTTACCACTAAGTCCAGGATCATTGATAATGAAGAGTTTAATCAGGCTTTTGTTGTGCTATTTTTGACCCCACCCCTCTTACCTTCTTTACATTAGTCCATCTCGTCACCACGTGTGCAGGAAAAAACACTTTAAAAGCTCCTCTTGCTCTGCACAAATGATGCCTAACAAGAAATGAACATCACATCCAATTAAGAAATATGACATACAAAGCAAACTTTTGTTTTTGTCCTTCCTGCAGAGGACGAAAGTAAGCTGAAAGCAGTCCAGGAACTCAGCGAGGAACTGGAGGTATATCTTTCAGCGCTTTTCGGTTTTTGTGATCATTCATTGCCTAATACTCTGTGGTGAGGTTTCGCTTTTTTGAAGTGTTGCCTAGGGCTTCATGTCATAACCAAATATCTTTTTTGTGAAACATTTTGCTAAGGATAGCATTGATGAGAGTCACGTGAGATGCCTTCACTTTGCTGCAAAAAGGCTGGGAATGAAACCATATTTATTTTTTAAACACCTATTTCTTCGAGAATATGGAAGATGACATGCCATAGCAGCCAACATTGCATCACACTTTTTGGATGTCTGGGTCTAATGAAGCACCGTTGTTGTAGGTCTAGCCTGTCTTTAAAGAAACAATGACAGGGTATTTATGCTCACCAAGGTTTTTATTTGCATATGACCTATAAGAGTTCAGCTACCCAGAACACATTTTGTGGCTTGAAATTCTTTTCTTTTTGCTTGAAAACAGCCTGTTTTTTTTTACTTTTTTGAAAATATGCGTGACTCTGTAGCAAAATATTGATAGGGTTCTCTCCTGACACCATATTAAATATCCAGGCAAAAAATAAAAAAAAAAACCACTTGTGGGGCGTGTTAACGTCCCCTTACCTTATCACATGTTGTTAAAGAAGCTGCTGTTTCTTTTCTGGCTGGCTAGGAGCGCAATGTTCTAAGCATATTTTACGATTTCACTTTCTGGGATGCAGACAATAGTGACGTCAGTGCACTATCCGACGTTCCTGGACCATGCGATGCGCGTGTTCCTGCGCATCCTACAGGATGGCAAGCCGCAGTTCATTGCAGAGCACAACATGCAGGTAAGTCTTTTGTCATCTGGAGATGATTCCCTCTGATAAATATTAGGCAGCATTTACATTTGATTTGCATGTCAGTGATTGTAGGTAATGAACTTGTGACAAACACATTTTGTATAATTAAATGGTACCAGTGCTATGTGCAAGCATTGTAATTGGAGATCTGGAACACTGGAACTTAAGCTGTATTAAGATCATTGTAGTGAAGAATGTCAATGGGTTTGGACACCTTTTTTTTTAATTCTCTACTCTTATATAACACCAGGAAACTCTGGAATATAGCAGCTGTTCGAACTATTTTTTTATAACCTTTGTTTTTCACTAAGCAGCTGATTACCATTGATTTTTTAACTTTTGCTCCTTGTTTTTTTTTTGTAATAAGGATTTTGTGACAACTTCTCAACCAAGTATACCATGTCTAGGTAGCTCATTGAAGTGCTTGTGAGCACCCAAGATTAACCACCAACAATTCATTGCTTGTTTTTCGTGGAAGAATATGTCCGGTTCGTTTTGGAAACTCTGGGTCTGGAGACACTGATGCCTTTGTGTCATTCTTCAGCAACTGCGCAAGCTGATCCTGGAGATCATTCACCGCATCCCCACCAACGACCATCTGCGCCCCTACGTCAAGCAGGTCCTCAGCCTCATGTTTGAGCTGCTCAAGGTGAGGCTCCAGCAGATGTTTCCCTCGACAAAGAGGCGCATATACTTCATCTCACCTTACGATGGACTGCAGCCAAAGCTACAGGCTGGCCGGTGTAATCACGAGCAAGTATGTTGCTTTGACGTGCGTACCATCAGAGCAATATACCGCGAGGTTCCTGACTCGCTTGTGGTTGGACCAGGTGGTCTGTAGCTTTGGCCGTAATCCACCGCAGAGCGAGACGAAGTGTAGCTGTGACCTCTTGGGCCATATCCCCTGATTGAGAAACAAAGTTTCAAGTACAAGCTTCATACATTTGGGATTCTTTGTGAGAATTTCCTATTTAATTTTACGATTCCCCATACAGCCTCGCTTGAGTTGCCCGAGATTGCTTGAGAGTGATTGGTTATTGGAGCCATGAACCTCGCTCCTGTGACCAGTCGGGTTACGGGAGCCTGTAATTGGATGTGGGCAGCCAGCAATTGACATCGCCCAAGTGTTTCCGGACTACGTAGGCCCGTCCTCGCGAACTCTGGTAGATGCAAGGTTTCTGGGACGACTTGGAGGCATGGTGACCAGCAGACTAGAAACGCTGAACATCTTGCTGGCTCCATATTTTTTTCTAAGTCTGCATCTCGCACACTTGCAGATTGAGAATGAAGAAAACGTTCTGGTGTGTCTACGGATCATCATTGAGCTGCACAAGCAGTTCCGGCCACAGTTCAACCCAGAGGTGAGTGTGCATCCACTGGAATCGAACTGGAGTGCAGTGGTGCAGGCAGCATAGCGTAGTGTGTGATGTAGCTTACCTGGTTTATATTAGAGATTGTGAGTGGATTTGGCAGTTGAATGGGTTGAATATTGGTGCAAGAGAACATGCTCTACCACTGTTTGTACCTCAGATTTCATGTCAATGCAGTGGCACAGTCACTGTCACCGACTTCATGTGTCTACGCATTACAAACTTATACAACAACTTTTCTTCGATACATTGCCACATTTACTCTACTGTTGAGTTTGCAGAAATGAAGACATTGTGAATCAAGTGTCTTACGGTAGTAATAGAAATGTTACGGTAGTTAAAAGGTTTGTTTTTGCTGTAGCACTACCAAATATTTTCATTGTAAGTGCTCATGATATTGTAAAAAAGATGCACCTTGTGCGTTGCAGTCGCCTTTTTTTAACAGCTGCCATGAAATACTGCAGAAGCGCCCACTTCGTTCGAGTGCCCACTATTAACAATATCCAAACGTGGGAATTCTGCAAACTATACGTTAGTAAGCGCTCAATTTAACCGGACAAGTACCCACGTTTAGATTAACCCAGTTTTCACTGAAAGTGGGGGGGGGGGGGGGGCACTCCCCTGGTATTTTACAGTATATAATTTAAGAAAGTAAACGCTGACCGTAGTAATCCTCCAAAGCTTAATACGGTAAGAACTTTATTTGCTCTTATAAGGGTGGAGAGCATCAGAAGGTGTGACTTCACCGGTGCCCTGCTGGCCTCCCCCTCCTTCTGTCCTAGATTCAGCAGTTTCTCCAGTTTGTGAAGAGCATCTACAAGGAGCTTCCAAACCACCTGAACGCCATCTTCGAGCCCCGTCCGGCCCTGAAGGTGAAGGACATTACGGAGCTGAACTTGGAGAGCGTCTTGCAGGAGACCTTCACCCTCACCAACATACAGGTTGAGAAGAAGGCCGCCGATGGGAGCTGCGCCTCGGTGAGATGCAATGCTTGTAGTGGCACCTCGCTTCTGTGCCGCTTTTACTCGGGTGCCAAGAACGCAGGCAGACAGAGAAAGGACACCACAAAGCACATTGTGGTGCTTTGTGGTGTCATATCCATTCTTGCGTTCTCGGCGCTCTTAGCGTTCCATACTAGCCGAACTAACCATCTTACTTCTGTGCTGCTTTACTGCTATTAAAAAGATTTCCTGCACATGTAGCATTTACCATTACCGTATTTTCTTAACTATAGTTCACGCTTGTTGTATAGTCTGCAAAGGCACGCTTCAATTGGAAAGAAAGCTCTTCTTTCGATAGTCGTCCGCATGCAAAATATAATCCGCACGTAAAAAATTCTCATACACGGCACACTTTGACAAATGCCCACTTTATTAGCTCGAAAAGCTTGTGTCATGGTTCATAAATTATTATAAACACACTCTGTCATTCACAGTATCTGTCAGCGGAGGAACTCTCCCCGGTCGTGGCATTAATACTGTAGAGAAGTGCAGAAGCCTACAGGCCTTCTAAACAACGATTCACGTAACTAGAGAGTGATTGGAACATATTTATGCATCAGGAAAAACACTTTACGCGGGGATGAAGACTGTCAAAGAAAATTAGGAGCTCAAGGAACCCTCGGGGTATTCTGGGGTGTTCCTAGGAGCCCAGTTCGAGAACAGCAATCTAGAAAAACAAATCCTCGTATAATTTGCGCCTGTAGACAATCTGCATCACATCAAATTTTGACTTTTAGAAGTGAAAGCGTGGGTGCACGTTGTCTCCTCGGTGCAGTACAACGTGGTACCGAGGGCGGTGCTGTCGCTCAAGGTGCTAGCGGAGCTGCCGATCATTGTGGTGCTCATGTACCAGCTGTACAAGCAGAGCGTGCACGACGACGTGGCAGAGTTCATCCCCCTCATCCTCACCACCATCACCCTGCAGCCCCTCGCACAGCACAGGTGGGTGGTCACCAAGTCGGCTTCTTTTAGAGTACCGACACTCTCCGGTTGTCTCGCGGGAGTTGCCATTTTGTTGCCTAGTGCGGAGTGCAAGTTCGTCTGCTTCTTTTGCTGGGGTTGTGGTGACGTCAGAACGCCAAACTCTGATCAGAGCCCTCTGATCGGCTCTGATTGAAGTATAGTGGGTAGAACCAGAGCTCGTCATTCTGGCATCACCACAACCCCTGCAAAAGGAGCAAACAAACTTGTGCTCAGCATAGGTGTGATTGAAGAAATGTTACTTCCTGAGCTTTGGGTACAGTGCCAGGAAGCTCAGGGGATGTGTTTTGCTCTGTTGCGGACTTTATTCTTCTACATTTCTGAAGGAATTCTTGTGATTCCGTATGGAGCTTCAGACAACTGGCTGTAAAGATTTTTAAGCAATCAGATGGCTGAAATGTCGTTAGCCTGAAGCATAGCTGGAGACACTTGGCATGACTCGGTGGGTTCTGAAGCAGGCTTTTCATGAACCTGAAGTTTCCTCCCAAGTACCGTTTCAGAGGTTTCTCTTTCTTAGGAGAGGTGGTTGTCTAGCTTGTGTACATGCGAAGTTGGCTTTCTTCTTCCCTTGCATCAGGATGAGCCCAGCCTTCAACAAGGAGGTGTTTGTGGACTTCATGGCAGCCCAGATCAAGACCCTTTCTTTCCTGGCCTACATTGTGAAGATCTACCAGGTAATTAGGCCAGCTGTCACTGGAACACGCACGCACAGAGATAGAAACGTGTCAGTCTTATAACGGTGTTTGCTCACTTTGTCTTGCCTGCCTCCCAGGACATTGTGAATGCACACTCCAGCCAGCTTGCCCAAGGGATGTTGGGGCTGCTGGTGCTCTGCCCCCAAGAAGTGGCCCACTTGCGCAAGGAGCTCCTCATCGCTGCTCGACACATCCTGGCCACCGAACTGAGAAACAGTTGAGTCCCCTCTCTTGTAATGCATAGTACTACCCTTGTATTTCATGTGCGAGGACCCGTGGCGCATTGCCGTCACCGATTTGGCACGGATGGATGGCAGCATTCACTGCTTTACAGTGAGGCAATTATAGACCTTCGCAAAAAGAGCTCTCTGGCCGCCGCCATTTTGCAACTCGAGCGACCCCTATCAGCCAGAAATTTCTGCCACCCGCCTGAACTGTCAAAACCCGGTCAGCGTGACTCCCCACCTGCATTGTGCATTCGGAGTTCACTGGCTTTTCTTGAAAGTTTTTACTTTATTTGCCTGTTTAGGAAGGTTAACCATTTGTATTATCTCCCACTGTGAGAACCAGGGAACACCAGAGCTCGTAGCCTGCTCGGCCTTGGCAGGAAACAAACAAAGAGAGCGAACGTCCAGCAGCCCGCGACGCGGGTTCTTGGAAGATTATTTCCGTTGAGATAATCTCCAAAAAGCCTTCCCGGCTATGTTCCGGTCCGGGTCTTCGCGAAAAATAGCTGATAGGGTCTGGTCCGGAGTGTGGGGACGTGTCCGTTCATTTGCTTTGAAGCTGTGCAAAAAAGCAGCTCTCTTCTACATGCCCCCCAAAACACACCAGATTCCGTCCGATCGTCGTGAAGTGACTATCGTCGACACTGTATATTGGATATGCTGTGTTATTTGAGACCCCTCTCAAATCCTGTTCGAATAACGCGTCACCGTGGGGTACGTACAATATATGTTGTTTGATTGATCAGACTCGTTGAACGGTTCATGTTGTGGGCGGGGATGCAGTTCGGATATCCTGAGTGCTCAAATATTTTCGATGGTTAAGATCTTTGTAGATTGACACGGCTGAGTGTATAGTGCCGGGAAAAGCTCAGCATAAAATGTAACAATCATTCCAGTTGCATTTGTTCTGTCGAGCATGGACTCACCAAAACAGCTTTCATTTCTTTGTTTTTGTTCCCAAAAATAGTGCAATGCATTCTTAAAAACCGCAAAAAATTCTATTCTTCGTAGAACACAAAATAAAAAATAGAACACGGCAATTTATCCGCCACCACCGTCCGGAAGTGCGCCTAAACAGGCTGTGATAGCCCACTGACTAGAAAACCCCAGCGCAGTCGGGCAACACTGACGTACCCTCTCAAAACCAGGGATGCATGCTGTAAATAGCTTCGTTCGAGACTGTCGTTGGCAGGGACGGCGCCAGGCTTTTCTTAGTGAGGGGGCAGTAGGAAGGCGCACGGCATTTTTGGGGAGGCATGAGCTTTCGATCCGACTAAAAGAACAAACATCCAGGGACGATGACTTGGCACTTCGGGAGTTTTTAATAGAAATCAGCTCAGTTTATTTCATTATTTTACAACCTATGTACAACTCTGGTTAATGTAGCATTTCACCTGCAAAATATTCAGGCATGTTTACATTCCGCAATACTAAATAAGCACGCTCACGCTTGTCGTGACTCATCATCTGCTCTTTAGGCAGTCCCCTAAAACCGGAGCAAGTCAGCGATCATGTGGATGTAGTGACAATTCTCCCTTCTTTGCTGAATACGCCTGGCAAAGGTACACGGCGACTGATTTAGCCGCGCCACTTTTCTTCATCGCCTTGAAGGAAGCCGATATGTTTGGGACATCTTGCGTGCCGCACTGTTGGAGTGGCGTCGTAGTCCGCCTTCCTTCTGAAGAGCTTTCTTCCAGTTTCGATAGCCCTCTGTCAAAACGCAGCTCTTCCACTGTTTTCCTCCCTCCCTCCCTACCTCCCTCCCTCCCCCCTCTCTCTCTTTCTCTCCCCCCCCCAAATACAGAAACACTTTCAGCTTTCCTCCAACCTCTAGGGATAGTCCCTCGAAGGGACTCCGTGCCTGCCCCAGGGTCACTAATGATGGGAGCATGGCAGTTCTCGAACCACCAGGCTCACCAAAGTTGCTTCAAGGACCCCATAGAGACTTGAAATAGGCAGGATGACCTAGCTAGACACATCAAAGCCGCCCCTTGGGAACCCGCCAGTCGGCCCGAGCGTGTCAGGACTTTGGCAGATTTCCTCGGTCAGAACATGAACAGTGCCCTTGAGTTCCTTTGTCTGGCAGGTACGAAGCGACGGTGCAGTGCAGATGGGATTTCAAGTCTCTCCGAGTAATCATTTGGGTGAAGCTACTTTCAGGAAGTATTTCGAAAATACTTCCTGAAAGTAGAAGGAAATAAAGGCGACGGCACGAAAAAGCTAGAAACGTCTGGTATGAGACCTCTTCAGGGTGGCTATCCTTCAAGCCAATGCCTTTTCTATGGGTCGATGAAATTAGGAAAATGACAAGCCATGTAGCGTATGCGGGTCTGCGCTCGAAAATTAGTGCGAGGGGGGGGGGTGTAAAGGCTGGCATATTTTTTGGGGTGGCAGGACAAATTTTAGGGGAGGCACCCGCCACCCCTCGCCTCCTTTTGGTGCCGTCCCTGGTCGTTGGAGAGGTTTATAAAGGGTTAGGTAGAGAAAGTGAAACCGGGTTTTCTGAACCCGCGTAAATAAAGTATGCATAACAAGAAGCTGGAACATCGTGAGAATCTGACTCTAGTGGTGGTAACAAATTGCAAAAGTTTGGGCACACAATGTTATCTAAATCAAAAAGATACAAAAAAAAAAAAAAAAAAAAATCTCGGAGTCGACATTTACCTAAGCCATCAAATTGAAATTTGAGAATGCGGATGCCTGTAGCAATTGTGCCAGTGAAAAAGCTTAGAAAGAAAACAATATTGCCTTTGTAACTGACAAGGCTTCTTCACTGAAATAAATGCCACAGGCACCCACAATGTCAAATATTGGTATGATGAAAATTAGGCTTAGGTCGACGCTGGATTAGAGAATGTTGAGTTTTCTTTTGTATCTTTTGATCCAGGTAGTAATGTTATGTGCTCGAACTTTCACATTTTATCACCATTGCTATAAGCGGGTACAGGTTAAGGGGTAAAGTGGAAGCTCCCCCTCCCACCTCTCCTTTAATTAGCAAACACCAGAATGGAGGTGACCTCCTCTCCAACGTTTGCTCTGCTAAAGTGGAAAGGGGTGGGAGGAGCTTCCACTTAATTCTCAACCTGTTCCCGACTATAGTGTCACATATGCTCATGGAGTTTCAGCTCTGCGATGCGGGGTTTGTTTATGCGGACTGAAAATCCAGGTTTCATTTTCTCAACCTAACCCTGTAGATTTCTGGCCAGCTTGACAGTTCAGACGAACCACTTTGCATGTTCGTAATGCTACAGGTGCAATCTGCCACCTGATTGGATAGATATGGACATTCTTTTCTATTTGATCGAAATTGCTGCTGCCATAGCTCAAGACAGACATTAATTGCCCTAGACGCGAGCTATAAAGGTGGTTATATAATACTCAAAATCATGCTTTAAAATTTTCAAAAATGAACAAATACAAACCAAACCATTTCTGGTAGTGCATTTTGTGCTCGCAAAATAAGGGTCTGTCATGCTGTGTCTGGCCTTCTTGATCTGCCAGCAGCTCAGTAACTGTCTTGTCAGTGAAAAAAATCAATCAATCATACTGAAAGTTAATGCTCTCGGGAATTATTTCTACATCAGCACAATTTAGGTCCACTTTATTTTAAATGTCGGTAAACGGTTGGACTTGGTTCTCTGGATGTAACTGAGGCGTACAATTTCCCTTTTTCAGAATTTGTGGGCTGTATTGAGCAGTTGTTTGACGAGAATATCCTGATTGGGACGGGATGGACCGCCTACGAATCTCTGCGGTGAGTCACCATGAGACATATCTTTCTTCGACGATGATGCCTTTAAATATCATTGCAGGTTATCTGGGAGATAACCTGGGAGAAAAGAACCGTGTTTTTATGAACAAACAAACTATGCATCACGGAATGCTCAGCCTTTGCCTGGACGTAAGACCAGATGCTGAAGTTTGTTAACTACCACTATCTAATTCAAAAGTTAAAAAGCAATTTTCAGAATTTTTCTGTAAGAAAACGGGCCCATTCCTGGTAGCAGACAACATTCGTGTCCATGTATTTGTGGACTTTGTTAGTCGCCATTTTCTTGTTGAAAACTTTTGAAAATTACTTATAATTTTTGAGTCGGAGAGGGTTCAATTTAAAACCTTGGCATATAGTCCTTATTGCTAGTTTTCATTTGGGTGAAAACTGAGCATTCGGCAATGCATAGTTTGTCTCTTTTGGTGAGAAAAGCACTGTTCTCTTTATTTCACTATGCCTGGTACTTTGCAACAACAACGCTGATGCCAAAGCTTCTTGGACCTTTTTGTGGTGATTGGCAGGCCGCTGGCGTACAGCACGTTGGCGGACCTCGTGCATCACGTGCGTCAGCATCTTCCGTTGCGGGACCTTGCGGCGGCAGTGGCGGTGTTCTCCAAGAACGTGCACGACGAGTCCCTGCCCACCTCGATCCAGACCATGTCTTGCAAACTCCTGCTTAACCTCGTGGAGTGCATACGCACCCGGTCAGACCAGGAATCTGGCAATGTGAGTTTCATCCCCTTTTCACTCCCTTACTTTGAGACTAAAGGGTGTTCCTGCAACACCCCCTTCTTGCAGATAAGAGAAGCGTGCATTTCAGGGGCATTCAAGGTGTCTACCATCCAGGAAAACCGGAAATTCTCAGGGATTTTGCATGGTCTGGAAAAACTCAGGGAATTTGTGCTCTCTCAGGGAAAACGAGCTGTAGTTTATAAAGGGAGCTGAAGTCACGGTAATGCTGGCTCGAGTAACACAGGGGCGATCCAGTTGCGCCATTTGCGCCATTTTGATAAATTCCAGCTTCCCTGCTCCTTGCTGCGCCCAAATGGAATAATTGCGCCAACCTGCGCCAAAGCGAACAAATCTGCGAACAAATTGGTTTTGGAAGAGTTTTCGTTTTCATCTGGCAACTGTGGGAAGCCAGTGGGGTTCGGCCATCACAGGCCAATCCAGGTTTCCGGCTCGGCGGCATTGTTTCACAGGGTTCGCACCAATTTTACCGACATTCCTAACACGCTGCAGTTTTAACAGTTTTAGTTGCATTTCAAATCTCACTACTGAATAGCAAGCACAAATAAATTTTCTTTTTTTTTTCTGCTTGCTCATGTTCAGAAGCGTGACACTGTTTTATACGAATGTGCTCGCATATGGTTCCCATTTCATTATTAGCATACTCGGTTGGGACCGCAAGGTTACGAATTATTGCCTTTTTCACGTCAAATGATCTGAATCCTTGGTGGTACAACTCGGCAAAAAGTCTATACATTAGGGAAAATCCAGAATATTTTTATTGATTATTTGCTCATTTCACGTGATAAGACTGTATAGTGCTAATTTACCTCTGTCCAGAGCTTGGGTCTTGAAACCCCGGCCCGCAGATGGCTACAGTCTTCTCAGTGATGCCCGGCTCACAGTCGGGCATCACTAGAAAAACCGTGGGAGAGGAGGCCCTCTCCAGCGTTCGCGCAACACCTCCTAGAAACTAAGGCCGTAGCGCTCTTTTCGTGACGTCGCGAAGGAAGGCCATTGGGGGTGCGCGTCGAAGTGAAGGCATTGTGCGTGGATCGACCTTCGTAAAAGCTTCTAGTCACATACGCGTGTCCGGGTATCGAACCCTGGGATCCTGGTTCAATACCCGAACCAGGGGGATTTTTTCGGTCGCGTACCATTCACCTAGCTGTGTTTGGAGATTTGTGTTTGTCCTTTGTCCCTCTTGTTCCTTTTCTCTAGGGATTATTTGTCATTCTTGTCCAGCTTGCTTGCACCTTTGCATTTAATTGCTTTTAATCATGTATTATGTCGTTTTTTTTTAATTTTTATAACATGCTTTTTAGAGGGTGACAGCATCCGGCGACATGGTGTCAGCCCATCTTGACTTAAAACAAAGTTCTGTATTAGTTAGGGAATTTTGCAAAAGGACTCCGGGAAAACCTGGAAAACTCAGGGAATTTGAAAATGTCAACTTGGTAGGTACCCTGGGTATTGTAGCTACTATATTTGTTGTGATCAGCAGAATGCGGTTTGCTTTTCGGTCATGGCGAGCAGACACATTTTTGGGAGAGGCTCGTCCCGCTTTACTGCACGTGTAACAGACTATTGGCGAGGAGATCGAACTATGGGGGGCGCTCTTTCCAGTTCTTTTTAAAGCTCGGTCAAAATAAAAAGTTTTGACAATAAACGGAGTGACGTTGGCGGGACGGCGACAAGTCGGATCTCTCCTAAAAGCAGTTGTCGGAGGATACAAGCTTGACCCGTTTCGGCCTTTGTGCTGAGTGGTGTCTGGTCACATGCACGGTGCATGCTGCATTGGTTTGCGCAGGCCTGAGTGGCTACGAAGGAGCCCCTCCTGGGGCAACGGTACAACATGAGCCCCAGCCTAACGCTGACGCAGTTTTCGGCTACGGCAGCCGAATGCTGCATTATTGTCGTTGTCCCCATGGGTGTAGTTCTAAAGTTAGCCGCTTAAGGCGCAGTGGTTGAATCTCTTCCCCAATAGACCTTTGACTAAATGCGCCAAATATCCGGCTCACACTCAAGGAATCATGAGAGCAATGTTCCTTCAGTTCCCTAGTGATCGGTAATTTCGACCAATTCAGTGCTTACACACTTTTGAGTGTAATTCGAATTTATCCTGAATAAGCGTTTTGTAGATTGCAGAGACCTGTCATATCACTTTTAAAATTTCTCGTCAATGTCAGCGTTTTTGATACAGTGCATGCAATCCTCCCTTCAACCTGGCTGAGCTGCAGAAATCTCTTACAATATTCTCTTTCTCACACAGCTTTAAAGATGCTGATACAACTTAGAAACCCCTTAAATGCTATTAACAGTCCTGCTGACTCCGATCTAAGTCCTGTTTTTGGTTGTTGTGAATTCTCTGCTTTGTAAGTGATTCCTGCTAAAACAAAAATTACGGGAGTGGTAATATTGTAGGAAATTTCTGCAGCTTAACCAATTGAAGAATGGATTACATGCACAGTGTAAAAAATGCTGACATTGATAAAAATATTTAAAAGTAATATGACAGGTCTCTAGTTGCTGAGGGGGAATTTTCGATATGGTAGCACCTTGGTTACTGGTTCAGGTTGCAAGTGGGCCTTTGCGCAGGGGCGGGAGCTGCTTATACGGATGCTGGAGGTGTTTGTGCTCAAGTTCAAGACCATTGCCAAGCTACAGCTGCCTATGCTGATGCAGAAGAGGTGAGAATGGTTTGTCCCAACGATGTTGCCCATGCAAGGGCTAAATAAGAGATGATGGCTTCTGCCAAGAGAGTCACTTTTAGAATGCCTCCTTACAACATTTATGGTTGTCTATAGGTGCAACTGTTGTGTGTATCCTAGGGAGAAAATCTGGCTGCTGCTAGCATATGCCTCTGTGACCTGGATATGCGCTAGCAAAAGCCACTCAGAGGTCTTTTTTTTTTTTTTAATGTAAACAGAAGTAGGAAATCCCACCTTTAATCTTGGTAGCATTTACCGCAGGAGTGCCTACCTTTAGACATGTCATCAATATTTGGGAACTTTCAGGCAAATAGAAGAAAGCCTATTGACCAGCGTTGATGATGGATGTGGTTGTGTTAGTGTTCTTACATCCTTTTTCATATTGTATTGCCATTTATTGCCACCCCCCTCATGTAATGCGTCCTCAAAAGAGACGCCCTTGAGGTGAATAAGTGAAATAAATATAATTATTAAAAACAAATGGTGCAAAAGACACAAGCTCAGAAGGGGAGATGGAATTTACTCAATGCTAAGATAAAAAAAAAGTGAAAGCTGCTTACAACTCCCTGTAACGCCGAATTAGAGCGCAGCTCTTGAGGAGAAGGAGGGAAGGGCACTGGGGGGGGGGGGGGGGCTAAACTAACCAAGGGGGGGTCACGTGACCTTGGGGGGTCTTGTGACCTTGGGGGTCACGTGACCCCCAATGCCGATGATGTCATCACTGAGGTCACTGATGACGTCATCATTGACGATCACGATGCGAGTACGGATGACGTCATTAGTGACGTCACTGATGACTTCACCAGTGATGATGACGATGACGATGCGAATGTCGGTGACGTCATCAGTGACGTCGCTGATGACGTCATCAGTGATGATGACGATGACGATGCGGATGTCGGCAACGTCATCAGTGACGATGCGGATGCCGGTGACGTCATCAGTGATGATGACGATGACGATGCGGATGCCGGTGACGTCATCAGTGATGATGACGATGACGATGCGGATGCCGGTGACGTCATCAGTGACGATGACGATGTGGATGCCGGTGACGACATCAGTGACGTCACTGATGACGTCATCAGTGATGATGACGATGACGATGCGGATGTCGGTAACGTCATCAGTGATGATGACGATGACGATACGGATGCCGGTGACGTCATCAGTGATGATGACGATGTGGATGCCGGTGACGTCATCAGTGATGATGACGATGACGATGTGGATGCCGGTGACGTCATCAGTGATGATGACGATGACGATGTGGATGCCGGTGACGTCATCAGTGATGATGACGATGTGGATGCCGGTGACGTCATCAGTGACGATGACGATGTGGTTGCCGGTGACGTCATCAGTGACGATGACGTCATTGGGGATCACGCGACATCGGCGGGGGTCACGTGACCTCAGGGGAGTCACATGACTTCGGGGGGTCACGTGTCCCCCACGAGGTCACGTGACCCCGGTGGGGGGCTCGCGCGGTGCATTATGGGACATTTCCCATGATGCACCGGGGTCACGTGACCTGGGGGGGGTCACGTGCCCCCCCACGAGGTCACGTGACCCCGGTGGGGGGCTCGCGCGGTGCATTATGGGACATTCCCCATGATGCACCGCGCGGTTACGCCGACGCCGACGGCGACGCCGACGCCGCTCAAGCCGGAAACGGGCCCCTAAGAGCTGCACTCTAAAAATGAAAGCCGTTTACAACTTCCTGTAACGCCGAATTAGAGTGCAGCTCTTGAAGAGGAGGAGGGAAGGGGGGGGTCACGTGACCTCGGGCGGGGTCACGTGACCTCACGGTTACGCCGATGCCACTCAAGCCTGAAACGGGCGCCTAAGAGGTGCTCTCTAAAACGGGTAGGCTGTGTGTCTGACACTGCCACAGATTTCAGGTGTAACGTCTGCGTGCCAAGTCTAGTTAAATTAAATGCATGTATCAAATGTGTCAGATTTATTTGTATTGAATGTATCTGATTTATTTTGATGTAACAGAATGATGGAATGAAACAAGTATGAAATGGAACATATTTATTTGTTAGTCACAGAACCAATTGCATGAGACAGATATTTGAATGTGAGGTAAACTTGCACTACTAAGCAATATACAGGAAACCGAATGAAACAAATGTCGAGACACAACACAACCTTATTCGATCGGAAGCCACACAGGCAATCGAAACAAGTGCAGATCAAAGCACAAGTTACACTTGATCATGGGAGACGGAACTCACCACAGATGGGCACACGCGAATAATTATAGGACGATGGTGAGAGAAATGCGAAATATACAGTCGCCGACCGATTTTCCGAACTTCGCAGGGATTAAAAAAACGTCCGAATGTTAGAGCAGTCCGGAAAATCAGCAGATTAAAAAACTTGCCTTTGTTACGTCTAAGCGGGCTTAAAAAAAGCCGTAAATAGTGCGTTTGACAACTTTGTGTTAGCTTGAGATTCGCTGCCTTCTTTTCTATCGTTACGGTCGAGTACTTTCTGCGCTTCTTAGCAACACATCGCGGCGGTGGAAGAACAGATGGGGCAATGACGTCCAAACCAGTGCAGTCCGAAAACACAAATCACTGAGACGAAATCGAGGTGGGAGGCGCAAGTCCACGACTGCAATGGTGAATTAACAAAGCAAAACGGAAAAAAACAGTGACGATGATAATGACGCGCAGCTGGAGAATAAACAAGCTGTACAGCATCACCTAGCAGTAGGACTTAGCAGTAGTATTTCAGTAGCGCTGCCAAACCAAGCCAGTCCATGTGCAGCCAACATAGAATCCAAAAGGGCGGCTTCTTGGTAGTGTTTCCCGCTGATCACTTGCAACGATTTTGTCAGAAAAATCAAACTTTCGGATTTCAAGCTGTTCAAAACATTGGTTTTGAATGTACACTATTTCTATCTGGTAGGTCACGGTTCCTCCTCTAGGTCCTAAATATCAAACAAGTCCTAATTATCGGCGTCCAAAAAATCAGTCGGCTACTGTATTGTAGCGTTTCACCGGCAATGTGACATCGCGCCTCCCCGAGCGCCGACCAAGGATTTAATATAATTTCGAGGAAGAGGTCCCATACATTCGGGCCGCATCGGAACAGCGGGGCGTAGATGCGAACAGCGGCAGTTTCATTTGGTGTTTCCGACAGGCCCATATCACTGACGACGCCTTCGTATTCAGAAAGAAGCAACAAGACATCGCCTGTAAGGTCTGGACCTGCTGTAAAATACCGGGGAAGCGCTACCCCACTTTCAATGAAAACTGGGTTAATCTAGGCATACGTGCTTGTCCGATCAATTTAGGTGATTAACATATAATTTGCGGAATTTTCAAGTGTGGAACGCGTTAACAGTGGGTGCTTCCGCAGTATTTTATGGTAGTTCTCGTCTAGCTCACCGCGATCTATGGATGGCTCATTTGGAGAAGGCTCTAAATTTCAAGCCAGAAGTGAATCATGGGGAGCTGCCCTATAGCGAGATCTATTTCCGTTGCATGTGTGTCGTTACATGCACCCCTTTGGGTAAGGCGTTGTCTCGTTAAAAGCTTAGGTATTCTGCTAGTCATTGCTGAGTGTTTATGAATTGAGTTGTAACTTGAATTTCTTGAGATCGCCACAGCCATTGGATGCGATGACAGGCAGACGACAGATGACCGCAGCTAGGGATTCGTAACAAACGTACGACAGTGGCGGCAATCAAAGTTGGGGGAAGGTGGTCCCTTTGAAGTAACGGACGTGCTTTCGACTCCCCAGCCGTCAGCAGGCCCCACAGCAGCCTCCGCAGTCGACGACACCCGGGGCAGGACCCCTGGGGACCTCCCTCTCGGTTCCACTGGGCTCCACGACATCCGGGAGTGGCCTGGGGTGCCTGGAGCTGCAGGCCAGCAGGACCCCCTCCGTGGAGGATGCCGGGAGGGCGGCGGGGCTCCAGTTTTCTTCCTCCTTGGCCGACCTGAAGGAAGACAAGGTGAGTGCACCTTACCATTCCCTGCAAATTTAAAGGAGCTGTGCAACAATTTCAGGGCTTTGCTTAAATTATTTTGGAAATTGATGCCTGACACTTCTGAAGTGAACTACAGAAAACAGATTTTGCCTGGGTACCCTAGCTTTTATTTACAAAAAATGAATAAGATCCAGGTTTTTGCCGCCTCTCAACTCGTACGTCGTCTTCTGGGTCTTGTGTGCAGTGACGTCTAGGTGCTAGGCGCGGGGTTCCGGAGAAGTTCTTTCTTTAGAGCCATCTGTGAGCAGCGAGAACTAATCCGCTCACGACCGCGTGACCACGTGCTGGCGGGTGCCGCGCGAACAATATGGTGAAAGGAGGAAAGTCTCATCCGGGTCCGGCCATAGCCCGTCCGGCCCTGTCCCCCTGCTCTCTCTGCGGTAGCAGAAAGAGCTGACGGTTTTGTGAACCTAGGATAGATGGCGCCACTAAAACTCCGTATAATAAAAGTTTTGTCGATGATACCAGGTTTTTGACGTATTTATATATATGTTAGAACGACAAGATTCATAGAAAAGTTACCTTTTATCGAGCAGGTATTCGCACAACTTGCTATCTTTCTACAAGATTCCCCTTTGACGCCACGCCGCATGTTTCTCATGGCCACCGCTCGCAACCGCAAGTTGGGGAATATTCTAAGTTTTGCCTCGCTATTATGCGGCGGAATCGCATTATTTCGATGAAAGCAGGTGTGTTTTCTGTCATTTGTGACAAGGTGAACAATATCAAAAGCAGAAGATGCCAATTCTTTCAACGTTGAAATTGTTGCACAGCTCCTTTAATGCCCTTTTTGTTTTTTGTTTGTTTTGGGGGTTTAAGTCTACGGGTAAAGCCAATCTCACTGGGACACGTGGTTTGGGCGAGATTGGCAGTTGGGAGGATTAGCAACCCGGCTGCCATGGTTGCATTCGTAGCTGGGATGCTGGGGCTTTGGAGGCATCTTGCGTCGGTCATCCCAGCTTGCTCGGAAGTTCAAACACTGAAAAAGGAAAGAAAGGCATTCTTAGAGGAAGGTTCGGAGTGGCGACCGTTGCTCCTTGTGCATTGATCGGACCCCCATGACCATGTTCGTTGATGCATTTTGTTTGTCGTAGCACACTCAAATTTTTTCTTGGTTCTAGATGTTTTTGTGCAGTGATGTAAAGGAATCAAAATTGATGAGCAACGATAAATGTGCTGTGTTATTTTGTTTTCACTGCATGTCTTTTTTTTTGAAACGCGCCGTCTTTTGCCATTCACATCTACTGACCGCTTTAAGGGTATTTGATGCATCGTCTGTGATGGGCATGCTTGAGGTGTAGTGGAAGGCTCGGGTGTGCTCCGGGGGCCGTTCTTAAGACTCAGGTGGAGAGCAGGAATGACTGGCGCTTTCTTCAGGCCAACAACTACACTGTGGTGGACTGCCGGAGCTTGGTGAAGACGCTGGTGTGCGGTGTCAAGACCATCACGTGGGGCATCGGCACCTGCAAGGTGCCAGGAGGTGCGCTCCCTGCTGTTTTATATCCAATTGATGCCGAATTCAGCCTTTTGAAGGTGCTTCATATTGTAGCTGTTGAGCAACTATTTTTTTGGCAACCGTCTATATTTAGTAAACCATGTTTTGTGCTGTCTCTGTACCATCAGTTGTGTCGCCAACAGATAGCGAACATAGCTGTAGGGATATTTGTGGCTAGACTTATGAGTAAGCTCAAACGGAGGAAGCGAAGCATTCACAATTGTTAACTTACTTAAAATAAGTTCTGAGCACACATCTCCTTGAAACTCGCATGAATTGCCTTTCTTTATTAACAACTGTAGGCTCACAGTAATTTTGAAGTATAAAGGTTGAAAACAACTTTAAAGTCAAATGTTGCTTGTATTTATGGTGTAGCATGGGCCAAAATGCAGGTTTTGCTTTGTCACAACCAGTTTTATGCAATTTTTATGCATCAGGCTCCCTTGAGGACAAGCAGTTCCAGCCCAAGGAGACACTGGTGTTCATCCGGCTGGTGAAGTATGCCTTGCAAGCGCTCGACATCTACACGCTCCAGATCACCAGCCTCAGCCACGCCCAGACACGCAATGCGGCGTGAGTGTGCTGCATTATGTCACATCACTAGCAGTATGGCACATGTGTGCATGCATGTTCTTTGTTCAGTAAACTCACTTGAGCGGACTTCAAGGAACCCTAGGAAATTCCCTAAACTGAATATGTTTGCTAGAATATGGAACAACATAGGACACAGCATACTTTGAGTCAAAAGTGTGAAATGCAATTTATGGAGTCATGTACATCTGTATATACAATGGACTTAACAGTTACGTTGCTGCCCTTCTCATTTTGGAAAAAAAATTTTAATTTTCATTTGTACCGGCACTCTTAAAGTACATGAAGTAACAAAACTGTCCAGAGAGAATGTTTTTTTAGGGGCGAAGCTCCTTAGGGGCTAGCCATGTCCGTATGTCCGTCCGCTGTTGGGTGCACATGCTTCTGCTCGTGAGCTCACATGCTCACAAGCACATAAGCACGTGCTCGTGTAGGGCAAAAAAAAAACAAAAAAAACTGCATGTCCACGTGGTGAATGATGTTGATTGGGGCGAAGCTCTGGGGGTGCTTGTCTGCGTAGACGGTGAGCCGCAGCATGCCGAGCCTTTCGTTCGTTTTCATCCATGTCGGAAAGAGAATGTGGAGTATGGAACGTGGTTATATACGCATTTGAGCATTTGACCGCAGCGTGACATGGATGAAAACAAACGAAAGCCTGAGCATGCTGCAGCTCAGCGTCTACGCAGACAAGCACCACTTGAGCTTCGCCCCAATCAACATCATTCACCACGTGGAGACGCAATTTTTTTTTTTTTTGCGCATCCTCTGGCACAGTTTGTTTCTTTGACGAAGCCATACCGCAACGGCATCGTCCACTGGCTTGAAATATCCTGTGCAGAGTCGTTTCCTGTTGGAATTGAACGCAGTTTCTTTTTCAAGCTTCGACTTTTGCTTCGCTATCATTGACAACGTTTACGGTGGAATCCTATAGTTTTTCACAATGTCCACTTGCCTTTGACCGTCGTCCAGACGCTGAAGGATTTTAAGCTTGTTTGATAGAGACAGCCCCTTCCCTTTTGTCATACTCATTATGAAAGTGGGTGCACAAACTGTCATCCTGCCATTGTTATCCAAAACTAAGATGACCGAATCGAACTGATGGCAAAAAAAAACAGACACACCACGTGGTTAGTTTTCGTGTACCACACTGCCGCTTTGCCTCGGCGGCGCTGTAAGTGCCAGCGATCATACGCTGCCGCTGCAGAGGTGGCGGGTGGCAGGGCGGCGGGCATGGGCTACGCCAGCACTGCAGAGCACAAAACTTTGTTGAATTGATTGCAAAAATAATCCTGGGTTCACCAATAAAGTTCGATGAACTGAAATTTTCACTATTCCGAAATTCGTTTTTTGTTTAACCTGAAACATTCTTGCATAGAATGCATAGGAAAACCTCCGGGGATTTTTTTAAAGCTCATTATTCTGAAATATTCGTTAAACTGACATTCACTCAAGTGAGAGTTTACTGTAATTATAATTTTTTTAGGTGGATTTGTTTCTGCACTTTTTAAAGTGTCCAGGAATGATTGTGGTTGCATGTTCCGGTTTTTCAGCATCCAGTCTGCCGTGCGATCCAAGGAGGAGAAAGAGGTCCTCGATCACTTTGGTGGTGTGGTGCGTATCTTGCAACCCAAAATCTGTTTTATCAGCCAATTTTCATGGAGTCACAAAAGCGAGCTCATTCAGGCGCGTGTGAAAGCCCAAGTGCACACTTTGTTTTTAATTTTTTTTTTGTTTCGAAACATTTTTTATTTGATGCAGCCTTTCCTGTCCTGTAGCGCCATCTCATTGCATGTGTCCAAAATGGAAACAAATCTTTGGTAGGCGGTGTCGTTGAGACACCCTTCTCCTCTTCCCTGGAAAGCTCATTGGATATTCTGTGCTTGCCAGTCTTTGTCAGCATGATCAAGCTTGTATAATGTTTTATCACTCTGTGCTTTCTACCTTTAATAATTCTACACCCAGAAACATTTAGCCACTTTGAGAGCCAATTTAATAAAATTACTGAGTCAGCGTTGTTTTGTAGGCCCCTGATCCTTGAGTAAAGTTTGTGCCATCTCGCGCATTCCAGTTCACCATGATGAGCCCATCTACCTTCAGAGAGGTCTTCTCCACCACGATTGAGGTGAGTCAGCAGTGCTTAGATTTATTAAGACCCTTTGGTTCGAAAGCTGCTTCTCAAAGATTCTGTGGCCCCTTTTGCACCATTGTCCGGGTGCGTGCTTGTCAGGTTTGAGGGCCCAAGACGGCTACATTCGAACTAGAAAGTTCTCATCTTCATCTTGCATCACAATCTTTGTAATGTTCGTAACATACAACAGGATTGGTAAACACTTACGCTACCCGTAAGGGGAAACACTGCTACAGCTGAGGTGTGGCGTTGGAGCCGCTAAGGTGTCAAGTGGCGTGACGTCAATGTGGAATCTTTTGGCAAAGTACCGAAAATTGTTTGCGTCAATGTGGAGCGCGGTCGACAGCGCGAGACTTGTGAATTGTTCCACTAACTGCTATCAGTAAAAAATTGCAGATGCCTACATTGTTTTCTGTTTTTTTCAGTATGTGGTAGAGCGTCTGAACAAGAACTCGGCCCTCCAGGTAAAATGTTCCTTCCGTGGAACGGTTGTGGCATGTTGTTGATCCTGTTCTTTTTCTCTTGTGTCAGATTGTGGCCAACTTTTTCCTGGCCAACCGGACAACCTCCCCCATCTTTGCCACCATCTTGGTTGAGTACCTGCTGGAACGTATGGAAGAGATGGGATGTGAGTATGGGCATTCTTTTCGTTGTAGCTGAATATTCCCACCGAATTTAGATGAAATTTTTCAAATTTTTCTGAAAGGACGGTAATCGGATGAAGGGGCTCTCTTATACCTGTGCCACACGGGTAATTAGGTTCGGTGGAGGATGTCACGAGTTGCCCTCCTTTCTGTGCTGCAGCTAACCCCGAGAAATCTAACCTGTACCTGAAGCTGTTCAAGCTGGTCTTTGGTTCCGTGTCCCTCTTCGCTGCCGAGAATGAACTCATGCTCAAGGTACGCCTTGTCTTTGCACTCATCTTTCTTTTTTTTCCCTTTGATAGTGGTGTGCCCGTCGTCTTAAAGCTGTATGTTTTTGCTAAACCTGCCGCCTAAGAACCGGTCCGACGTATTGATTGTTTTCTTCCAGCCGCACCTTCACAAGATAGTGAACCGCTCCATGTCGCTAGCCTTGAGTGCCCGCGACCCCTACAACTACTTTCTGCTGCTGCGGGCGCTCTTCCGCTCCATCGGAGGAGGTAGTCATGACCTCCTGTACCAGGAGTTCCTACCACTGCTGCCCACACTGCTGCAAGGTGCGTTTCGTCCTTCCTTGGCAAATGACGTGGGTTGTGCCGGAATTGCTCGACATTTGGGGAGCATTAACCTCCTCGGAGGTTCCACCCTCTAATGTGGACGTTCTCATGCATTTTGTTTTGAAAGACATTTAGCTATTACAACTGAGAACTGAGGGGCTCATCATCATCGGTGTTCTCCCACAGTAAAAATGACTGCATCTCCACGTGGTGAATGATGTTGATTGGGGCGAAGCTCTGGTGGTGCTTGTCTGCGTAGACGCTGAGCCGCAGCATGCCGAGCCTTTCGTTCGTTTTCATCCATGTCCGAAAGAGAGTGTGGTATGGAACGTGGTTATAAATGCATTTGAGCATTTGACCGCAGCGCCCTCTCGTCTATAAACGTTGAGCCAATGCATGCAAAGTTTAACGCGATTATATACGCATTTGACCGCAGAGCCCTCTCCTGTATAGACGTTGAGCGGCTACATGCAACGTTCATGCATGACATCCCCAGCTCTTGAGTTACTACCACATCTCAGAGCCCCCTACTCGTCCCGCAGTCGTGGCCGAGTGGTTAAGGCAATGAGCTAGAACAGGGGTGGCCAGGCTGGCCTGGCCTAAGAGCCGCAAACAAAACCGCGGAACTTCTAAGAGCCGCGGGGAGGGGGGGGGGGGGGGGGGGGGAGAACAAATTTAACTTTCGTTCAGAGTCTGACGGTAACTATGGGGGCACAAGGCTGTACGACTGTACGTATGGGAGTACAGGGCTGTCAAAGTGCAAGCTGCAGTGTGCTTTATCCTGAGATCCTTCGTTTCTTTTTTCTGGGGAAACGCGGAAAGAGGCGAGGGGGGGGGGGGTCTCCTTGTGAGGGATCTGTGAGCCGCACTTGGACCAGCAAAGAGCCGCATGCGGCTCGCGAGCCGCGGTTTAGCCACCCCTGGGCTAGAAATTCATTGGGGTCTCCCCGCATAGGTTCGAATCCTGTTGACTGCTCAAAACATTTTTTAGAGCGCAGCTCTTAGGCGCCCGTTTCCGGCTTGAGCGGCGTCGGCGTCGGCGCCGCCGTCGGCGTAACCGCGCGGTGCATTGTGGGTAAATTTTCCCGATGGAACCCGAGGTCCTCCCGAGGTCCTCCCGAAGGAACCCGAGGTCCTTCGGGAGGACCTCGGAAGGACCTCGGGTTCCTTCGGGAGGGCCTCGGGAGGACCCCGGGCTCCTTCGGGAGGACCTCGGGTTCGGGGGGGGGGGGGGCTCACGTGACGATGACGTCATCAGTGACGATGACGATGCGGATGCCGATGACGTCATCAGTGACGATGACGATGGCGATGCGGATGCCAATGACTTCATCGGCATCCGCATCGTCATTGTCATCATCACTGATGACGTCATCGTCACGTGACCCTCCCCAGGACCTCAGGTTCTTTCGGGAGTACCTCGGAAGCACCTCAGGTTTCTTCGGGAGGACCTCGGAAGGACCTTTGGTTCCTTCGGGAAAACCTCAGAAGGACCTCGGGTTCCTTCGGGAGGACCTCGGGAGGACCTGGGGCTCCTTTGGGAGGACTTCGGGAGGACCTCGGGTTCCCTCGGGAGGACCTAGGGGAGGGGGGGGGTCACGTGACGATGACGTCATCAGTGATGATGACGATGACGATGCCAATGACGTCATCAGTGACGTCACTGATGACGTCATCAGTCATGATGACGATGGCGATGCTGATGCCAATGACGTAATCGGCATCTGCATCGTCATCGTCATCATCACTGATAACGTCATCGTCACGTGACCCCTCCTTTGAGGTCATGTGATCTCCCAGGTCACGTGACCCCCGAGGTCACGTGACCTCCCCCTTCCGAGGTCAACTGATGCCCCCAGTACCCTTCCCTCCTTCTCCTCAAGAGCTGTGCTCCAATTCGGCGTTACAGGGAGTTGTAAACGGCTTTTATTTTTATCATTTTTTTTTTTGCTTTACACGAGCACGTGAGCTCACGAGCACGAGCACCAGCAAGATCGATGTGAGCACGGATGCCGGACGGACAAGGCTAGACCCTAAGGAGCTTCGCCCCTAAAAGCTTCTTTGACGTACAGTGTCAGCAGCTGCACAAACTTGTAAAATGCTCTGTTGAACGTCGGGCATGTAGTGTAGACATCTGTGTTTCTACTTGAGTACTTCTCGGCTGCTCAATTGCCTAATTACTCTGGAGCAGTGAGGGCATGCCTCTAGTTGTTCAGTTTGTTTTAGGGAAAGCCCTGCAGCAGGATACCAAGTCCCCAGTCTGGATAGATCAAAGATGTATATTTTTATGTTTGTGTTAGCATCGACGCCAAAGAGGTAGAATAAGATGAGAGAGAAGAATCTCTGTGAGCTCCTGACCCAGCTGCACCACCATGTACCATCGTCCCCTCATTTTCAGGGTGTAACTAACCCGCATAATGTCCCAAACGTGCCTCTTTACAAACACGCCACTTTCTTTCATGCAGGCCTGAATGGCCTCCAGAGTGGCCTGCACAAGCAGCACATGAAGGACCTGTTCGTGGAACTGTGCCTGACGGTGCCCGTACGCCTGAGCTCCCTGCTGCCCTACCTGCCCATGCTCATGGACCCCCTGGTGTCGGCACTCAATGGGTCCCAGACGCTTATCAGCCAGGTGGGATGCTTGGACGAGAATAGAAACCTAACCGGGCTGCCTGCCCCTCTTAAAGCTTGCCTGCCTCTTCCTTTCCTCTGGTGCATCTTTTGTTGTTTGTTTAGGATTGTACTTTGTATGGCACAAAAACTGGGAGACATTAGGGTCAAGCTTGTGTTCCCCGTTTTAAAAAAGAGAATCTCGATGCAGTCGTGAGAAACGGTCACAAAATCAGAGGCCCTTTTGAAAAGTAAACATTACCTGCTGTGGCATAAGCAAACCAAAAAAAAAAAAAAAAATTATGTCCGATTTTGATTGGTTTTGGTTTTACGATGCCTGTGCAACGTTAAGTGTGTGAGCAATTTAGCATATGTGGCTCAGAAGGAAACAAAACATACCCATGCAAAGACCCTCAAGGAAGTACCACACAAAGAAAAAAAGAATGAACTATTTAAATGTGGGCAAACCTTCTTTGTACTATGTGCAAATTGCCTTCAAAAGTGAAAAAAAAAAAAAAAAAAACTTGAGCTTTTGTGTGTTCTGAAGAAGCAAAGGACTCCTTCATCCTGTTTCTATTAGTTCAAACATCTGGGTGAAGAACATGTAAAGTCTTTTCCTCAGTGTAAAGCCTTTTCCTCATCATAGGATAGCATTTGTGCAAGGGCATTTTTTTTTCATACCTTCATCGTTAGAACAATGACGACGAAGCGGAGCGTGGCTGATAGGTGTCTGCCCTGCTCAGGGCCTGCGCACCCTGGAGCTGTGCGTGGACAACCTGCAGCCGGACTTTCTGTATGAGCACATCCAGCCCGTGCGGGCGGAGCTGATGCAGGCCCTGTGGCGCACCCTGCGCAACCCGGCAGATTCCATCGCGCAGGTGGCTTTCCGCGTCCTCGGGAAGTTCGGGGGCGGCAACCGCAAGATGATGATGGAGCCCCAGAAGGTGAGGCCCCCTCACTCTCTTACTTGCCGGTACATGCACACCTTGTAGTAGTACCCTGACACTTGCGCGCACCTCTGAGGCGGGTACAGTAAAACCTCGTTAATTCGGAGAACCGGCAAAAATGTCCGAATTATCCGAAAGTTTAAATATCGAAAGGACAAAGATAACTGCACAAAAACGTTTCCCTGTGACATACCTTTATTTTGCGAAGAAATCTGTTATTGCCGCCTGCTTTCTGGATGACATTTGGGCGGAGACGGCAACTTTCCTTAGCGCGGTCGAGTGCTCCACCGCACTTGCACTGTTAGAGCTACGCATCCCGTTCGCTGACAATTTAGCACAGCAAGGCCTCTTCTAGTTTCGGGTGCACCACCTTCCACAGCCGCTTTCTTTTCCTGTTGAACTTCTTGCCCTCGAAAGCCTGTAGGATCTCGACCTCAATTTTCACGTACGTGGCCAAAGTGCCGCTCTTGACGTCGTACCTTTCCATCACTTGTTGTCGAGAGACGCCGTCCTTCAAGGCCCTCCGTATTTCCATTTTCGTCGCTAAATTCTTGGCCTGGTACAGCTGCAATAGAAAACGAGTAGCACAACTGACCGATGATAGGAGCGGCAAAATCGCAACACCCGGCACTATTTTTTCCGAGCGCGCCGATAGCGAGAGTGTGAGTCATGTTGCATGTTTCAACACGGGGGTGGCCGGCAAAAAATTGAGAAATAAGATAGCTGTTCAAATGCGGGCTTTAGGATGGGCTGCTTTCTGCCGGCCGCCTCGCGTTGAGGTATGAAACGCAACTGTCACTCACTATCGGCGCGTTGGGAATAATAGCACTGCGTTTCGCGATTTTGTCGCTCCGTTTGTCGGTCACTTGTGCTACTCTTTTTCTGTGCTTCCATGCCACGAGAGTAGCGCGCTTACGCATGGCAATCTAGAGCAGAACTGGTGCAAAATACGGTGAACCGGAAGAGCGAAGAACCATGGGAAAACCGGAAAAACCCCATGTGCACCTCGAATGGATAGCGGTCATACCCTTTGGAACGGATGGTAGCTTGCGCCACCTGCCGAATTCGTCCGAATTAACCATAGCGCGCCACATTCCCTCCGAATTAATGAGCGTTTGGTGCCATTGACTAATACACACGTTTTACAGGACCAGATCGGCAGTTCAAATTATCCGAATTAGCGGGGGTTGAATTAACGAGGTTTTACTGTAATGAGAGAATGGGGAATGCTAAATGGAAACTCTGGGAGTGTTGCAGGAACAGGAAAAATGAGGAAGACCTGTAATCGAATGTTGAGGAGGGAGTTAGAGGGAGTTCCATACATGCTCATGGAAAAGCTTGTTTGGGCAAGAGATGCGACGAAACGGGCCCCCAGCTGATTTGTTGCAACAAGCGAGGAATAGACACTTCTTGACTCTTCTTCTTTCTGCTGCACCCACTTTTTACAGCGAAGCTGTTATATGCTAGGGTCTAGGAAAAAATGTGTCTTTACATGTTGACAGAAAACTCCCCATTGGCCGTGGCAAGTATAAATAAATAAAAACAAAAAGGGGGGTCAAGCATGAATAGATAAAAACAAAAAGAGCGGGCAACCAGCGTGAGTCAGCCTTCCTTGGCATTATTAGATAGTGAGGTCCTGACACCCTTGTTATCATCTCTAGGCATCATCCTTGAGGTCGTCCTAGAAGTCGTCCTAGAAGTCGTCCAAGTGGTCGTCCTAGGCGTCGTACAACAGTTCATCCTAGACGTTGTCCTCAAGGTCGTCCTAGAAGTCCTCAAGGTCGTCTTAGAAGTCGTCCTTGAGGTTATCCTTGTGGTCGTCCTAGACGTTATCCTCGAGGTCGTCCTAGAAGTCATCCTTGAGGTCGTCCAAGTGGTCGTCCTAGGCGTCGTACAAGAAACCAAACCTAGACGTTGTCCTCAAGGTTGTCCTAGAAGTCCTCAAGGTCGTCTTAGAAGTCGTCCTTGAGGTTATCCTTGAGGTCGTCCTAGACGTTATCCTCGAGGTCGTCCTAGAAGTCGTCCTTGAGGTCGTCCAAGTGGTCGTCCTAGGCGTCGTACAAGAGTTCATCCTAGACGTTGTCCTCAAGGTTGTCCTAGAAGTCCTCAAGGTCGTCTTAGAAGTCGTCCTTGAGGTTATCCTTGAGGTCGTCCTAGACGTTATCCTCGAGGCCGTCCTAGAAGTTGTCCTTGAGGTTGCCTAGAAGTCGCCCTTGAGGTCGTCCTTGACGTCGCCCTCTAGGCATCGTCCTCTAGGCATCGTCTTAGACGTCATGAAAATAACAGCTTTGCTGGTCCTCCATCTTCACGGGAAGTGGAAGGCTCTACAATTTTCTACCTCCCTCTCCGTTCTCTTTTTCCCCTTTTTTTTAAACTCCCTCTTCTCTGCTGTTTTTTTTTTGTTTTTTTTTTTCCAATTGTTACTTAAAAGAAAGCTTGTCATCACAACAAATGTGTTGCCATTTGGGGAGCCATCTTATCTTTCAACCCTAAATGATCCTCCTTCCAGGTATATAATAGGCTGAAACTGCCGAGGAACTTTGGTGACCCCAGAAAGTTCCAGAAATTTAGTCGAAAGAGTTGCCACATTGTCTCATGCTGTGTTGTGGCACTCTTCGCAGCTGGAGTACAACGACCGGGACACTGTGGGACCCTGCATCACGGTCTACTTCCAGGACCACAAGAACCCTATCTCCCTACCCGTGGACAAGGTCAGCTGGGACAGATGCCCTTGGGGTAGCACTCTAACAATTGCACCAGAATTTTTTCTTTCTTTTTTGACCGCTTAGATTTTTATTGGCTGGTTGCTATTGGTCGGCATAATGTATCTTGTGAACTGAGGGCATATTAACAATTGCGAAAGCCGATCGTAAAAGTGTTCAACATTTTTGGCCTAGAAACAACTTTGCACAAGGAAAGCAAATATTCAAGAGCCACTCGGCAAGCTCTAACGATTTGGAATGGACACTTCAAAAATAATGTTTCGAAGATTACTAGCTACATGATCTAATACTAAACTTTTTTTATCACGTGGTTGGCTTTTTGGCAAACAAGTTGTAAGATGAATTCCGGAGGGTCTCTAACCTCAGCATGCGTGTTAATGGAAATGCTGGGCCTAGTGCCTGCCTGTGCCAAGCTGGAGGCAGCGTTCTGAAATGTTGAGACTGAGCTGACTGAGGACTGCCTTTGCGGTACCGCAGATCATAGAGACCGCTTTCAACGCGCTCAAGCAGAGCGGCACGGACTCCTTCTACCGGCGGCAGTGCTGGGAAATCATCCGGGGTTTTCTGGTGGCCAACTTGGAGTTGCAAGATGACCGGCACACCATGATTCAGCTCTTCTCACATTCCAGGTAGGACGGGAGTTTTCTCGGGCAAGCTGGACATCTTGGGAGTGACAGAATTTTGTACTGAAAAATTTGCAGAGGCTAGGTTCTCCATGAAAATTATGACATTGTTAAGAAGTGTGCAAGTGAATCAAAGATAGGTCAAAACCAAACAGCTGGTTGTTCCGGAATTTTCCAAGAGGTTAAAACGGAGGAGGTTATTTGTGTTTCTAAATTTATGGAAAAAAATAAAGGTTACCATAACTTGTATTGGTATGAGTTCTTTTTATTTTATAAAATAGGTAACCTTTATTTTTATGTGTTTATTTCTTCTGATTACTAATAATAACTGATACTATTATAATTTCGTCCCTGCAGTTTTGCCACGGGCGAAATCGCTCCAACTCAAGGGTCTCTCTACAAGTGCACAGACGTCGAGACTCGAAAGGTTCACAAGATGGCGCTCACGGGGATGTTTGGTATGTTGCAAACCTTTTGATTTTCTTTTCGTCTTGTTAGGTTTTCTACTGCCGCATAACCGTTTCACACTGCTTGATTGGTACATACTAACGCTCTGTTCTTGTTGCACAATGGCCGATTAGTATGTCACTACAGAGGATCAGCTGTGTACACATTGACCGAAAAAAACATCTCCTTTATGCCCATATTATAAGGAGTAAATGAGGTTATCATTGAACATTAAGCTGATGAAATTGATCAAGAAAATTACCTTGGTGTGATGCCAGGCCCATCAGTGGTAGTGAAAAACGGATTTTTTTTGTTGCCCACCCAGCACAATCTGATTTCAATCCTTTGGAGACGCACGCAGACAGTCGTTGATTAAACTGTAATTGTGACAATGATGAAACTTTTTAACACTGCTGCTGTTAAAAAAATTTTTTCAGTACATTATTTTCTGGACTGTAGTGCAGCAAAGGCGGTATAATAATAATAATAATAATAATAATAATAGCTTTATTTACCATGTATAGGCATGGTGGGGGTTGAGGAAAAAAGCTGTCCAAGCAGCTTGACTGGTCCTCAGCCCCCCTCAGGTACATACAGTGGCGAGAAAGACATTTAAAAGAACACAAGAAATTATATAATAATACAAGGTACTTTCATCATAACAATGAACAACAGACAACTATCAGCAATACATCGAAAAAGAATAGCACTGGCCTATAAAAGAAATCGGGAAAGTTGTACGCAAGAAAGGGAAAACTATCCAAAATATTCTAAGATGCTTCAATACAATATATATATATATACATGCACACAGACATACACATGTGTGTTTTTATGCTTCGTACATTCCGCGAAGTTCACTATATCTGCAAGTGTGCAGATCAAAATGAATGTGGTGATAGTTGTTTAAAAGGGATGGTAAAAGATAACGGAGACATTCTTTTCCAGAGTTTAGTCGAGTTGTAGGGACTACCCAGCTCTCTTTGTCTTGTACAGTAACTAGAGGTTTTTATTTGCAGTTGGGAAAGATTGCATATATTACCTGTTCCGGAATCTGGGGTATACACATGGCAGAGTTTTTCTTCAAGGAGGGGATAAAACTAAAGTGACCAGACGTCCCGATTTAGGCGGGACAGGTCCCGCTTTTCCGGCCGTGGTCCCGCTGTCCCGCCAGCGTGCTTGTGGGACGCCGTTTTGTTCCGCTTTTGTTTCTCGAACCGCGGATAGACCAAAGGTTCGGGTAACCGAAAGAATCGCAGCAGTGAGAGGGTGCTTCCTCTGATCAAGGAAGAAGATATGCTCGAGAGAGAAGATGCTGAAGGTTAATTGGCGTATAAAATTTGAACAGTACTATGGGCATAGTACACAAAAATAAATGCATTAATACTAAAGGAATATTCCAACCAAGTGTATTAGATATCTGCAAGCCACACAGTATGCAAATTGCAAGAAAAAGGAAAGGTATGATTTGTTACCAAAATTTAAACTGTTCAAGTCTCGCAGAACAATAACCCCCCCCCCCCGATACGCATCCCGCTTTGGGGCCCGAGGAATATGGTCACTTTAGATAAAACTTCATCAAATTTTGAGGTCACATGCATATTTGAGGTCACCTCATCACAGATGTTCACTAATCCCCTGAGCCCGCATGTAGCCGTGGATGATCTGCGATCGACTTCCAGTATAATCGCAGTATCATTGGAGCGACCACATCCCTTCCTTTCAGTAAAGGATTACAGTCAGCAGCATTGAGCTGAGGGGTGCTTTTCTTATTTTGTCCCTGTGTTTGCATTTGTCTTTTTTTTGTCTTAGTGTTTGTGTCCTTGGAGGGCTTGATGAACCCTTCAGGACACACACGTTTACAAGGAGGAAGAATCCACCTACTTCACTTAGTGCCACTTCGTCGTGTGAGGGATATCTCGGATCCTCCAACCCACCTCCTCATTCTCACGGCTGTTCCTTCTCGCAGCTCTATGACAAGCTCGGATTTCTTCGCAGAGAAAGATCTTTCATGTGAACAGACCATAAAGTGAGACTTCCAGTTGGCCCTCACATTTTCCTTTCCCTGCCGTCTGCCTTCAGCCGCGGCGGCCATCAAAGAGCTGCACAGCCAGGTGCTCCCGTTCCTGGTGTCCCTGGTGCACCACTACACTATGGTGGCGGTGGGGCAGCAGGCGGGGCCCCTGAGGGCCGGCCCCACGGGGGTCGGGGGTGCACCCGGGGCGCCTGGGACCGTGCGTCCGCCCCAGGGCATGGATCCCACGGTGCTCATCGACGCCCTGGCGGCCATCATGGCCCACGAGGAGAAGGAACTGTGCAAGGTCGGCCAGCTGGCCCTGCTGCTCATTGCCGAGAACTCGGCCACCATCCTTACCTCGAAGGAACGGGTGAGCATCCGAGCCACACCTTTCTGACGCAGTACCCGTTTTAATAAGGGCTGGGATCACTGGGGAAAGCGTGACGGAACGGAATGAAAAGCTGTCGCAGGATGCGCGAGACTGGCACGTAAACGTCTTGGAGAGAAATCTGTCTGGTTGGCTGGAAATATAGTAATAAAAAGGAAATACAATCAAATGCCTTTATGACAAACGCCTCTACTACGAAAACGCTCTTTTAACGAAGTAAAATAAAGTCCTCACTGCTGTAACAAATTCCCGTTTAACAAATATTTCAGTTTACTGAAGCAATTGCGTGGCCCCTGCAAAGAAAAAAATGACCGGTATTACGAATTATCTACATAAAAGGTAAAAAAATGACCGTTATTTGCACCAACATAACGCGACCAGGAATATTACGCGAGGGCAGGCTGTGATGCCCTCAAAAAGAAAAACAAAATATTATTACCATTAAAACGCGAGCCAAGGCCGCGCAAATTTTCCGCGCTTGGGGGCATAGCAGAACTGAAAAAATAGAAGAAATATCAGTTTATGTTTTGACTGCACTCATCCTCGCTGCTCAGGTCCTTCTGTTTACAATCCACTTGGTGACTATGCAGACAAGCAGCAGCAGGTGCCTCTTGTCTGGTACTAGTTCCTTTCTGTTTGGTGTGAGCTCCTCGGCAGCCCACAAGCAAAGCAAGGCATGAAGCCTGCATCGAGATGGGTGGCAGGAAGATTGTGAAGATTGAAACGGAAAAGAGGCATGCATTGAGTGAATATGTTTTCGCACCAAGAGAAAGATCAAGTGATTGAAGCTGCTTGGAAGAACTTGTAAAGGAGCTTTCGAAAGCCTCTATCTGGCAGCGGACATCAAATTAAGAGACTTGCTCTTTCAGGGCTTGATTTTCCAAGCCACTTAGTGAAACAATGGTGCCTGAAGATTGTCTCCGACTGGTGTGCTCACCACATCCTCATTTGTAAAAACAATCAATTTATGCCCGATGACGTCATACTTGTGTCCTGCCGTGTCCTGCCACGATCCTGGCGGCAGCTCAACAGTGGAGCTGGATACTAGACACCCTTTTCAGCTACGTTCGTTTTTCGGTTTTGCAGTCCACGGGATATTCGGCAGCTACGAGTTGCGACGCAGTAATGATGGCAACACTTACGTTAGGTCACTCTTTTTTGCCCGAACTTCAACGACCGACCACCAGAATCGCAACATCCTAGAGCATGGCAGACCAACTCCCGTGATGTAGTAACTTGTTACCCCTTTGGGACCACTTTCACTGCTGGAGTGGTATAGGACTCTGAACACGCCAATCAAAGACGCATTCCCGGCACTCTGAGGTTTCCGTCGGGCTCTTCGAAGATGCAGTTAGTAAAAGGGAAGCTGAAGCTCTTTTTAAAAAATCCGGGTTAGGAGCGAACTTTTATAGCTTTTTGTCTTGCGAATTCAGGAATTTTCTTAGGCAAAGGTAAACGTAAACCGTATTTATTTCTAAAAATATGTGCAGCGATTGCCACTGGGCAGGTGGCGAGCCTCTCTGCTGCCTGTTATTCATCCGAAGTATTGTGACATCATCGTCGGCATCCCTGAGCCAGCTTAGTGGCGAGCAAGGGTCGTCGGGCCCTGCCAATGTCGTCACCTTCGCTGGTTTTTCTGTCCGTTCTCCGAATAAGACGGAAAGAAAGCCTAAGACATCACTTTTAAGCTGTCTACATTAAAAGTTTCCCGGTTTTTTCTAATCAAAAGATTTCTCCGACTTCTCTCTAACGAACGCTCCTTGTTGCACGAGAGCCGAGGGCTCACTCCGGGTTGTCTTTCAGGCCTGTCAGCTGCCGTACATGGAATACCTGGTGGAGCGCATGTGCGCGCTCTGCTACGATCGCGCCTGGTACGCCAAGTCGGGCGGGTGAGTGGACGCGGCCTGCCGCCGCACGTGCGTGGCCGAGTGTCGGGGGGTGGAAGATGTCGTCCGACGGGGCCGTCCCCTCCCAGGTGCTTTGCCATCAAGTGCCTGATGGAACGGCTGCCCCTGCGCTGGGTGCTGTCCCACCAGTACCTGTTCCTCAAGGCCCTGCTTTTCATCATGATGGACCTCACAGGGGAGGTGTCCAACGGGGCTGTGGACATGGCCAAGTGGGTGTCTTCCTCCCGTTCATTCTCTCGCGACTTTCATTCGTAAGGGCAGGTCTCTGCACTCGAATGTGGGTACTTTTAAAAGGCCAATCAAAAGAAAAAATAAATTTTTTTAAACAGTCTCTAATTGAAACACGCGTGTCAAAAAAAAAAAAAAAAAAAAAAAAAGATTTACACGAGAAAAAAAAATTTTTTAGAGCAATATTGACGGCACGAGATTTATTTTAAACTCTACGTGCATAGTCCATGACGTCACAGAATGGTCATACGTTCTTTCCACCTTAACAAGATGGTCATACATTCTCTGCACCTCAATGTGATGGCCAAACCGATCCACCTCTCCTCCACGCGCCTGAAATTCCGAGAAAGAAAACAACTGAAAAGGAGGTGACTAACGACTCAATCGCATCTTGTGCCATCAATATTGCTCTAAAGGTAAATTTTTTTTACTTAAAATTTGGTTTTTGACATGCATGTCCCAATCAGATTGTTTAAAAAATACATTTTTTTTCTTTTCAGTGGCCTTTTAAGGAGATATTTGAGTGAGTTTTTGACTTTGACGAGAGTGAGAATTTAGTCGATTTTTCTCCTTTGGCTTTTGCTCCTTTTGCAGCATGGATGCTAGCAGTACAGGAATAGCGAAAATATGAAATTTCTCGTCAGCAAAGTTCAGTGATGTAGAGTCTTTGACACTCTGCTTGCTATGCTCCAGTAACTCAACATTTACCCAATATCGACGGCCATACGATTGGGTTGGGTGTTTTTGAGTCCACGAATATCTCGCCGTAAGTGCGGATGCCCGTGATTACTGCTGGCTTTTGTGCATACCTCACTGTCTGTGGAACAAATTTTAATGCTGAAGTTTCTTATGGAAAAATATGTCGCACGTACATGCTCGCAAGCAGCATGTAATGTCGTAATTCCAGCGTGCTTTCAATCACTGTGTCGCCAGGCGTCACCGGGCGAAAGCTTGAGACTTGTGGCACTCTCTGCGAGCGTCTATAGTCATTGACAAAATAAGAATGGCTGTGTCTCTCAAATGCCCGGCCTCCAACATGTGCTTTGCGCCTTTCGCTATGCATTGGTGCACGAGCCACCAAAGCACCATCAACCGAGGCTCCTCCCTCTGCCGTTCCCACCTCGTTAGTGGCCATTGCTGCTCTGACCGAACCTCTCGTGTTTCGTTGCGGCAGGGCCAACCTGGAGAAAATGTTGACGCTGTGCGGGAGCCCCGTGAGCCCCGAGGGTGGCCAGGAGGACCTGGCCGAGGCGCAGAGGAAGTCCCTACACGAGGTGGCACTGGAGCTGGTGCGACAGATCACCTCCCCAAACAGCTGCGTCAGGGAACAGGCAAGGGCGCTTCTCCTCGTCACAGGCGTCCGAAAGAACTCGCTTTGCATCCTCGTCAACCTCCAGTCATACTTCATTTGCCTGGGGTGTGAGTCGAACACCGAAACACGGTGAAATGGAAGTGAGAGATTCTGCTCGGAACGTTGAGACGAGAGGGTTATATTTTTGCGAGCTAAATTTGCGTAAGGTGTGGTTTCCTTATCTGAAGACAGTTGCCAGGCTGTTGGGTCGACACAGTTCGGCTTTTCGAGGACATGCTGCCTTATTTTTGGTTGTGGATGGCTCGAGTGAGTCGATTTGAAGACGTAGAGGAGTATGTACTTGTGCTTTTTTGGTATTTCATACTGCAACTATTAAGGTGCTAAAAAACAGCGGACACACGTGGAAGAGGGACATGCACATAAGCGCTAGTTACAACTGAAAGTTTGATGAAAGCAACATATATGCCGCAAATGACAAGAAATGCCACATCATCCACCCATGTATCCCTATCACTTTGCACTTTGATTTGAAGGTACATGTTCTTAAGCATCCCCCCGTCCCTGCCGAAGACATGCCTCATATTCTCCACCCTGCTGTCCCGGGATTCCGTGAGAGACCGTGTCCCTGTTGCTTTCATATCAGTGGCAAACCTGAAGTCCCTCTAAATCGAGGTCATCGACAGCCGTTGGCACTAGCCCGTGTGCAGAACGGTCTGTCATTGCTGCCCTGCCCCCCCTCAGGCCATGCACTCCCTGGAGGTGCTCGCTCGGGTGTCCCACCAGTCGGTGGCCCAGCTGATGGAGCCCCACAAGGAGCTGCTGGTGGACATGATCCCCCCCAAGAAACACCTCCTCCGGCACCAGCCCCTCAACGCCCAGATCGGACTCATGGAGGGGAACACCTTCTGCACCACTCTGCAGCCCAGGCTCTTTGCACTCGGTGAGTTTCACACCCGCCTTGTCGGAGTTGCTAACCGCTTGGGGTCCCCCGGCGTGTCACCTTTCGTTTGCTGTGTTAAACTAGTGCAATTAAGATAGACTTTATTAATGTCTAAACTGTTTGTTTTGTCACAAGTACCGTATTTGCTCGATTCTAAGCACCCCCTTTTTTTCACACCCGCGATGTTCAAAGGGGGGAGGGGGGGGGGGTGCTTAGATTCGGAACATGCCCCGAAAATACGAAATTTGCACAAGAAATATGAATTTATTATAATCAAAATTAAAGAATGAATGTTCTAAAGGAAATAAATAAAGAATAAAGAGAGGAAACGCACACTCTTTCGCAACCTGCACGGATGTGAAAATGGAAAATGGCGGTATGTGCTGCCATCTATTAACTGACGTTGAAACCAAGCGCCAGTGGCCGTTCGCGACTCCAGTGCTCGGCGATACCGGCGTCTCCGATCTCATGCTCACCAGATTGCTGGTGACCCTTCAAAGGAGCAGAAAAATTTTGCTTGCAAGGTCTGTGTCTAGTTGCTTTAGCTTTATTTTGCGAGAAGACGTTTGTGTCGTGCGCGCTATAAAGATAAACTTGACAAGCAGTTTAAGAACTTGTGGCAAAGCAGACATGCCTAATCTTTCGCCAGCTTTCCCTTTCCGGTCTTTTGTCGCTCTCTCTTTCATTCATCTTCTCGACATTGCGGATGTTCGTGCACACAATAAACCATTTCGGAAACATGCAGTGCCTTCCATCGTCTTTTCGACGCATTATGGGAGTCCTATGTATGGCGCGTGAAGGAGTACCCATAAATAGAAGGAGCGGTTTATGTTTCTTTAGCCTTTTGCAATTTCAAAACGCAAAAACGGGACAACAACAAAATAACGTACGTATGCATTCTCCGCATTCTAAATTCACAATGATAGGAAAGAAGGAATTTAGCCACTTTCACGATGTATGAAGCAAACGAACCGGCCCGAGTGTACAATGGAAAAGCCCAGCAATTCTGCACAATGCACGAACGAGTGTCCTCGCAGTATTACAGCGGAGCTTCTAAGGGCTAGTTTCCCCAGGATCGTGTCCGGTACCAAACAAATGTCGACACCCGTGGCCGATACGACTCTCTGATTGCCGCCGTCGCTCATAAATGGCGGTAGCTGTCCAGAGTGTTGTGTTTGCCAGTTGTCCACTTGCCGCCGTCGCTCATAGAGCGCGGCAACATTTCTTCAGAGGGAGAAGAGCGGGAACGGAACAAGCGGCGATGTGTGCAGCAGCGCGAATGGTTTCGTAACCGTTGCGAGGCCGCTATCACCTAAAGCTCAACTGCGTCGGGCACTTCAGATTCCTTTGCGAAAGAAGAGCAGATCGCTCGCCTGAAAAGCCACCGCCGAGAACAGAAGCTACAGCTCCGCTGCTCTTCCTTCTTCACCAGAATGGAAAGGCTGAAAGTTTTTTCTGGGAAGATCTGTTTGCGGCGTGCCGCTCCCGTCTTTACCCCCCTCCCGCCTCGTGCCCAGACCTGACCATCACGGAGCACAAGACATTTTTCACGGAGCTGGTGAGCCTGTGCGAGGCCGAGGACGGCGCCCTCCAGAAGCTGCCCTGCTACAAGGGTTGCGGGGCGGCTGCCCTGGTGTCCCTGCGTAAGGCCGCCCTGCGTGCCCTCGCCACCTGCCATTACCTGCCTTGCCGCGAGCGCGTCTTCCACGTCCTGTACCGGGCCCTCAACGCCCGGGACGCCGAGCTGCAGGAGGCCGCCTTCCGCTGCATGTCCGACTTTGTGTCGGCCTGCAACATCGACATGGACATTGTGAGCCCCCCCCTTTTTTTTCAATGCAGATTGGTTTTATTCTTTGTTTTTAATGAGGCAGTCGTCACGAAAGAGTGTCGTAACAGGTGGCACAAATGAGTGACATGTTGGGAGCATTACAGACACCAAGATTATGTATCAAGCTAAAGTTTGAGCGTCAACGGGGCTCAGACTCGGGTCGGCGTGGTGGCAGTCGGATAGTGTGTGGAGTGCAGGTTATCTGCTTCTTTTGCAGGCGTTGTGGTGACATCAAAATGTCGAGCTCTGATTGGTTCTGATTGTAGGATAGTGGGTAGACCTCAATGCATACTGCCTTGAGGTCTACCCACTATCCTTCAATCAGAGCCAATCGGAGCTTGGCATTCTGACGTCAACGCAACCCCCTGTGAGAAACACACAAATTTGTGCTCCGCATGGCCGCTGACCTACTAGTACAGCTGGTCTGGTAGGGTAAACAATTTTATTTGAATGCAAGTGTGCTGGTGAGAGCGGTAGGTTTTGGATGAAAAATAATAAAATGAAATAATAAATAAGTAAACTCATACTATAAAGTGAATAAATATATGTGAATTAATGAAAAATAAAACAATGAAGAAAATAAAAACCAGATAAATAAAGTAGTACATAACTAAAATAATAAAAATAAATAAATTGATAAAATGAACAAAAGGTAAAATAAAATAAATGAAATGAAAAGAAAAGAAAATTAATGTAAATGGATAGCAAAAAGAATGAAAAATGTAGGACAAACAACACACGGAGTGTGGCTTGTGCAAGACGCGTTCTGGTCCTCCCTGGACTATTGAGCCTGTATAAATTTCTTTTGGTACACGCCGTTCAAATAACGGCAATGCGCCTCATTGCAGGTACACAAGGCGATCCGGTCGCTGCTGATGCTGCTGGGAGACTTCCGGCAGCTGTCGCTGAGCGTGATCCAGCGGCTGAGCTACCTGACGCAGCTGTTCCCGCACACCTTCAACGAGAAGCTGTGCGACCAGCTGCTTCAGCACCTCGGCTGCTGGCTCGAGGTGGCAGCCAGGAACCCACCCCGGGGGCTCACCACTGAGATGCGCCAATGTGCCGCCATCATTGACATCTTCCACCAGGTGAGGTGGACAGGGGGCGCAAGCCATCGCCCGATTGAAAAGGTTCAACCATATGCATCCATCCATTTATTTGTCTTGTGCCTGGAGTCGACTTACATGTCTATGTTTTAAGGTCTCAAGCTTGATTTTCTCTCAAAATTTTTAAATGCTGTCACATAGCTACCGGGGCATTCATGTTTGAGGGAAAGTTGTAAGCGGACTATAAACCGATAAAACAAACACTTCAGTTTCATAATTTGTGATCATACCTGCAGAAAAATGATACATTGACCAGTGGCGTAGCTTGGCCATTTGGCACCCGGGGCCCTGAAGTCTTTTGTACCCCCCCCCCCCTTTCACTCCCCGAGATAGCAACTTGTAAAGCGGGGTGGAGGGGGGGGGGGGGGGGCGGGTGCCGGATGGTCGCCAGAGGCGGCACTTCCCCACGTGACCAGGACGTTTGGAACCCAAGGCCCAGGGACCCCCCCTGTTACTACGCCACTGGCATTGGCCGCAACATTAATTGTGAAGAGTTACCTTGTTTGAGCTTTGCATAACAAACTATGAAGTGAGAGAGACAACCACTTTTTGTGGTTAATTTCATACACTAAACTTGCTCAGCTTCCTTGTGTGTGAGAAGAGGCGAAGCATGCACCCACTCTGCCTGCCCACTAAAGTCGCTCAACTAAGGATGATTTGAGTGACAGAGTTGCTACCAGATTTGTGCAGGAAATGACAGATTGACCTGTACAAGCTGAGTGCAATATTACAAAACTGATAAAAAAGATTATCCCATTTTACAAGTGAATCAAACACAGTTCCACTAATCAGGTGGCATGGTGCCAGATAGTTGACAATTGATCGACATGACGAAAGAACAACCCAAAATAGACGAGACATGGTCGGAGAAACAAGCAGGACGAGCGCTTGTCCCGTATGTTCTCTTGCCCTTGTGACATCTATTTTGCGCCATTTTTTATGTCTAGGGATCAGTAAGAACCGTGACCCACATTAGCCTTGTCGTGTGACCAGATCCCTGCGGCTGGCCCCAACTTCATCCGTCCGCTGGTGACGCTGGTGCTGAAGAATGAGCGGGCGCTGATGGTGGAAGCCGGCAGTCCATTCCACGAGCCGCTGGTCCGCTTCCTCAGCCGACACCCTACGCAGACGGTGGAGTTTCTGCTGAGCGAGTCGAACGTGCAAGACGAGCAGCTCAACCGCTTTCTGGAGGCAAGTGCTGCACCTCCTGCCGCCATCTTTGTGCACCCACGCCTGTTGCACTCTCCGGAGTGTTTTGAATTAATGGTGGGGATGTCAGCTGGCAGCGTCGGGGGCTTTCTAAGATGGTGGCACAAAATAATTAGCCATCGCAGCAGGCAAATTCTTTACTCTCACACATTAAAACATGCTTGCTGGTAACCTGGGCAGCATAGTTCTTGGGAATAGTTCAGTGAATTAAACTGGACTGGCTCGGTGTAGGCAACAATTGTGACTGACAATTTCTTCTGTCACTGTGTGTCTCCTAGAGCCAATGAGTACCTATTTACTGAGTACCAAAGACTCTAAGCTCCAACTTCTGCTCAACTTGAATTGCCATCAAAAGGGGTTCAATGTACAGTAATTTCTCATTATATCGAAATTGCTTTTTTTGGATTATCGTTTGATCAAAGTTCAACTTGGTCCCGACCGAAATTCACGCATTTTTAGACAGATTCTAAGTGTATTGGCGGCCGACCATGCTTATTTCGAAGGCTGCTGCGCCGAAAGTAAGCAAGCCTACACGGAGGCGCACGAGAGACCCTTGCATTCCCTCCCCTTTCCCCGCCGAGGCAAATGGAAAATTGGGAAAACGGAGTAAATGGGTGACGGAGGGCAGAGCGCGCAGAGCTGGCAGAGTGCCGTTTCTGATGCCATTGCGCCTACGCAAGCAAGGAGCAGCGTCAACATTCCGACGCTTTTTACGGTGCCCGCGACCAATGCCGCCCGTCCCCTGTCGGAATCGGGTCAAGGGAGCAATGGGGCCTGGAACAGATCATTTCTTTGGGAGCCCCCGATGCTCACGCCTGCGATGTACAGTCTCCGGCAATATGAAAGACCCACTGGGAGCGCGTGGCCGAGGTGGTGGCTGGCGGGGGCGCTGCGAGCGCTCCGGACAATTCCATTCTGCTTCGAGGGGAGGATGCTCACTCGGGGCTCAGCACAATCTGATAAGCGCGTTTCGCTTTAGCTGAGCCTGAGTGAGCGTCCTTTCCTCGAAGCAGAATGGAATTGCCCGGAGCGCTCGCAGCGCACCCGCCAGCCACCGGCCCAGCTACGCGCTCCCAGTGGGTCTTTCATATTGCCGGAGACTGTACAACAAGCACATGTGTGTTCTATGGAAGATTGGGAGTGTTTACCGAAAGTCGTTTGAGATTGAGAAATGTGGCCAGCCCAAGTCCGGAATCGCCTAAGAATTCAGCATTCTGGCATTGGCTGTTCGACACTGTCCACCATTTTTGCAGAACAAACATGGCATATTGAACGGGTTCAAGATGTTTTTCATGCAAAAGAAAGCACGCCCGCGACCCAAAGATGAAAAATCGCCAACTGCTTCGTACAGGTCATATTTTCTCTCGTGAGCATGCTTGCCGAGCCGGCGCACAATTTCCATAGCTGCAACAATCTCTACAGGAGTGTGTGAAAACATGTTGGAAAAGCCACCGAGGATAACTTTGATTCGTTTGCGCTTGTCGATGCGGACGTTCCCGTTGTTGCTCCTGCCACGGACGCTGCGATAGTACACCTTGCGTGCAGCCAGGGTAAACACGAATTGATGTTGGAGAGGCACCTCGGAAAACGCCGACGACTGCAGAGACGCGAAACATCCAACAGCTGCTACCAAACAAAGTGGAGTGCAGCGGCGGTGACAGCGTTCTTGCAATGCCTGGAGTGATTAGAGGACAACTGATGCCCGGATGAAATCATCAATCAACTCCACTTAAATATTTTTTTACTCTGTAAACCTACCACGGGGTGTTCATAACCAAGGTTTGTTTGACTAAATATACGGTCAGAGTGTTCCACGTGTTCCTGTCCACCTTCAAGGCTGCCGGCACTGTTTTTTTTTTATCTATATCTTTTATCGAATTGCCGCTTCTATAGAATTTTTGTGCCGTCCCATTCATTTCGTTATAAAGAGAGATGACTGTACTATTGTGGACACAGCTGCCTATAATGCCGTCGAGCGCTGTGGTGTCGTCTGCTTCGCGGCAAGCAAATGGCCAAGGGGGGGGGGGGGGCAATCTTATCGCAAACTGAAATAGCAGTTATTCTCCGACTCTCAGATAGAATGAGTGAATGAAAATACTTTATTTAGAAAGGGCTGGCTGTTAAGCCTAAAGGGGGAGTGGGGAGGGAGGGATCACATACGTCGGTCGATGCCCACGGCACACGCAAACCTTCACAGAGAAAGCAGTGTGTTGCGGGCCCGGCCGTTGTTTGCCCGGAGTGGTCCAGTCGAGGAAAGTCTGGATGTCTTGTGGGAGGTGCTGCTGCCGGAGGCTCTGGTAGCCAGGACAGTCCCACATCACGTGCTCGACGGTTGGGCTGGCTCCCATTGTACACGACGAACACGATACAGCAGGCACAACCTCTTCGTCCGAGTCTGAGTCTGCACGGGCAGCGACGGTTCGATGTCGGTCATTTTTGTGAGTCCGCCGTTTGGCTAGTATGGGCCCGGTTAGCGTGGCCCTCGTGTGGGCTTTGTGGATTAGAACCTGAGCTCCACATGGTGCTGGAATTACGGAACAAATACCGCTCACAATATAGCCAGCTGTGTCCACAATATTACTTGCATAAAGCTTCAAAGGGTCATGCAATGAGGTAATCACCATGGGTTACATGATCACATAAACAACAGCTATGTGGTCACTTAATGCAATCACGTCACATGTCTTCACATGGCATTGTGATTTATTGGGAAAGCATTTGCAACTGGCCTCCATTCTTGACATAAAGTTGAGAGATGCGAACGCATTATGGGGGTCTTAGCCTTTCAAACAAGTCCAAAAGCTTCAGGAAGTCAAAGATGACAATAGATGTGGAAGAGGTCTAAAATTGCTAATACATCAGTGACCAATATTATGTATCTAAAAGTCTAGAATTGCCATAAATGTCAAAGAAGCTAGGATGCCCACATTCTCTGTCTCTCAGCTTCGTGCTAAGAATCGAGGTAAGCAGAACTCATACTCCTCGGCCGATGCTCTGGTCTCTCTTGTGCGACGTGCAACGATTCGTCTGTATCCCCCCGTGCAGCACCTGCTGAAGGGCGACCGTGGGCAGCCCTTCCGAGAGGTGCTGGAGGAGCGCTCTGAGCGGCTGTCCCAGCTGCTGGAGGCGGGGGAAGGGGAGCTCCAGCACCTGGCCATCCGGGTGGTGTCCCTGCTCTGCCGGCGCAAGGAGGACTTCCTCAGCGAGCGCCCCGCTCTGGTGGCACGCCTCAGGGCCGTCTGGGTCTCCGAGTCCTTCCAGGTAGGAAATGGTATCTGTGTCGCGTGTCCTGCAGAGAAGCATTTCACTTTTCCGCAGGGCGAAGAGAGCGAGCAGGATCATTTTCTCCGAGGTATGCGCTCGCACAAAGCGCGATTCGCGTGCTGTCAATTAGCAGCTACATTTTATTTCCTGTTTATTTAAATGCAATTAAACTTTTTAGGTGTTTCTTACACCACATTCAACAATTTTGCAGAAAGTTTTATTCACTATATCTGCGTAGGCCTTCCAAGCTTTTTCGGACTCAAATCGCATTGCAAATATACAGACGGTAACGGAAAATCTAAATTTGTTCGTTATTACCAGGTTCGTTATAAGTGGGCAATGCTGTATAATGGCACGTTTTGTGTCTCTTTGCCGAGAGAGTGAGGCAATCGATGTACCTCCTCTTTCCGCAGGGGCTGCTGGGGGGCCAGGGTCCGCCCGCGCTCTCCCAGTGGAAGGAGCCGCAGCTGCTGTGTCGCTGCCTGCTGGGCCTGGTACGCCAACGACCGCAGGAAGTGGAGCTGCTCTTCCAGCTCCTGCGAGCCTTCACCGGGCGCTTCCTGCCAGACTTCGGCTTCCTCCGGGAGTTCCTCGACCAGTGGGCAGCGCGGAAACAGAGCGTGGAGTGGAAGCGCGCCGCCTTCTTCCGCTTCGTCGAGGCCTTCGGGGACCCCACGTTCCCGCAGCCCCTCCTGGCCAAGGTCTGTTGGACGCTGCACGATAAGGGTATCGGCGGTGTGCACGATTGAAAGCGTCACTATGGTCGGCCTTGCATGATTGGCCAAACGCCCGCCGTGATGTCCCGAGTACCACCAATTCTAATTTTGTTAATAGAGATGAGAGGAATATTACACTGTCGAACTTGACGGCGCGGGCATAAGGACGCGATGACTCCGAGCTTCCGCCGGGCTTTTTATGCACACTGTCAAGTTTTTCGCTGCCAGTCGATAACCCTGGTCAAGGCGTTGCAGATAAGCGCCATAAGAGGGCGCCACCAAAATGTCTAGTGTCCGATAGTCACCGACAAAATGGAAACGACAGGGCTTGCCTTTCAAACGCCCAAACTCCAGCACGCAGTTTGTGCCTTCCGCCCTTGCCTTCTTGAGGTGTCTGATACACCAAAAGCAAGGTAGAAAACTCATGCTGGAGGTGGGACAACCAAAGTCCTTGTCACCTTGTTAGTGACCGTAGTGCAAAGGGGACATTGGCACGATTAATGCAGAATAGCATTCAAACAAAAGCTAACTTGGATTTTGTCTTTGTCCTTGACGTCACGTGACCCGACGTCTCGTCGCAGTGTGTGTGACTACAGCACAAAGTCATCCCGTCATGTGGATTGAGGGACGTTCGGTGTCGACTCATTCTTTAACGGGATGTCACATCACGCGACCACTTCGCGTGACGTCGGGCCAAATGACGTGAATTGATTAGTCGGAGTGTGCCAACAAAAACAAGTCGTGAAATCTTACCGTTTCTCATACATTGCTGTTCTGCATGAGGTGGTTTGATCAGTGAATCGAAATACAGCCATTTTCTTTTTCTGCTCTTGCATTTGTTTTTTTAAGGTATTGAACAACAAACTTTACCACGCAAGTTGGTGGAGCAGACAAGTGTAGCCCATCTCTCGAGTAGCTTATATGGCAGTGTTCCCGTTGGTAACGGGAAGGCGACGATGGCTTGTCTGTACTAACTCAGTCACACTCTCTAGATGTGGTTGCAGTTCTCCTATGGGTGGTTTCATGCAACCCGACTTTCATCTCTGGGGGCAGACATTTTTGGTTTTCATTTGAGTCGGATTTCCAGAATGAATGCGAACATATTCGTTTCCGCCTACCATAAAATACCGGGCAAGCGCTCACTCAAAATTTCGAGATAATCATGAAAGAATGGGGGATGGGCGCTTGTCCGGTCATCAATTCTTCATATCAATGCATTGTGCATATTTTCTCAGATCTTACAAATTTGGGTATGGGCGCTTAATGTGGTATGGGCGGATGCACGGTATTCTTGGGACAACCAAAGTCCGTATGGCTAACTTAGCCAAAATTTAAGTAAATTAAGCTACTACTCAAGATTTTCAGCTATGTATATCCTGGCCTTGAATATATTTCCCCCCTAAATTTAGCGGAAAATTTGTCACATGACCAATGCACCAATTCAGGTTCCCCGCCAAAATTAGCGGAAAATTTACGTCACGTGACACATGCACCAATTCAGTTTCCCAGCTAAGTTTGGCGGAAAAATTTACGTCACGTCCTAAGCACCAATTCAGTCTCCCCGCTAAATTTGGCGGGAAAATTGATGTTACATGTCCTATGTAGCTACTCAGTTTCCCCGCAAAATTTGGCGGGAAAATTTACTTCATGACCTATGCACCAATTCCGGTTCTTCACTAAATTTAGCGAAAAAAGTGACGTCACGACCTATGCACCAATTCAGGTTCCCCGCTAAATTTGGCGGAAAACTTTTTTGTCACGTGACCTGACATCACGGGATCTACAGGCAAATTTAGGTTCCCCGCTTAATTTAGCGGGGAACCTGCCCGTGTGTGCAACAATAAATGCTTTCACATCCATAGATGATCAACCCTGTGGTTTCTGCAAATATGCTGCCCTAATTTTTTTTTTTGAAAGCAGTTATTTTTTTGTTACTTTGTGTATCCGTGTCACAATGTATTACGGCTCATTTTTTTTAAATTTTTATTTTACTTAGTCAAATCTTACAGCACAGAGAAAGGTGTTGCATAAAATCTCTAACAATGTAACATTGGCAATCTTAACAATTGTAGCAAGGAAGCTTGAATACAGATACGAAGGATTAATAGTGAACACAAATGGATGATGCTAGTGGCTCACATTGATTATGCTCGTATGAGCAGATCCTCGATCGAGACTTCGTAAGATCTGCTCGATTCAATAAATTCAAAAGCTTCGTGACTGACGTTCCTCGGAGCTTACCTCCAACAAATCTGCTGAAGACTCGTGTGCTTGCGCACCGTAACAGCAAGCTCACGCTGCAACTCCAGGTGCTCCAGCACCTGCTTGTGCCGGCCTTTGCGGCTTCGTTCGAGCGTGGCGAGGGGGAACAGCTGATTGGCGGACCTCCCATGCCAGACCGAGACTTTCCGGACAACGTCATTAGCGTCTTCATCAACCGCGTCATCGACCCCGAAAACCCGTTCGGAACCTCGGACGCCGTGCGGATCCTCTTGCTGCAGTTCTCCTGCCTGCTGGTGGAGCAAGCTTCGCCCCACATCCACGATGCTGCCAACAAGTGAGGGTTGACCTCTGCTCAATTGTGATAGTCTAGACTAAATCTGAGACTGTGGCAGCCTAGTCTTTAAAGGCTTCCAGCACCAGATCTGCAGAAATTTTGCAGAAAATGCTAAGCTGCCTTTTTGGTTGGCTGGTATCCCCAGCTGTTTTACTAAAACACCGTACTGGGGGCTGAAAAATGGGTGTGGTAGCCTTTCAAATATTAAGATGATGGGACCTGCATAAATTCTTTTTAATTATATGCGAGACCGAGGAGTGAATGCTGATTTTCCCGTCCAGGCGCCAAGGCATCAAGCTACGCCGCCTGATGACCTTTGCCTGGCCCTGCCTGTTGGGCAAGAACTGCGTGGATCCCGCCACCAAGTACCACGGGCACCTGTTGCTGGCACACATCATCGCCAAGTTTGCCATCCATAAGAGGATTGTGCTTCAGGTACCCTTCCCTCTAGGCCAGATCCTTTCTTGTTGCATCTTTGAGCAACTTGTGCAACTTGGACAAGAGGCTTTTTGAAGTAGTTTAACTACAGCATGGTTTGAAGGATGACACCACCCACTCAGAAGTGGGTTCCTTGGGGAAAAACAAATGTATAATGTTGGGAATGCTTGAGGGGTAGTCTTAGTGCCCTTTCTGAAGCTGTAACATGTGATTTAGTACTCCCTTACTTTGTTCTCCTTTAGAGCAGGCAGAGGTGAAGGTAGCAGAATGTGGGGCTGTTTCGTATCAGAAGAGTTTCACCATCCGCTGCGGGGCATTCCCGGTTTATTCTCGTCCGTGTTCTGTGTCTTCGTAAAAGTTTAGTATAACGTCTGCAAGCTATAAGTTATAAAATATGTTCTCGTTAAAGACCTCGAAACATAGAACATACCGTAATATCCCGGGAGATGCCCCACTCAAGATAACCCACCCCTATTTTTTTACTTAATTTGCTATTTTATTTTTCAGAAACACAGGATGCCCACTATTACTAATTGCAGGACCCTGGCCAATGGTGTCATCGGCAAAAATGGTGTTACTTAACCACGGCGGGAAATAAGCGAACATTTCTGAATGGGAAGGGTAGTCATCTTGGTTCATCTCAGAGCATCCTGTCCTCTTACCTTCGATGACATAAACAGAAACTTGTTTATGAGAGGATTTCCGATAGACAAAGTTCTCAGCACGCTTTATGCCTACTATTCATTCGGTTTCGGTGTCTGCGGGAGACGCGTTTTCTTTGCCCCACACCAGTCAGTGCTGCTGCAGTCTTAGTTATTGGGTCACGACAGAGACTCCCCAGGACCGTTTGGCTCGGTTCTGGAGGTGTTCCGGTCCAAAATATCGAGTGTTCTATTTCGAAAAGCACAAACAGCTCAAACGGCCAAGATGTCTCTGTTTGCGAGGAGGTGCGTTCCCTCTCCCAGGTGTTCCACAGCCTGCTGAAGGCGCATGCAGTGGAGGCCCGCACGGTGGTGCGGCAGGCCCTGGAGATCCTGACGCCAGCCATGCCTGCCCGCATGGAGGACGGAAACACCATGCTCACCCACTGGACCAAGAAGATCATTGTGGAGGAGGGCCACACCCTTGCTCAGCTCGTCCACATGCTCCAGCTGCTCTACCGGCACTACAAGGTGCGGCCCGCACCTATTGGTGACTACTGTAGCAGAGAGTGCCGACATTCGACCAAAGTGCTGCCATCTGCCAGCTTCGCAAATTTTGTGCTGGTGGTCAGCGTCTGCCGTCTTTGTAGGCGGGAAAGCAGGAGACGTATCCTGGGTGGCAGCTATTCTCGCCGGTTTGTTATTCTCTGCTGATTAGGGTCGTGGGTAATATTTTCAGTTAGTGCCAATTTGGTCGAAAAATATTTTTCAATATATATGCATGCGTAGTATTTTGAAATTGGGTGGCAGTGGGGCAGATCATTGTTACTTTTTCTCTCATGGGCATTGCTTCCCTGCAGTTCAATGGTCCTATGTGGGGAAGCAGTTCTCTTATGGAAACACTGGCCATAATTTGTTGTTGTTTTTCGTGTTCTTCTTATTGCAGCCACTGAGCAGGGAAGTGCTTTGTACCTGCATTTACCTTGAACAGGAGCTTAACAAGCGCTATTCTGTGAAGGTTTCTCAGTGTTCCCACTTGCCCATGTTAAACATAGAGTATTGTTTTTCTCTTCTTTTTTTCCCCTTTTCATATCTCCGCGGGAACCCATTGATGTATACTGGTTCTCCCACGCCGCATGTGCATCATGCAGGTGTACTACCCCGTGCGCCACCACCTGATTCAGCACATGGTGAGCTCAGTGCAGCGCCTGGGCTTCACGCCCAACGCCAACATCGAGCACAAGAAGCTGGCCGTAGACCTTGCAGAGGTCGTCATCCGCTGGGAGATGCAGAGGCACCGGGAGGTCGAGGTTGGTCCCTTCTTTACTGGCAGGGAAAAGCCTGCAAGTGGAAGGGCTAGGGAATTTAGGGAGCTTGTTAGAGTTGGGGAAATGGAGGGATATTTAGGGAGCTTGTGAGAGGAACATTATGAAGGAGAATTTAGGGGGTGGGGGGGCTGGTTTTGGGTGCGCCACAGTAATCATGCTCTATAAATTGCAAACCTTCTTTAGGGCACTTTTGGCGTGGCTTTTGCCGAAGAAAAAGCGCCTTACGAAGCTCACTCAGCACGTAGAGCGACGAGACCGTTCTTGAGCCTTACCCCTTTCACCATATCACTGTTTTAAGCGGATCACAGATGGTGGCGTGTATGTTTACATCATTGCGTCTGGTGTACGAAGGACGTTCGGGGTTGGGCAGTTCCTCGATCCCAGCTTCACCAGGCATGCACACCTCTCAGTTTTACAGTTGATCACTTCCGCAACCACGCAATTGCAGCCATTACGAGAGTGGCTGCAATGCCACTCTCGTAATGCCTGGCCGCTTGGCAGCAAAAGAAAATTGGCGGGCTTGGTGGCTAGCTGGCTAGCTAGTAAGTCGGATGCAGTTCAAGACTCGCGGAGCAGGAAATGAAAAATGTGTTCCTTTCGCGAGAGAAAAAAAAAAAATTTCAAATATTGATGGTTGTTGTGGGGGTTGTGTTCATTATGCCAGTAAATACAGCAGTCGGAGAAAAATGAAAAAGCTTAAAAAGGCCAAGAAATCTAGGGGTTTAATTACGGTGGAAAATATGCTCCCATGCCTATTTCGACGATCACCAAGCCACTGGCAAAGTAGCCTGAAGCATTTCTCTGAACACTCGGAACAGACCAGGAGACACTCTGTGTTAGTTTAGTTTGGAGTGAAGGAAAGGAAGGTAACACTTATATCCACGTGTGAGAAACATTCGTCAAGTTTCAGCAAAGTGTGTGAACAACCAGTGCCCTTTTGATAAACAAACTTAGTCAAAAGAGCAAGTAACAAACCAGAAAGAGAAGTAGTTAAAGCGTCTCGTTATCACTTTAGGCAACAACTGTGTTAGCACACCATCTATTTTACTCAGTGACATAGAAGTTTCCCATCTTGATGGTTTTTGTAGATGCGACTATGGGGGTCAATTGTGTGAAGGACTGACCTTTGTGACTTATTTTGTGTGACACTGTTCGTACCGGAAGGGGGGGCTGTTTTCATAGGAGTGTTTACGCACATACACTGGGCGATGGTCTGCTTGATTGTCTGAATTAAAGTTGGTTGAAAGTCGGCACCCTTTCATGTTGTATCTGTTCCTCCTTCGTCTTTGTGTCCTTTGCGCTTTTAAGCTTTTTCCGTGAACAGTGTCCCCTTGTGATGTTTTTCACGTCCAGATGTCCAGTCCCGAGGCCCCCGGGATGAAGCGTCCCGCCGGGGACATGGCCGGGGGGGACTTCAAGCGGGTGCGCAATCTGTCCGGCCCCAGCGGACCCAAGCCGGGCCCCGACGGAAGCCGCCCCATCGAGAAGCACCACGCAGACGCCGTGGTCAACTTCCTGCTCCGCATGGCCTGCCAGGTCGGTTGTCCCTACTCTCTTCCCCCTTGGGGACTGGAAAAGCCTCGAGGACAAATCAGACTTGGCTGTCTCACTCTTTTAAGGCAGTTCATGCGATCGCAAAGCAAAAGGAGAGCCAGTAAACTTGGAACCATTAAACCTAAACAGTGGCATCAGAACAGGCGGGTGACCGCCCCTCAGGCAGTTCAGAAATTGAATAGAAACAATACGGGGGAGGAAACGTGAAATTGCCGTCGCCCCCCCCCCCCCCCCCCCCTACGATTACCGTCCCCCCCTCTCCCTTATCCCCTGAATAGTTCCGACGCCTCTGAACCTAAAACACAAATTCGTGCTTGTATCTCAGTTGTGCGATATTTGAGGTGTTTCATGCCAGCACTCCTCGATTGTTTTCGCGGCAGCTGTATGCCGATCGCTTGCAGGTCACATGCTTCTTGACATGGCTCGTTTCTGCGAGTGTTGCAGGTCGTCCCATTGTCAGGACCTAGAATTGCGCCTGAGTGTAGGGTTCCGTGTCCCAGGTGAACGAGACGTCCACCAACATTGGCTCCCAAGGGGAGGTGCTGTCCAGACGCTGCGTGGCCCTCCTCAAGACTGCGCTCAAGCAGGACGTGTGGCCAAACTCTGAGCTGAAGCTCGCCTGGTTCGACAAGTTGCTCACAACTGTGGTAAGTTGGCCGTTGCCATGCTGACAAGCTCATGTTGGTTCATTTGCACAGGCCTCCCAAGTTTTAACACAATGGGTTTTATGCGGCATCTTCTATGAGAAAATTGTCATAAACATGCGGTATAACGAGCAGATGGCAGAGGCCTTTAAGGTTGTTTTTTTTCCCCTTTGCTACATGTAGAGTTATGTAGGGTCGGTGGCTTACTATCACACAAAAGGGAACTCTTTGACACAGCACGTAAGGGGGTGGTTGCACTGTCTGCGGTTTTTCCTGTCACGCTGCTTCATATCATGGTGCATGTCAGAAATGGGAGTGAATCTTCGGTGGGTGGTGCCATTCAGACGCCCTTCTCTTCTTCTCTGGAAGGCCTATCACATTCTGTGCTTAGCAGTGTTTGGTAGCATGATCAAGCATGTAACCACGTCAAGATCGAACCGTGTCTCCACCGTGTGGCCGAAATTAGAAACATGCGAAAGCAGGGATACCGCCGTGCGTCGTCTGCTACGGGCGCACGTTCAGAAGCATGAATCTCAACGACGCAAGCCCATTTTTGGCTGAGCTGAGCCCTCTTCATTAAACAGATGTTGTTTCTTTCCACTGAAGGCTGTGTTTAATGATTCACATACGAGGAAATTCAACAAAGTGATTATTATTAAGTAGGAAGCTTCCATAATCTTAGTGTTGTAGTTCGTATACAACCACTGGTCCCACATATTTTTGTTTTCTCGCACAAACCATAGCTTTCATAAAACATTGAATATTGATTGGAGCTGTGGTTTGATTAAAATAATAACTTGACTGATCACTACCCTTTAATCGACTAATTAGTTGATAAATCGATTAGTTCATTCTTCACCAGTCATATTGCATGACAGATGTTAAAACCACACATTTTTTAAAACTATTTTTACTATGTCATGAATGGCATATTGTATGCCTATTTTAAACTTCACGTTGTGACGCCTACAGAAATATGAACACGGGAAGCCTTTTGAAGTGAAGTGATTTTTAAGTTACTATTTAGACACTTTATACCATATTTACTTGCATAATGAACACTTTTTTCCCCAAAAAATTGACTCATATTTGGGGGCGTCATTACTCAGGGTAAAAGTTTTGCATTTACACACTTTGCACAAATGTCATTTTAAGTGCCAATATGACATGTCAGGGTACTGTGGCATGTCTCCACTGACGGAGGCGTGCCCATGCCTGGTCATCGACGTGCCACAGTAATCGTGCCCTATAAATTGCAAACCTTTTTTAGGGCGCTTTTGGCGTGCCTTCTGCCAAAGAAAAAGCGCCCTATGAAGCTCACTCGGCGCGTTGACCGACCACTTTGACCGACCGCTCTGACGTGTGTGAGCAGGACGCTGCCCAGCCCAACTATGGGAACATCTGCACTGCCCTGGAGCTGCTGGCCTTTCTGTTGACCATCCTGCGCAACGAGACCATCCTGGCCAGCTTCAAGCCACTCCAGAGGGGCATTGCTGCCTGCATGACCTGCAACAACTCAAAGGTGACCCCTGTGTGATGCTGGTTAAAGCTTTCGCACTAACCAGCTACACCATGCATTTTGGGGATGTTGTCGCTCATACCTTTGTATTGTATTTCGCACTGTTTACTTCAGTTTCTTTCCTAGCACATGGTATATGTCTTGAGAGCACTCTGTTGCATAATGCCGAGCGCGCTCACTGCTATGGGTGTCAGCAGAAGTAAACACTGAGAGAAGAGTAAAAAAACATTTTGCAACATTGATGAGGCGCAATGAGGTAGTGCTGACGACACAGAACTAGCTTAGGTGCAAGTTTTTGCTGTTAACTTGATTGTTTTGCATTCAGTTTTGCATTAAAGTACCGAAAGAATGCCCACCCCAAAATGAAGAGATAAATGTTGAAATATATGGGGTAAATGATTTTTAGGGATGCGACAGCAAAATTTTATAAAAAATTAGTGACATAAACCTTGGGGACTCGCTGTAAGCCACGTGAAACTGGAACTGATACCACAGATGACAGACATGGCAAATTTGCGTTCCTAGGTGTGATAAACACACTGAAATTCACTACGAACTCCCCTGTCCCAGGAAAAAATACCACAGAATGCAGACGCAGCAGATTCGCGCTTCACGGTGCAATGAACACGCTGGAATCCGCTGGAAGCTCTGGTTTCACGGGAATCAATATCGCGCATGCTGATTGTGGACAATAGTGCGGGAACCCGCTACGAACTCGCATGTCACAGGAACAGATACCGCAGATTGCTGACGCAGCAGATTTGCCATTCACCGTGTGATCAACACGCGGGAAACTGCTACAAACTCGCGTATCACGGGAACTGATATCGCAGACGAAATTCCGAGGACACCTAAGCACTTATGAGTTGTGAATGCAAACGCATGATTGTTGAATCGAACGCCGCGGAGTGCTTTAAGTTTTGAGATGGGTTCCAGGAGGAGCAATCGCTTTCTCTCTCTTCCCTCCCCCCGCCCTTCCTCCCCCTCGGCCCTTGGGTCATCCAACAAGGGCACACCACCGTGTTAACTGTTCCTTCCACCGGCGCGGGTCTGCAGCACCATGGGGTTGTGTTCCTTGAAACTAGGACACACACCAGGCAAGAAGAGTTTATTCTCCGTTTTGCTGCTACAGACTACGGCCTTCATTCCATGGGACAGGGGACTTTAGGTGCCGTTTGGTGCAGCTTCAAGAGCTGATATCGCTGGTTCGCTCCATGTGACAGTTAATGCTTTCACATTAAAAAAAAACATGGGAATGAGCTACGAACTTGCATGTCACAGGATTGGATATTGCAGACTGCGGGCACAGCAGATTTGCATGTCACAATGCGACAAAAATCAGGGAACCGACTGTGAACTCGCTTCTCCCACATATCGGTACCGCAGATTGCTCAGTTAACGGGATTGCTGTCGGACATCGCGTGATTGATATCCGGTGGGAATCAGGTGGATGGGCAATGTTTCTGAATTTTCATGTCATAGATATTCAGCCCAAAAAAAGGGATGGCCAATCTCTCGGGGATGGGAGTCCGTACGAAGTTTCGCGGTTGTCCTAGAACGTTAACAGTTTTGAAAACAGTGTCAGGAGCAGGTGGCAGATTCTCCTCTGTGAAGGCTTAGAACCAAATTTTGATTCAGTTCAATTGTTTTTCTTATGTGGGCATGTGCAGGCAAGGCCCCGATAGCAATGGTGTAGATACAACAAAATGATTCTCTAGTTTTCATATTACATTCTTTGGAGACACGTCCGGTTAGGTCCAGGTGGCCGACAACAAGGTTTTGTGCAACGACGCAGGTGATCCGGTCTGTGCACACGCTGCTGTCGCGCTTGATGAGCATCTTCCCGAGTGAGCCGACCACTTCAAACCTGGCCTCCAAGTATGAAGAGCTGGAGTGCCTCTACGCTTCCATCAGCAAGGTGGTCTTCGAAGGGCTCGCAAACTACGAGAAGTGAGTTGAACGGGTGTCCGGTCTAGCATATGCCTGAACGAAAAAAGGGGTCTGGCTTTCTGTGGTTGCTCGAGTCTTATGTCATGTTTGCCTCTTTTCTTGTTCCTCGTAAATTAAAAAATGGGGAAGTTTGTTTTATGTTTGAAATTGGCTATGCCTTCGGACATCGCTGGAAAGCAAACTCCCTGGATGCCTCAGAAGGGCAGCCGACGTTTAGATAACAGGCTTTGTCTTTGAATAAACAGTCTATTAGTGAAATGCGAGTTCTTACAGACCATAAACCGGTGTAGCGGTTCATTAGCTCAGCATTGCCAGTGACAGAAACAATGACAATGTTCTCTAATGCGAGCCTGACGAATCTAGATTAAACAGAATGTTTAGGCCTCGGCCAGGAATCAATCGCACCATCTTTTTCATTCGTTACGCCACAAAGGTTTGCAGGTTATTACAAGTCATAGGCTGACAGAAACAGAAAAGGAGAGCAACCACAGTGTTACTGTCGAAGTCGGTTATAACGAAATAGTGACTGCAGCGAAGCAATCACGATTTCCCACTCCCGTTCGCACTTTTTCAATGCATTTGTGTCTCTTTTTACGAAAGAAATTGTGTGGCTCCGGCGGATATAGCTAAGAGAAATTTTGTGATAATAGAAGTCACCCAGAACAGGCTGCAGAAGATGCTAGAAAGGTTGATGGCGGCAGTCTCTGCAATGTCGTCTGCTCTCCCTCCCCGTTATCTGGGAAGTGGCTTTAACGCATCGCTGCGGAGGAGCCGTCATGGCATGCCGATAGAGGCGTTCGGAGCGCTAGCGACAACATACCTGCGGAGATGATGGAGAGAGCCTACATTCAAGAGGGGGAGCAGTAAGTATGCCTGCATTTGATTGTCGCGTGGCCAGTGTGGCGAGGAAACTGGGTGGAGAGACGGACATGTTCGCAGAAGGTAATCGTTTTTGAGTTTTGACCCCTTGCATGCTGCAGCTCGTTTTGCAAACGCGGCCGACAAACCATGTGACCCCGATCAAGCAGTTGTCCCATCTCTTAAATCTAGGCTCTCTATACCGACGACAAACAATCTTGAGCGCGAACTCGGTGCCATCCATGCTTCTTTGTTTGCTTCATGATCCGTGTCGGCGTCCGGTCAGTGAGGTCGCTCTTGTGCAAAAGTCTACTTTGCTCAAGCACCGATTCGGGTATCATCGCCACTCAACAATGGAGAGTCCCGGCACCCCTGGCACCTCGATGGGGAAGACGAAAGCAATCTCCTTGAATCAAAAGCGTGCCACCCTCGACGGAGTGCGCATAAACGTAAAGAGTGCCGTCCACCGCTGCCATCCTCCGTGGGGCCTAAGCAGCTGTCGGCATGGTCCATACGTAGCAGAATTTTTTTTCGATCAGAGCTTCTCGCTGGTGGCGAAAACCAGCTTTGATCTAGCAGGGGACGCGTGCAGTGAAGTCTCGACTGCTTTCTGCATGCTGGATAAACATGTGCCGTGAAAGCCCGTGTTATCTTTTTACAGCGGAGCTGTTAAGGGCTAGGTTCCACAGGATCGTGTCCGGTAGGTCGACACAAACCTACCTGGACAGCTACCACCATCTATAAGCGACGGCGGCAAGCACACAACCAGTATGGTTTCCGCTGTCGCTCGTAGGTGGCAGCAACCTTTCCAACTATAATAGAAGAATGAATAGTTGGGCGCGTTGGTGGAAATTCATCGTAGGAAATAGCACGAAAAACAGATGACGACGAAGAAGAAGCACACGTAACAAGTGCAGCGCTCGTCACGTTTGTTTCTTCATCCTCGTCTGTTTTGCGTTCTGTTTCCTATGCTTTTATCAGTTTCGGTCTGGACTCACGATGGGTCGGCCGCGCGCCCTTTCGGGGAAAGGAGACAGGTTGCAGAAAAAGCGGCGACGTACGCAGTAGCGTGAATGGGTCCGCAACCGCCGCAAAGCTGTTGTCGCCTCGACTTCCACTGTGTCCAGCGCTTCATATTCCCTTGCCAAAGAGCACATCGCTCGCCTGGAAAGCCGCCGCCGAGAACAGAACTAGCGATGTAATGGGCACCGGCAGGCCAACGCCACGGACGACGATTGTGCCACGGAGGCCAAGCGCAAGCGTGAGGCCCGGCGACGACTTCACTCCACGCCGGCTGAACAGTTCCCAGGTGCGACGGCGAGGTTCCTGAGGGGGTTTGTGGAGAACCTGTTTGGCGTCACGTGTGCCGTGTGCGACCAACTCTGGTTCGCCAGAGACGTATCCACGATCGGCGGCATGTCGGACAACAGAAAGCGGGAATCGGGCGCGTGCGCATTGCGGCAGTGTATCGAGTACAGCTCCGCTGGTCTTCCTTCTTCACGAGAGTGGAAAGGCTGAACGTTTTTTTTTTAATGTTATTTGTATAAGTTCATATAGTGGATTTAGCGAAGCGATTTCCGATTCCTGTTGACTTCAATATAACCAATCTCGACAGTAGTATCATTTTTTTTAAGTGAGAGCGCCTTGCTTCCGAGAATGGCGATACGAGTGGAGAACCTTTTTCCCGGGGGGGAACGACCGTGCAGGTCTGCGAGTGCAGCCCCGTCATCCCTGTTTGGCTCCCTGATGATCCTGAAGGCGGCATGCGTGAACAACCAGTGCTACATCGACCGCCTCATCACCCCCTTCATGCGCGTGCTGCAGAAGATGGCCAGGGAGCACCTCACCCCAACCAGCCAGGAGACCACCTCCAGTGAGTGGTGCATTGCATTCCCCTTTGCTTTCGGTGATAGTGCTTTCAGAGACTATTAACTGGTGCTTCTGGCATCCCACACTGTCTATGTACCGAAAGTGGTCTCCAAAGGGCAACAAATTACATCTCAGGTGCCAGCGCGTCATGTTGTCGAATGTCGCAATCCCGGCGGCTGATCTTGGTAGTTCCGGCGAAAAAAGACGAGCAAACACAGGTGTTCCCGTCATCACTGTGTTTCGGTTTGTTGCTGCCGAAGTTTTTTTGAAGGGCAAAGCTGGAGAGCAACTTGCGGCAGAACGGGCACCTGTCGTATCCACCTGCACTGCTGTAGTACAGGCAACTGCGGCACTCGAGGGACAGACCAGTTGCAGATACGTTCCAGGAACCATACCGTTGGTCAAACTTTCTCATCAAATGATTGCGAAAGGATAGGTGGGGCTTTGTTGGAACGAGCTCCTCTGCTGTGCACCAGTGGGCAAAGGAGAAGTGCATAGTATTTGTTATTTTTATCTTTTGTTGAAGAGGTCTGGGGATCATTTTGTTTATGATTCCTAATCAGCTTTTGTATCACCAACAGGGAAAAAAAGTAAGTATTTAATGTTTTGACTTTCTTGGTGGTGCTTTTGATCAGTGAGCAGTTATGTTTCTCTCAATGCCATTTTAGCTAGAGATTTTTTTTATTCTTTTTGCTATTTTTTGCTCAATACTTGACAAAACTCTATTGAACTTGTGAAATCCCACCTTGTCTGGGCAGGTTGCAAGTGTCCTTTCAGATTGTAAGTGAATACTTCGATATGGGCTACATAGTGGTGCTTTTTTTTTTACCAGAAATTGGGCACGAAAGGTGTGTAGGACCATCTCCTTAGGTATTTTTTCTTTTATGCGACAGGTGTTGACATGTTTAATCTTATTTTGTTTTAGAGCGCAGCTCTTTGGCACCCGTTTCCAGCTTGAGCGGCGTCGCCATTGCTGTCGGCTTAACCGCACGTTGCATAATGGGACGTTTTCGATAATGACGTCACACGTGACGTCACGAGGGTCACAACGGAGGAGGAGAAGGAAAATTTTCCCACTAAATTTAGCAAAAAAGTTTCTCGCTAAATCTAGCTGAAAAAATTCCCAGCTAAATTTAGTTGAAATAATTCCCCGCTATATTTAGCGGAAAAATTTCCCCGCTAAATTTAGTAGAAAAATATCCCCGCTGAATTTAGCGGGAAATTCACCCGCTAAATTTAGTGAGGAATTTTTTACACCGAATTTAGCGGGAAGTGTAGCAAAAATTTCCTGCTAAATGGGAGGGGAGCAGGAGAGGAGGAGAAGCATACCCTCCCCTCCTCCTCCTCCTCGAGAGCTGCACTCCAATTCGACATCACAGAGAGTGATAAACAACTTTCATTTTTTTTTTTATTTTTCTTACTTCTCGTTTGAACTAACCTGCAACAACCATTCTCAAAGCTCAATAAAAAGAACTTGCTTCCGTAGCGTTCTAAAAATATTGTATGAACACCTCCCTTGTTCCTTCGGGTGCTTTGTTTTGTTCGAACACTATTAGAGGGCGCATGTCTTGGGACTGTCGAGGAGGCTGATCTCTTGATTTGAATTTCCCCTCTTCTTTCTGGCTACAATGAAACAAATTAGAAAAATTGGCTTTTTGGCATTTCTCAAAGGCATTCTAAATGCCTAGCATTTGCAGGCACGGTGAGGAGACCACTGAAAGACACATTGTGAGGGTTTTGCAAGAAATGGAAAGCTGTCGCACTGCCACGCATCATGATATGACTCTCTTATCATGCTGTCATGTGACATGACTTCATCATATCACCTGATGTCACTGTCACATGGCACTGCGGCATCATCGGTGCCACTGTCGACTACTTATGCAAAGACCCCAAGAACTGGTTTTACGATTAACGGAGCACAGCTCGCAACTTTGCGAGCGCTGTCGTCTCATTGTGTAACATGTCACCAATCACGAGGGCTAAAGCGACGCTTCGGCCACGATTGCAGTGGGCACGGAGCTGCTCATCCTGAGCCTGGACCTGGTGAAGAACCGTGTGGGGGTGATGGGCCAGGAGATGCGTAAGGCCTTCATCGGCACCATCCTGGTGGGGCTCATTGAGAAGTCGCCCGACGTCAAGGTGCTCAAGGCCATCACGAAGATGGTCGAGGACTGGGTCAAGAGCAAGAGCCCCTTTGCGGTTAACCAGTCGCCTACCCTACGCGAGAAGTCCATCCTCCTCGTCAAGATGATGCAGTTCATCGAGAAGCGCTTCCCGGACGACCTCGAGCTCAACGCGCAGTTCCTCGAGCTTGTCAACTATGTGTACAGGTAAGTGGTACGTCCGTTGTTCTGCATCGGCCAACGACTGGACTATACTTCGTGTCACTAGTTGTGTGCAGTGCAGGCGAAGGCAACGCCAGGGGGGGGAGGGCAAAGAGGGAAATGTTGAGCACTAGGAAGGCGAGATGGGAGAGGAGGGCAGTGGAGGGTGAGGGGAGAAAGGGAGAGCACTAGGAAAGTTAGAGAGGAGAGGAGGTTTCTCTCCTCGTCGCCAGCCATCCTAGCGCTTACCCTTTCCCCCCTCGCTTAGTGTTGCCCTCGCCTCGCTTGTACTGCACGCAACAAGTGACACAGAGTATAGAGGCTTTCTCGAACTTGTGCTCAAAGTTCGAGGAAGAAGAGGACTGACGGTGGTCACCCTTGCCGCGGGCGGTTGTGGGGGACAAACGTCTACGTGCCATCTTGCAGTTGTTTGTTGACCGGTTGAGATTGAGTCAGTATTGTTTGGAATTTCTTTGCTGAAACCAGTTTGAACCATTGATTTGAGCGTAGAAATAGATTGCAGTGCCCCTGTAATCATTCAACAGCTTGTCTTAGGTCCTAGTTTTGATTCTGTATTTCATTAGTTAACATTGGAGTTTGGGAGTCAATATCAAGCAGTGCTATGTGCTGGCAAGGAAAGTGGCACTTATGTGTGGAACACACGGTAAGTTAGCTGTTTTTCTTTTTTATTTTTGGTTGTAGTGAGATGGTACAACGTTCATGAGCCTTTGCAGCTACATCAAGATTGTATTCTTGATCTATATATTTGCGAAACCCGATGAAAACAGAACAGAATCCCCACGTGGAAGTGCATGGTTGTAGTCGCCACAACGTGGCCTTGTAGAAGCCCGCTAAACCTTGACCCCTGTCGCAGGGATGAGGCCTTGAAAGGAACGGAACTGACATCCAAGCTGGAGCCGGCATTCATGGCGGGCCTCCGATGCGTGCAGCCTTCCATCCGAGCAAAGTTCTTCGAGGTTTGGGAAGTTTTTGCACTTTTTCTACTGTCAGACTTACTTTTCTTACTAACCCACAACCTGGGTCATAGCCGCCTGCGTTGTTAACTATGCCTAGTCCATAACCACTACTTAGTTTTAAAATTTACTGAAAGCGGCACCGTTGCAATTGGTTAAAGGCAATATTTCACGCAATCCTCAGTAAGGTCTTGTCTGCCCTGCAGTTATGTGTGTCCCTCATCCTGTGTGCAATTTAAGCAATGCATTTAAGCAATGGTGGTTTCTTGCGCATTAATATTCGCTCTACCATTAACATGGCAAACGTCAAGAAGGTTGCTAAGACGCTCGGAAAGAGTTCTCGGTAATTTGGGGAGTAAAAAACGTAAAAATTTATTTAGTAGGAAACTCGAGAACAAGAAGACAGGACTGAGCGCAACTCGAAATGCCACGACGTCTTTCCCGAAAAGCGCCGACATCACAGTACCGTTTGCTACAACCTCACTCTTCCCGCACGGCAGGTGTTTGAAGGCAGCCAGCGCCGCCGGCTGCACGACCGCCTGCTGTACATCGTGTGCTCCCAGAACTGGGAGACGATCGGCCCGCACTTCTGGATCAAGCAGTGCCTGGAGCTGGTCCTCAGCACCGCAGTGGCCAACGCTCCGCTGCGGAGCGCCCAGCCAGGGGCGCTGCTGCCAGCCGCCACCGCCGGGCTGCTCCAGGCGGACGCCCTCGACCGGGACACGCTCGCCCTGGCCACGCCCCTCAAGGAGGAGCCGCCGGACACCGAGGTGAGAGGATTCGAGCGTTCCGTTCCCGTGTCAGCGGCCACGCACGAGCCTCCGTCTTGTCGAAACGTCCCACTGGCATCGCTTCAGATTTTCCTAAAAGACGACTCCTCGTCCTAGCGTGCCCGAATTCGTCTCCAAAAGTTTGTCTCAACCCTGTACACCACTCGCCAAATTTGTACGGAGCACGCGAGCTGCGTCTCTTCTCGTGGCATGACATTGTGTTACTTGATGTCCATGTGGCACGGCTGTGTGGCGTCGTTTAGCTTCCTGGAGGAGGCTAAAAGACGGCCGCTTGACGTAGCACTTCAAGATGGTTCGTCGAGCGCTACAACGCGAAACTTTTGCTCGGCTGCCGCTAGGAAAGCACTCTATCTTGAAGTATAGCTCTGTTTCCCTACATTTTCTTGAAACGGCAGTACCTGGAAATTGAGGGGACGTTCATTCTAAAGGCTCATTCACACGGTAGTACTATATTGTTTACGTCTTCTTAAAGCTGATTCGCACATTTACGTTTGAGCGCAATGAACTGCTTTGGAACCGCTCGAAAACGCTTGCAAGGAGGGAATGCAAAGTCGCCTTCTGTCGGACAGTCTCGGAACATTTCCAAGCTGTGTATGACTAGACCGGCAGTCTTCCGGTATTTGCACAGTCAAATCTATGCAGCATATATTGAGAAAGGGCCAGTTATAACATTATCAAAATTATTTCGAGCGCACAGTAAAACAATGAGGCACAAAATTCTCGCACATCGGAAGTGTTCCTGTACTACCCAATAAGACAGCGCCAGTTTGTGCCATTGTCGCGAGCACGAGGGGTCTGCAACACAGTCGGTGGCACTCGAATGCAAACGTGCGAACCGGCCCTAAATGTGCGACCCACGTTGCATCGGGTTTTGCTCTCCGAGCTAGAGGGACCAAGCGTACCTAGGCCGTGCTTTCATCTCGGTCGTACGGGGCAGCCAGTTAATAGTCTCTTTCGTCGACTGTACACCACCGTCTTCTGGCCCGACAGCAACGACCGCTTTGTTGCGCGTGTTCCCCAGGAGGAGATAGAGATAGAGCTGGGCGAGGAGGCCCCCGTGCGGGGGGTCCTGGAGAACTCGTTCCGGGCAGGGTCGGACCCCCGGCAGCAGCTGCAGCAGCTGGTGCAGCGGCAGGCCCGCTTCCTGGAGAGCCTGCGGGAGGTGCGCACGGGGGGCTTCCTGGCGGCCACTGCACAGCTGTGCCACCTGGACACCGCCCTGGCACAGCACCTCTGGGTCGAGCTGCTCCCACGCCTCTGGAAGGTGCTCAGCGACAAGCAGCAGAGCGTGAGTGCCCTTCCCCCTCTGGGCTCCTTCCCCCGATAGCCTCGGTCTCCGAGTTCTACTGTCAAAACCAGTTTAACAAGGTCAATAAAAATCAGAAATAACTCCTCTATATCCACCCTTTGTTATATCAAAACTCCATAAAAATAACGGGCAAAAAAAGAAAAAAAAGGATAACATGGGTTGTTACAGGCACATGTTCATTGGGCCTGCAGAAGGCGTTCGAGGCTTCCCTGCAAGAGTCCTCTGCTAGATCGGAGAACTGCGAGAAGCTCAAATTGAAAACAGATTCTGCGAGCTACATACGGACCGTGTTCACAGCTGCAACGGCCGCGGCGAGGAAGCCGGTGTTGGGCAGCAATCTTTATGTTTATGCGCACTCTTCAAGGATGGCACACCTTAGCTTCAAGGAGATTGGATTCGTCTTCTCGGTTGAGGTGCAAGCGGTGCCGGGGTTCTTCATCGTTGAGTGGCGATGATTTGTTGAATCAGTGCTTGAGCGAAGTTACTTCCGCGCAGAGAGCGATTACACGGAGCAGCGACACTGACACGGAACACAAAGCAAACAAAGAAGGCGCACGGCACTGAGTTTGTGCTCAAGTTTGTGTTCCATCAGTGTAGAAAGCCTAGATTTAAGAGAGGGGGAAACTGCTAAATCAGGGTCACGTGGTTTGTGGGCCGCGCTTGCAAAACGTGCTGCAGCCTGCAAAGAGTCAAAACTCAAAAGTGTTCACCATCTGCAAACGTGTCCGCCTCCCCACTCAGTTCCCTCACCGTGCTGGCCGCACGACAACCAAATGCAGGTGCACTTATGCCAATCTGCCCAGGAGATGTCTGCTACTAAATTGCAAACGCTCATCGTGGTTGGGATGTACACTTCCCTAATTTGACTACCGTAATATCCCGAGTCATCGCCCACCCCCCAACCGCCTGAAATTCTTTAAAAAAATGGGGTGGGCCATGTCTCGGTGGGTGAGCACTAACACTTGAAAAAAAGCGGAAAAAACCGCCTATTTTTCTCTGCGTATCTAGCGCTGATGCACAAGAGATACATCAAACTCAAAACTCGATTTAGTTTCATTGTTTTATAGAAAAAAATGCTCACGAAAGAATATTTTACTATAGCGAAGTCCGATGCTTGCATACGCGCTAGAAACACCATCGATCTGCATATAGCACGAACGTTTGTTCCGTGAAAGAATGTGACCATTATGTTCTCCTAGTTAGTAAAAAAAAAAAAGAAAGAAAAGTCTACAAGAAAATAGAAAAACCGACCAGGCGCAACCCGCGAGCGAGCGAGCGAGCGGACCAAAGAAGCGACCAAGAGCAATGCTGGGAAAGCGGGAAAGCCGGCGGTCGCGTTGGCAAATACTTTGGCGTCGGGCCAAGTCGGGCGCCTTGTCAATTGCAAGCTCTTGCGCAACTTTCTTGTTTGGTGCGTACATACGTGCGTCCGTGCACAGCGGGCTATCAATGCACGGTTGGGACGCTCTGCAAACGTCTGTGTACGACGTTCCAGCAAAGCTTTATTTACGCTTTGGCTTTGCCTAAAATATTGCACAACCGCGGTCGCGACGGGCGGGAAGAAGGAGCGGGTTTGCGGTGACCTTACTTCGGCAGAGACAGACTTAGACCTAACACTCCACGGTTACGTTAACAAACTCTTATTTTGTTATCTCCAGATCGTTTTCTTTTCGCACGGATACACGACCACTTTGGGGTCGCTCACGGAGGAAATGCGTAAACAAAAAGAAGTGTCTTTCCCTCCTTCGTTTTACTTTGTCACGGACGTCCTCCAACTGTAAGGTCCGCGGCCGCGTCATTCGGGTAGGATGAGTGTTCGCGGATCGCAGAGTCCGCGCTGGGGTATTTGAAGGGGTGGGCGATGACTCGATGTTTTTTCGGAAATCGATATTGGCCCAAAAAATGGGGTGGGCGATGGCTCGGGGATGGGCGATGACTCGGGATTTTACGGTAATATTTTTTTTAATTTTGACAAAATTTATTTTTGCTATATCCGCGGAAGCCACTCAATTTCCCTCACTAAAAGTAGACACAAATACATTGAAAAAGTGCAAACATGAATGGAAAACCCTGATCGCTTTGCTGTAGGTGCTATTTCATTATAACCGACTTAATTTTTACCGGCCTTCTGCAGCAGCCTTTTGGGTCTGTTTTTTCCAACAAGAGATTTCGACCCTGCTTAAAGTCTAAGTCTGTATTTCTTAATAAACGAGGGAAGGAGTTTAGATGTTCTTTTGTCGAAATTTGAAAATGTGGGATTTCTATGTTATATCTAGAACATATCCAAATTGCAACATTGCGGTGAAATCATTTGTGTGGATCTTGTTTATGCTTCTATTTTCCTTCCACAAGTTGATATTATATTTGTCTGTTGCCTCGATTGTTACTCTAAATTTCACGCGCTTCTGTTTTTGAAAAGTTAAGATTATATGTAATTCGACCCACACTTCGATTTTTTTTACCAAGATGAAAAGTGGAAATTGTTTGCTGCCATATAAAAAAGATGATTACTATGGCACCATCTACAGAAACAAACCTCTTTGTCTTCCCTTAATTATTAAGTTAGTAGCACTCAGACAGTGTTCTCCTTCGATCTTGAATGGCCACTTCCTTGGCACGTTGCAATATACGTCCGACACGATTGGCATTGACCAAATGCCGAGATGTATTGCGGAACTTGGCGTTCTTGGCTCCCGCAGGTGCTGGCCGGGGAGATTGTGCCCTTCCTGTGCAGCGGCAGCCACGTGGTGCAGAAGGACTGCCACCCAAATGCCATCGGCACCTTCGTGGAGGCACTCTCCCAGTGCACTCCTCCAGTGCCCATCAAGCCTGCCCTGGTCAAGGTCTGTGGGCCCACCTGCTTCTGCCTCGTTCCAAAATGGCACGCTATTCGTGACTTCAGCAAAACGAAAGGCAGCTAGCGGGAAAACACTGAACTAGCCGGAACGGGTTCTTTTGCGATTTTCGCTCATCTCTTGTGGCTTCCTCGATTACATGTGGTTTGCGCGGTCTAACAGTTGTCGACTCTGTCCTAACTGTAGTATCAGCTCGTTATGCAGGTTGTTTTGAACACAATTACGGGAACTGGACATTCCGTGTTTATTAACGTTTATCAGCACCGTGGTAGGACATTAGGCAGTCCTTTCATCGCTTCCTCATAGAAAGCCAAGCCTCCAGATGCTCACTTATGCCAACACATTGCCGCAGGTTGGAAATGTGGAGGATAAAAATCAGGGCAAACCATTCTGACTTCAGTGCTTGCTTGCTGGTGCCCCAGCATTCTGCCATATAGTATAACATTTTTGTTAGCTCGTACAGCTACGTACCTATTGTGTAATTGCGTAATGTCGGTACTGTGGTAATTGAAACTTGTCTTCGACTGGTGCATTAAGCATCTTGTACAGCCCGTGTGTCGAAAGTGGTCCCGGGGTGGCAGCAAACTATGTCGCAGGAACCGGTTGTGTCACGCCATTGGACGTCGCAATTGTGACGGTTGGTCGTGGAAGGTCCGGCAAAAAAGATGTGCAAATGCATAGCATCCCAACTCCTGGCTGTAGAAGCTTCTTTGAACTGTCAAGCTGGAGCTCGGCTGCTGTGCCACCGCCACGGTCGTGGCAGACGACAGCGTGACGTTTGTACAATGTCACTGGGCAGATATTGAGGGACTACGAATAAGGACACAGTAAACACACCAGTCGGAGACTCATCCAGTTGCCGTATCCGTATGCCTCCCGCCCCGGCGTCGTGACTGGCAGCGCCTATAAACAAATACCTTCCGAACCTTTTATTTTTTGTGAGAAGCAACCAGCAATCGCGAACCGTGCCTTGTAAGCTGCGTTCCGCTGCTGTTTGGACTGCCATCAACTTTACCGTCTTGCTCTGCGTAGTACCTGGGCCGATCGCACAACCTGTGGCACCGAGCCTGCCTGCTGCTGGAGCAGGGGGCCCTGGAGCGGGTGTCCAAGGGGGGCAGGGGGGGCCCCGAGGAGCCCGGGGAGTCCCTGGACTGCCTGGCAGAGCTGTACGGCCAGTTGCGGGAGGAGGACCTGTGGGGGGGCCTGTGGCAGCGCAGGGCCCGCCACCCCGAGACGGCCCTGGCCCTGGCCCTGGAGCAGCAGGGCTGCTTTGAGCAGGCCCAGGGGGCCCTTGAGGCCGCCATGGCCAGGGCCCGCCAGGACCACGCCACCCTGCCGGCCTCGCCCCTGCTCCAGAGCGAGTTCCGGCTCTGGGAGGAACACTGGCTCAGGTGGGATACAGGGGACAAAGGGGTCGATGCCCAAACAGATGCGGAGAAGATTTGATCGATTTGGGAAGTGTGTGGCTGGGTGCCAAAGTGCCCTTAGTTTGTACCGACTGACTTGAGCAAGCCGCTTGGTCCCAATCGAAAATACAAATTTTTTTCTTTCGAAATTTCGAGCTGCAAAGCAATTTCTCCCATGAGTAGTCTGGAGTTTTATGGTAATGTGCCTGCAGAGAGCATTACCTTGGTGTAGCTTCCTCGTAGGCATGTGGGGGTAGTGGATTTTGAGTTCGAAGCAAATTCGAAGCAAATAGTTTTTTAGCCAAATATTTTTTAATCGAGTATCAAATAGTGACCATTCTTATATGAAAATTTAGCTGAACTCGTGAAGACTGTTCCCAATTTTCCATGTGCACACTCGTGAGCTCAGTTAATTTTAATACAACTATATTTATGAACAATGGCGTGCAAATGACAAATTTGTTGCAACCATCCTAAATAAGAGGATTTATAAAGCTGCTTGCTTTATGTAAATATTATATTTCAATTTCCAATTTGTTAACAAAAAGAAACATGCACAAATGATGAATTCGGTTTGTCAAGACATCGCTGTCTAAAATACTCTTGCACAATTGCAGCGGGTTTACCCTATCGAGCACGCTTCTTACCGAGCACCTCTGCACTGCAAGCAAGCAATGCCCGCGAGCTACGCAGGTATTGCTTCTCTGCTGTGATCGGTGAGAAGCGCACTTAATAGGGCTAACCCGCCGCGATTGACACTTCGAAAACTATGTACATCGCAGTTTATCTGGAATCAAATATTGAATATCCTATTCAAAACTACTATTCAAAAAGTGAAAGCCGTTTACAACTTCCTGTAACGCCGAATTGGAGCGCAGCTCTTGAGGAGGAGGAGTGAAGGGTATATTCCTTCTCCTCCCTCGTGATCATGCCTGCTAGTCCTCCAACCCTCCTGCTCCCCCTCCCTCTCCTTTACCACCTCCTCGTCCTTCAAGCTCCTCCCCTCCCCTCGCCTCCGCCTGCTCGTCTCTCCTCCCCCCCTCCTCCACCTTCGTACTGCTTTCCTCCTTGCCGCTCAATCCCCCCCCGAACCATACTAGACAATGAGGGGAGGAGGGGGAGGAGGAGGAGGGCAGAGGTCCGGGGGGTCACATGACCTCGAGGGGACGGGATCACATGACCTTGGGCGGGCCGTCACGTGACTTCGGCGGGGGGAGGGGAGTCACCCCCCAGGGTCACGTGACCTTGGCGGGGGAGGAGGGGGGAGGAGGAGGAGCGGAGGGGGAGGGGGAGGAGGAGGAGGGGGAGGGGCGACGCCGACGCCGCACAGGCTGGAAACGGGTCACGTGACCCCCTCCCCCCGAGGTCACGTGACCCGCCCGGACCATACTACACAATGAGGGGAGGAGGAGAAGGAGGGGGAGGAGGAGGAGGGGAGGAGGAGGAGAGGGAGGGGCGCGGTTACGCCGACGCCGACGGCGACGCCAACGGCGACGCCAACGGCGACGCCGCTCAGGCTGGAAACGGGCCCCTAAGAGCTGCGCTCTAAAAATTTGAATATTTGCACGACTACTGTATAGTGTACACTCTTGATGGAGCTAGTCTTCGCGAATTTGCCTCTGGGGGACTTGCTCGGGAAGGCAATGTCTCAGTGGAACACATTTTACCGTAGTCGCTGACAATGAAAATGGCAGGGCATTTCTTTCTGATACCGTGCCATTCTCATTCCGTTGATGATTGTAGAACACATTTGTATGAGGCATGTTTCCTTGGAGTGTGTTGTTGTAGGAACTACTGTTGCATGAGGAGCTTCTTTCTCCCAGGTGTTCCAAGGAGCTAAACCAGTGGGACCTTCTGCTGGACTATGGCAGCTCCAAGAACTGCGCCAACCCCCACCTGGTGCTGGAGAGCGCCTGGCGAGTGCCCAACTGGGCGCTCATGAAGGAGGCCCTGTCACAGGCAAGTGGCTTCCTCCCCCACACACGTGGCTATAGTCACGAGGGACCGCGTGGCAAGGAGATGGGCTTCTGTCACGTGTCTCTTTGTTGTGTCACTCTTTGCTCGTAAGTTTCTGATGCCAGTGCTTGCTTCTACTATTGCACCTTCCATTTCCTTTCTGTTTGATACGGTCTGATTTTTGTCTCGTGCATTTCTCTTGTAGGTGCGACCTTGCCATGGGTGACCTTTTCATTTTTTTTGTACTTGTGGTGCTCTTGCACAAATGGTGTTGCGCAAAGAAAAGCAATTTTGCGAGTTGTGCAGTTAACTCTGAGCGTAGTAGTTATGCGTGCTTTAAGGTACATAGCACACTTTTAGTGAAACAATCTTTGTTTTTGTTTTTTCTTTTTTGAACTTTTTTTTAATTGGAAGATTGTCATCGAAATTGTTAGTGTGGTGGTAAGTGTTCATTTGGGACACAGACGTAAAGTTTGGTCCTTACTAATAACCCCTTCAAAGTAAACTGCAAAGGGCACCGATCACGTGTTTGTACCAAGTATGGTCAATCCAAGTCCACACTGGTTACAGGGCTTTGCAGCAGACTGCAACGTTCTCTAAACCCTTTTGTGCCTCCAGGTTGAGCTGGGCTGCCCCAAGGAGCAGGCATGGCGGGTGAACCTGTACCGGGGCTACATTGCCATCTGCCACCCGGAGGAGCAGCACCTGTCCCTTGTGGAGCGGGTCGTCGAGGTCATCACCAGCCAGTGCATCCGGGAGTGGAGGAGGCTGCCCCACGTTGTCTCCCACGTCCACCTGCCCCTGCTGCAGGTGGGAGAACTCTTATCTACCTTAGAAATCTGCCTTCGAGAAGCTTGTCTTCCTGCTAGCAAAAGGCTATTTCGAATTATAGGCCATATTTACATGATTGCAAGTCGACTCGATTGTAGGCCAACCTCTTTACATTGCGTGTCAAAAAAAGCCAAATAAGTTCTATTTTGCAGCGAACATGGGAGAATGACAGGGTGCCTCTTTTAAACGCCTGGCCTCCGATGGATGCTCTACGCCTTCTGGCGCGCTTCAGCTGCACGTGCTCGCGCACATGCAGCTGAAGCTGAAGCTGAAGCAGACCCAAGCATTATCCAAATTAAGAAGTCTGCACTAGAGGCGGGACAACCAATGCTCTTCCCTGTCGTTCCCACTCTGTCTTTCATCCGTACTAGTGCTGTCATTCCCGTCGTCGTCACCGCTAGGTTCCCAAAACTCATAGTCAGCGTTGCTTAACGAAATCTCGTGCTTTGCAAACAACCGTGTCAACTACATCCTCCGTGCTTGCTCTGTGACAGCGTCGTGCTTCGTGGGTAGGGATTGATTGTGCGCTTCTGCGATGTATGTTGCAAGCTTGGCCAACTCTGAAAAGCGTCCGGACGTATCCAAATTTTGGCTTGCAGAAACCTCTTCTTTTGCCGTCGCTGTTAAACTGTCCTGTGCCGTTGCAGACGCCACTGGTGTACCAATTTCTCTGGTGGGTCAAACTGGCATTTAGCGGCGCAGTTGTTGCTTGCTTTTGGACGAAGAATGGTCGTTATTGAGTTTCAAAAACCTAAACTATAGCGGATTACGTGTGTCAGTACAGAGAAACACAGTTGGCAGTCCAGCCCAATCTTGGCACTCAATCAAACAATGTGCGAACACGCATTGTGCAAAAACAAGCAGCAGGGAGTGAGGCTGTTCCAGCAGCTGTTCTGGCAGTTCCGGCGTGGCTCTTGCACCAAGTGCCGCTAACCCCAGGACTCAAGTGCGCCGCAGTGCCTTGCGGTGTATTGCGCGCCATTCAGCAACGTGCATTCAGGCTGATTTGCAAATTGCGATCACCATGGTGATCAGTGGCGTACCAACTTGTTTTTGAGTGAAGGGGCAAACCAGACACCCCCCCCAGTGCCGGAATGAGGTGCCCTTGGTATTCCTTGGTCGCCGGCAGCCAGTGTTAGCCCTGCCCAGTGGCGGCTGTTTCAGTTTCAGGGGACACAAAACGCATGCCTTGCCCCCCCACTCTGAGAACTGGGGGGGCGAGCGCCCCCCATGCCCCCTTGGTTGGTACGCCCATGATGATGATGATGATACTCATGCAGATTAAAAAGAAATAGTACTTGTAAAACGAGCTCACAGAATGCTTATATGCGATAGCTACAACCGGCTGAACGGATAACAGGTCGAGGTGTTTTTGATATTGCGATTGTTTTGTCTTTGTGGGGCAGTGGGATGCTCTGGTTCCGAATATAAATCAACCTCCCAAGCTCAGATTTTCAAGAATTAAAAAAAAAAAAAAAAATTGGGAGTCCTTCTTCTCTTTGAAGGTGGATGACCAGCCAAGCTGTTTAGCACACGACGCAGACCTGCCCCGAGAAGCCGGAGGAAACTAGACACGCGCGATGGGACCCTGGCGGAAAGTAGGCATGTATGATGGGACCGCCACCCAGGGAGAGCGGAAGGAAAGGAAACTAGGCATGGAAGCGCTTGGAGCAACGACAAAGAGGTGCAAGCGTAGACATGGCCGACGCGGGTCGCACAGCGGCAAATCTTGGAGAAACCTTTATTATCTACCTGAGAGTCTACTGATCTTAGAAATGGTGCCTATTGATAACTCATCTACAGAATAGACCTATTGCTATGTTACCCAAGCATCAAGGCGAATGCACGAATTGGTGTTCCACACACCGCATGTGCCGGCGTCTTCAGCAGTAACTGTATGAAAGCAAAAGCCTAAAACAAATGGCATCTTGCATCTGCGTTCATCAACACTTTATCTTGGTTATTTACTTCGAAATTTTTATACAGGGAAGGCATGCATGTGCGGCGCATAGAACACCATTCCCTGCATTCTCCTTGAAGCTTTGGTAATTTAGCAATTTTCGTGTGCATGACCAAAAACTCTATGCTCGCACCGCCCTCTCTATGTCATTGTTCCAAGCGCTTTTGTGCCTAGTTTCCTTTCCTTCTAGTCTCCCGGGGTGGCGGTCCCGTCGCGTGTGTCTAGTTTCCTCCAGCTCCTCGGGGAGGGTCTGTGTCGTGTGCTAAACAGCTTCGCTGGTCGGTATAACCTTCACAGAGTGGAATGGCTCCCAATTTTTTTTTGCATGTTACTTTAATGAAATCCAGATATAATGAAGGTGCGGATATAGCGAAGTGATTTCCGATTCTTGTTGACTTCGTTATAACCGTCTGGACAGTATACTCTGCTCCACCCTGTGGTAGACAGTAGAGGATGCTACGAGCCATCAGGCCCGTAGCACTGAATTGGCTGGGGCAGCTCGTAGAATCCGCTGCAGTTCATTATAAAGAAAAAAGTGTACCGTGCGTCATTTGCACTCATTCTTCTGTACACGAGATGCTAGACGCAGTCACTTAATTGTGCGAGGAGCTCCGGCAGCATACTGCGTTGAGATGACATGGAGCACTGTCTTTACTAGATTCCAATGCGAATCCCAATTTTATACCCAAGGGTGCTGATCCTAACATTCCCCCAATTTTAGTTTCATGCCCAATTCTGATGTGCAGGCAGTTTTTTATCTATATTTTTCTCAAGACAGGTTATGTTAGAATCGGAAAGTATAGTATGATAATCGTGTTTCTGGCACCGTGATTTTTCTGCCGCTGCACGCATTTTGTTGTGTCGACACCCGGAAATGCTGGGGCCAAATACGTTTAGAAGAAAGGAAACATAATTGCGTGTTAAGACTTAGTTGGGCTTTTTTTTTCTTTCACGTATGACAGGCGGCACAGCAAATAATGGAGCTGCAGGAGGCAGCCCAGATCCACCAGGGGCTGCTCCCGGCCAACGCCGGCCGCAACACGAGCCTGTACGACATGCGGGCCATTGTCAAGACCTGGCGCAACCGCCTGCCCGTGCTCAGCGATGACCTCTCCCACTGGAGCGATGTCTTCACCTGGCGGCAACACCACTACCAGGCACGCCTCCCTCTCTCCATTCTGCCTCCAAATGCTTTAACCTTGTGCTTACGACCGTGGGCGGAGGACGAGGAGTACCGTATTTACTCGCAGAATGAACGCACTTTTTTTCCCGAAAAATCGATGCAAAGTTAGGGGGGGGCGTTCATTACGCGAAGTAAAAATTCTGTGTCCGTACTCGCATAATGAACGGACCTTTTATCCTGAAAAATCAAAGTAACTTCTTATCTCTTTGCGCGCGGCGCCCGACCCCGTAACCAAACTAAGCTGTACAAGAAAAAAAAAAAACTCCTTTTTTTTCTTTTAATTCCTTGTTTTTTTTTTGTTTGTTTTTTTTGCCGCCTTTCGCAAGCTGTCTTGTTTACTTAGGCGTTGCTTAGGCGAGGGCTCTCGGCTTATCTTCCTTATCTCCTTGCGCGCGACGCACGACCCCCCCGTAACCAAACTGCGCTGTGCAAAAAGAAAAAAAGCTCATCCTTTTCTTTTTTTTTTCTCAGTTCCGTGGTTTTCTTCTTTTTTTTTGCCGCCTTTCGCAAGCTGTTTCGTTCGCTTAGAGGACTTCTTCGCTTCTCTTTCTTACCTCCTTGCGCGCGACCCCCCCTAACCAAACTGCGCTGTGCAAAAAAAATAAGAAAAAAAAACTCCTTTGTTTTTGTTTTTACTTAGTTCCGTGATATTTTTTTTTTTCTTTTTGCCGCCTTTCGCAAGCTGTTTCGTTCGCTTAGAGCGCTTCTCTTTCTTACCTCCTTGCGCGCGGCGGCGCGCGAACCCAAAGTCCAGACTGCGCTGTGCAAAAAAAAAAAAAAAAAAAGCTCCTTTCCATGTTCTTTTTTCTTGCTTCCGTTGGATCTTTTCGAATATTTTTAACGCCTTTTGCAAGGCGTTTTGGTCGCCTACGCTGTCCATGCATTCGCGACCTCGCTGCTCCAGGATAGAAAAGTGCGTTCATTTCGCGCGCGTGGGGGGGGGGGGGAGGGGGTCGAAGTTTCGACATCAGAGTTGGGGTTGCGTTTATTACGCGAGTGAAAAAAAAAAAGTCGAAATTTTGAGAGCCGACTTGGGGGGTGCGTTCATTACGCGAGTGCGTTCATTGTGCGAGTAAATACGGTATTATGTCTGTACGAACGGGGGAGGTTGGCGTGGAGTGTAAGCTGCATGTTGGAGGTCTAGAGTCGCACTCTGGCTAGTGATATTTGAAATGACATGGTGCAAACGACTTCATTTTTGTGGACCCAATATTTTCGGACATTTTGCAAAGTGTGGGACTGGAGAATATTTCACGGGACAAAATTTTGCGATTTGGAGTGATATTCTATTAGTTACCATGGATGAAATATCAGTGTGGTCAGTTTTTGGCAATATTTTTTAATAAGTTGCGAAATTAGCAATAGTTGGATGTGAAGGCCGAAAAAGGGGGCTTTGAGGGAGGTGGGGGGGGGACGGGGCTATTGTTCCACCCTACCCACTCCTAGGGGCAGTAATACCACACCAGAAACGTGTGCGAAATTTAAGTTAGCTTCTGTTAGTAGGCAATTTTGCATTAAAACCTTGGTTGACCTTAGGGAGTCTCTATTGGGATAAGCCGTTCAATGGTCAATTAGTAAGCAGTGATTGACAGTGTCTTGCAATCAACAGGCCATTGTGAACCACTACGACTCGACCCCCGGGCCGGGGCCGGAGCCCCAGGCCAACCAGGCGATGCTTGGCGTGCACGCCTCGGCCCAGTCCATCATCCACTACGGCAAGGTGGCACGGAAGCATGGACTCACCAACGTTTGCCTTGACTCACTCAGCCGGTAAGCTGCATGCTCCTCACCTTCTTGACACACTTTGCCAACTCATTCACCTTTCAGAGAGGCTCGTTCTTTCTAACGTAGTGTTGTACGAATATTGGAATGTTTGTATAGTAGTATGCTATTCGACATTGGCTTCAAGATGAACTGCGACATTTATGTTTTTCCAAGTGTTGATCGCGGCAAGTTGGCCCCGTTTAGCACAGTTCTTACCGAGCACAGGTGCACTGTGAGGAGGCAACACCCGCGGAGCTCGCTCCCGCAAGTGTTACCTCCCCGCAGTGCCCCAATGCTCGGTAAGAAGCGTGCTCAACAGGGCTAGCCCGCCATGCATGCTGCAGTAGTGAAAAACTTAGAGTAACTCTTCAATATTCCAGGAGCTTTCAAACTTTTTACTGCGAAGCTGTTAAAGGCTAGGTTCCCCAGGATCGTGTCCGTGTATGTCGACACAAACCTACCTGGACAGCTACCGCCATCTATAAACGACAACGGCAAGCACACAACCAGTATGGTTTCCGCCGTCGCTCGTAGATGGCGGCAACCTTTCTAGCTATAATAGAAGACTGGATAGTTGAGCGCGTTGGTGGGAATTCATCGTAGGAAACAGCGCAAAAAACAGACGATGACGAAGAAGAAGCACACAATGTATAGTGTACAGCTCCGCTGGTCTTCCTTCTTCACGAGAGTGAAAAGGCTGAACGTTTTCTGTTCCGAGGGAACCCCAGCAAGCCTCAAAAAGTCCGAAGGAACCTGCCCCCCCCCCCCCCCCCCCTCCCTGGTTGCCAGCTGTAAATACTGGGCAATAAACACATTTAGATAGTGAACAAGAGTTTATTGCACTGACAGAATAAGACAAAATGGAGGACTGCACAAAGATAAAGAAGGCAGAGGGATTAACCTGGGGCATAATGTAAGATATGTATATATAGCAGGGTTGGCCAGGCTGACCCGACCTAAGAGCCGCAAACGAAATCACGAAACTTCTAAGAGCCGCGGAAAGGGGGGGGGGTCAAACTTAAACTTTGTTCAGTCTGACTGTACTACGTATGGGGTCACAGGCTGCACGACTGTACGTATGGGGTATAAGGCTGCCAAACCGCGAGCCGTGCTTTATTCTGAAATCCTTTCTTTTTTTTTTTCCTCGAGAAACGCAGAAAGGGGCGGGGGAGGGGAGGGGGGGGGGGGGGGGGTCCCCAAGCGCGAGCCGCACTTGGACCAGCAAAGAGCCGCACTTGGACCAGCAAAGAGCCGCATGCGGCTCGCGAGCCGCGGTTTGGCCACCCCTGATATATAGTATACATATCAGTGCGAAGGGTGCAGTTGCGTTGTCCGCAACACCAACTCGATCCGTGGCTCAGTCCGTGGAAGGCTAAACTAGTGGAGGGCGGGTACTGTAATTTGGGTGCTTGTGGAACCCATGAGACCGGTTCATAAAACCCCTGTGTTCCGCGGAACCCATTTTGAGAACCCCTGCGATATTCAATTAGAAAATATTCGGCCAAAGCCACTATTCGCTTTGAACTCAAAATCAACTATTCGCACATGCCTATTCGAATGATGAATGAGTCTCTCCAAGGGGGTGAACAAGTTAGAACTCATTCATCCTTGCAATATGTTGCAGTCTTGCCGCTGTTTGCCGTTTTCAGCTTCTGTCTCTTGCAACATCGAACATTGAATGGGGGAGTTTGTAGAAGTCAGTTCACGGTTTTAGTATGCTATAAAGTCACTACAGTTTAATACCACTTGAACAAACTGTTGTTTTGTCGATGTTGTAGTTGGCAATGTAGGGTGCCCGTCGTCGATATTGCCAAAGCCTTAAAGGAGCTGTGCAACAGTTTCGGTGCTTTCCTTAAATAATTTGGGAGTTGCTGTCTCGATTTTTCTGAAGTAAAGAACAAAAAACCGCTTTTGCCTGCATGTCCTAGTTTTTATTTTAAAAATGGACAAAGATTGAGGTTTTCGGCACCTCTCAACTCCTTCACCATATTCCGAGTCACGTGCACTGTGACGTCAATGGGGGACGCGCGGGGTTTTGGTGGAGCTCTCTCTCTAGAGCCATCAGTGAGCAGCGAGAACTCACCCACTCGCGACCGCATGACCACGTGCTTTTCTAGGCCACTGTTGCAGCGTGATCAACATGACGAAAGGAGGAAAGTCTCATCCGGGTCTGGCCATCCCCGTCAGGCTTTGTCCCCGTCCTCCTCCGGCTTCTGGCGGCTGTTCGCAGTAGCAGATAGAGCTGACAGTTTTGTTGACTTCGGATAGATGGCGCCACTAAAACTCCATATAATAAAAGTTTTGTCGATGGTACCAGGATTTTGACGCATTTATATTTATGTTGGAAGGACAAGATTTATAGAAAAATTACCTTTTATCGAGTAAATAGTTGCACAACTTCCTATATTTTTACAAGTCCCCCATTGATGCCATGCCGCATGGTTCTCATGGCCGCTGCTCGCGGCTGCAGGCCGGGAAGTATTTTGATTTTTGCCTCGCGATTACGCGGCAGAATCACAGCATTTCGAAGGAAGATGTGTTTTCTGTCCTTTGTGACAAGATAGAAATGTCAAAAGTAGAGGATGCAAATTCTTTCAACTATAACAATAAAATCGTTGCACAGCTCTTTTAAATAAAAATATCACTTGTTGCCTGCTAAAATTGAACTTGTGTTTGCTGCGTGTGAAGCGAGTGCGTTTCCACTGAGCCACGCCACAGCGTCAATAACCCATCCTAAACTTGGGGTTTTTTTAGTACCAAATGCCCCCCGCACGGTCTCTCTGAGATGAAAAGTAGACTATAAAAAAATTAGACGTTTACAATTTTCTGTAACGTTGAATTAGAGTGCAGGGTACCCTTCGTGACGGTAACCCTCGTAACCCTCGTGACGTCATTATGGGAAACGTCCCATAATGCAACGCGCGGTTATGCCGATGGCGACGGCGACGGCAACGTCGCTCAAGCCGGGAACGGGCGCCTAAGAGTTGTGACTTCTACGACGACCTCAAGGACAACTTCTGGGACAACGCCTACAGAAATTCAGCCTTTCTACTCTGGTAAAAACCAGAGTGGAAAGGCTGAAAATGTTGCCGCCATCTACGAACGACAGCAGCAACCAGACAACCAGCAAGCCGGTTGTCTGGTTACCGCCGTCGCTCATAGATGGCGGTAGGTGTTTGGAGTTTTGTGTCAACATTTGTTTGTTTACGGACACGACACTGGAGAAACTAACCCTTACAGCTCCGCTGTACCTAGCCATAAACAGCTTCGCTGTAAAAAGGCAATGGGAACAAAACAGATGTTTATTTTGTTCCAAACGCTTCGGTTCACGTACTCCACTGCCGGTGCGTGAACGCGACGCCAATGCCAAACGACTTCGCCGTGACCTGTTGCAGCTGTTACTGTAATTGTACTGTGGATGAACACAGGATTACTAAATTTTTTCTTGTCTTTGAAGCTTGTTCATGTAGTATTTCACTGTTACTGAAAGTATTTGTTAGTGTAATTACTTGTAATCACATTCACCACATACTTTCAAAGGCACAGTGAAATTTTAGTAACTATAGCTTAGTTAATAGTTATGCTTTTGAAGTAACTTGTCACTTAGTGAACTTAAGGCTTTTTTTTTTTTTTCAAGGTTATTTTAATGAATACACGAAATCACGTTAATTCAGTCTTGGCATCAATGCTAATTGTTTCTTTATTTGTAATTACTAATCTAATTATATTTAAAATCCAGGAACTGCATTTTTGTCACTTCTCGAGGGTAACCTTTGCAGCTCTGGTCTTCACTACTTTGTGCAATATACCTAACAGTTCTAGGATGACGTGCAAGACGGAGGTGTGACCGGTTGTTGCTGTCCTTGCAGGATACACACCATCCCGAGCGTGCCCATTGTGGATTGCTTCCAGAAGATTCGGCAGCAAGTCAAGTGCTACCTCCAAATGTCCAACATGATGGGCAAGAACGAACTGCAGGAGGTGAGCTTCACCACAACCCACTCTGTTGTCAGATAGACTTGTTGTAGGAATGTTAAACAGCTGAAAGGCCGTTGACAGTCAGCCATCTCCAGAGGAGAACAGAGTAAACCAACATTGCCACGACTCCTAAACATTGCATTTAAAATGCATAAAGTCATATTTCATAGCCGTGACTGCAGTGATGGAAGTGCTGCGCCAAATCGCGCCATGAACAAAAGTCTGCTACATCTTATGCCAAAATTCCATTTTTGCTTAGAATTGCGCCACACCTGCGCCAAGTTCGGCTTGAGGGGGGAATGCAAGTATTGAAAGCCAAAAAATTGTGAAAAAGTTGATTTTTCGAAAACAACTTTCTTTTATTGTATATTCCATAAACTATGTCCTCTGTAATTATCAACACCTTATCCACCCCGTGAAGAGGGAAATCCAGCGAACCTGGAGCTCTGGCGGGATTTGCTATGTTGGGGTTTAGCTATTAGTGGGGATTTGCTATTTTATGGTTTGGCGCTGTGGTGATATGCGTCGCACTTGCGTTTGGCTTTTCTTGCTCCATCATCGTCGGTGGCATTGGCTCGACAGCGCCGGGTGAATTGACGCTGTTGCTCGCGTTGGCGCTCGACGCGGGTGAGGTCTTCGTCGGGGGAGCTTAGTCGGCACTTGAAGTTCTTGCCGGGCTGGGAGCAGCAGCAACAACGGTTTCACATTGGCGGCATGCACATTCTCACTTCTGGGTGCGCCGACAGTCCTCGTACTCCCGCTGCTCCTCTTCGGAACGTACACCACTGGTGTAACCCATGTGAAGTCTGAAGTCCAACTGATAAGGACAGTGGCACGATCTCTACCTCACAGACAAAGAACACACACGATTGGTGGGTGGAGACAATGACGTTTTATTATAGCACGGCTACGCCAATCGCGACGCAGGCTCTAGTTCACCGCACAAATGGCCGCCGAAAAGCGCGGGGCATTGCGCAATATCGAGGGAGAGAGACGCCGCGCGTGGTGGAGGAGTATGCATCACTCGGGAAACAAGACCAAGATGGCAGCGGTGGAGAGGAGTATAAAGTGGGGCATACATCGTTGCATATGAAAATTGTTGGTCTACGCTCGGTCCGTCGCCGGAGACGATCCGCCAAAACCTAGCCATAGACAGCTTTGCTGTAAAAAATATTTACAATGTCCCGGCTGCTTCCAAATCACACTAAAGAAGGAAAATCGAGCGGTACTTTGAGCGATTCCTACTCTCTTTCAACTTGGCAAATGGCCGCCATCTTGGTCTTGTTTTGAAGCCGAAGTTTGTTTCTTCTTTTTGCCACCATTCAAAGTAGTGTCCACCGCAGAGTTCTGGTGTGATTGGCATTTTTCCGCCTCAAGATTGCAAAGCAGTGATTGGCCAAAGCACCCACTCAGGGGAATGTGCGACTACTATTTTGTACGACATTTGTTCTCCTTCTGTTGCCATGGCTACCGCGCCTTTGGGGCCTCGCCGCCTCGCCTTGCGTCGTCTGCTTGCTCCCGCGCCTTGTCAACTCTACTATACTTTTTGCCATCTTTACGATCGTTTGCAGCCCTTTGTTTTAGCAGTTTTGCGTACTTTGCCTGCATGTTTCATGACCTCATAAAATGCAGAGAATGTAGTAGTAGATGGTGCACGCATTTGATGCACAAAAGCAGTCCATGCGAGCTTCTTTGCATGGCGACCATCAGAAGCGGCATCAACGGCCCGCCTCTGCGTGGTGGGACACTGATGCTCATCGCGTTGCTACTTGAGATTGTGGTTCTTCTATCTATACCTTCAGCCGTCCAAACCAAGCGAATACAATAGCGGAACAAAAAGAAAGTCTGCAAGAACACTTCCAGCTGTTTCACGGGGTAAATCCGTTTCACGTGGCACAATCCGCTTCCGCTTTTTCTGATTTTCGGTTGCCACATTGCTCGCCCGAGAGAAAATGAATGAATATACACCGTGGATGATGACTTATATGCATGAGTACTGTGTCCACAAGCTCTTTGCCGTACGAGAACAAAAATCGCAAGCAGAATAGCTCCAACTGGCTAAATGCTGAAAATGTGTGTGCAACTTTCAACTGCCATTTTCTCGAAATGAATCTTTGCGCTGGCATTGGCGCTTATCTCAGCAATATCCCGGGAACTGTTTAATAAATTTGCATGCATGTCTTTTTTATTCCATTCCTAAATAACTTTGTGAGAGCATGACAAGCTTTCTTTTTTAGAAAATTTTGTTAAAAGTTTATAATACTCAAATTAAATTTGATAGATGAGGATATGACCAACAACATGAAAGTCAATATTGCACAAAAACTTTTTTGTTTAAATAAATTAATAAAAGGGGCTTTGTTATGCCCTGGGGTGTCTATCCAGGAATGCTTAAAATAAATTTCACATTCCCACCATGTTTTGCTATTCCTCCAGGCCTGGGATAAAGGGAGCAAGTGAATTACATTGAAAACGTTTTGTAAATTAAGAACCCATGGACACAGGTTTATGAAACTTAGCAGTTACTTTTATATGTGTGCTATGAGTGTACTCTGAAAGTTTCATACAAATAACTCTAAAAATAAAATGGTTAAACTCCAAACCCCTAAAGTAAAAAAAAGACAAATTCCACTATTGGTTGATTTTAAAACGTGTTTAGAGAAGTAGAAGGAAAGCAAAATGGTGCAAATATGTATTTCACAGCCTTGTGGCCAGAGCACAGTCAAAGGCTCTAACACATTCAACCCCATACACAGATACTAAAAGCGTAAGTCACAGGACATTCACTGCTTTTGATTGGTTTAGCCGATGAAGGAACATGTACAAGGGAATGATGAATGCCATTATATCGCGCTTTGATGCTGTTTGATTGGTCCCATTGGCTCGTGCCGTCGGCTGTAGCGTCGACTTAAGGGTAACTCCGGTACATTTTCTCGTTTTTAGGGTTACGACGGTTTTTAGTGAAGGAAATGCCCCTGAACTACAAGGTGTCAGTTTCTTTTCGCTGCCTTGTGTAGTTTTGTAGCTATCGTATCTCAAAGTTTTGTTTCGGGGGTCCACGGTGAAATCGAAACTACCGGCTCAAGCATGACAGCAACCCATAGGATTAGCTGCATGGCCATCGTGTGACGCAAAGTTTGTACATATTGCGGTACCGCAAAGCTTACGACCGGCCTAGCCGCAAGAGCAGTTTCAATCAATCAGGTAAGACGCTATGGCTGCTTTACTGCTCTCCTTTGCAGATATCAAATATCTGTAGCAAATATTAATACACACTCATAAAGTTGTCGACTGAAAAGCGAGGGCCGCTAAAGCATAACATAACAAGCAGAAATCTTCCACTGGGACGGCTGAAAACGCAGCGGAAAAACTTGGCGAAAGTAGTGGCAGTACAAACAAGAAAAGTCCTTAAAAACGAAGAGGACATCAAAGCACAAGGTTGCTTGACAAACGGCTAACCCACTGATTGCCCGCTTAAAAACTGGTGGTAGCATTTGTAACATTGATTTTAGAGTGGATCGCGGTTTTTTATTAGTGCGGTATTTTGGCAGTGCTCGTATTTAGTCTCCGTAAATCTTTATCAGTCATTTACTTTGATTAGTCTTGTGACCGGAGTTACCCTTTAAGGTGAAATAAAGTGTAGAGATTGCTCGTCAACCGCTCTGGCCGGCTTATCGCCGACAGCATCTAAATTTCCAGACTGTGCCGATGATGTCAGGAACTGAAAGCCGCGAGAAAACTTTGCAAAATAGTAGGAAATTATGTTTAGGACATTACAGGCTGGGAGTCCGGCAACCGGGAAAATGGTATGTTCCCTCTGCCATCTTGTGTTGCTCACGCAAACCAAACCTAGACAGTCTCTCGATAATATAACACGTCATGAGGTCATCATGAAGTCAATTTGTTCTAGCAAACTACAGGCTCTGCCCATTAGCCAAGCTCTCGGTGTAGACTGTTCTGGCTCATTCACAAGCAACATTTCACACGATGCAATTGAACCGTCATCATAATGGTGGTTCTGGGGGGGGGGGGGAGAAGGGTGCCGGTATGCTAGAGGCATACCTCACAAGCAACACTGTAGTCACTGAAAAGGTGAGAATGACAGGGAGGCCGGTCCTTTCGAAGACACGCCCTGGCATTTTCACTTTGTCAGCGACTACAGCCAAGTCTGCGCGAGCTTACCGCCGAAATGGAGGAAGCGTGTGAAGTTCGTCGCCTCCACCAACGACTCTCGCCACTGCCGCGCGTGTCTCAGGGCCTGGACGTGATAGAGTCCACGAACCTCAAGTACTTCACCAAGGACATGACGGCGGAGTTCTATGCGCTCAAGGGCCTGTTCCTGAGCCAGATGGGCCGGTCGGAGGAGGCCAACAAGGCCCTAAGCGCAGCAGTGCAGATGCACGACACCCTGGTCAAGGCCTGGGCCCTCTGGGGGGACTACCTGGAGACCCTGTTTGCCCGGGACCGCTGGGAGGCCCGCCAGCTGCCCCTCGGGGTCAGTGCCCTCACCTGCTTCCTCCACGCCTGCCGGCACCAAAACGAGCCCAAGGCACGCAAGTACCTCGCAAAGGTGGGCACGGCCTTTATTTTTACCGGCTATCCTTCGTTCATTTCTTCTAGGCTCAGTTTCACTGCAGGCGGTGTGTTAACACAGAATGCGTTATAGGGCTTGTTTCCACAAGAAGCATTGTGTGACGAAATAGTGTCAGGATAACCCGTCGCGCAGTTATGGTGACATAAATTAATTATCATTAGTTAATGATAATTTAAGTCGAGGAGTGTAGGGCATTCTGACACAGGAATCGAATCCGAGCCCTTTCGATTTGTGTCTCAATACTTTGCACCAGATGGATGACACTAACAAGAGCACTTAAAGCTCCTCCATATGGGAAATTATAGTGTGTAGGCAATCGGCATGACCTCGTCAGGTAATCTCACGACCTCATCACACAATAGCACAATAACCTCCAGTGATGTGACGTCGTAGACTCCTATATAAGTGCAGCTGCGAGCTGCACCACTTTTAATGTGTCAAGACAGCTCCCGCGATATGAGTAGATGAAGGCTGTTCGAGGGCATATGGCCAGAGCATGAAGCAGCAGAAGGAAGACAGCGTCCCCTTGGGACCAAAACAAATTTAAATGTGCCCACGGATAAGGCCAGGGAGGTGCATTATGCGCAGTGTCTCCCAGGCTCGGAGAAGTGTATAAATAAACACTTTAGATAAAGTCGGGGGACCTTATTTGTGGGATTTGTCTATGCTACAGTCGATGCCAGGGTAAGAGTTGAGGGGAAGCTCCTCCCACTTCTCTCCACTTTAGCAGAGCGAGTGCTGGAGATGAGGTGACCTCCTCTTCAGCATTCGCTCTGCTAAAGTGGAGAGAGGTGCGAGGAGCTGCCCCTGCACTCGTAACCTGTCACTGACTGTAGTTATTGCCAAACGTAACCACCATATGCTCTATGGTAAGTTTCTTAATACCTCACTCCGGGATTTTGTTTATTTAGTCTATTAGGTTCATTCTTTGCGGTTGCAACTTCACACTACTCCATGTTTCAGCGCTTTCATACTGAACGCCAAAATAACGCCTCTTTCGGCTTGTCCCTAAGCACGCGTACTCCCAACTGATGACCGCGATTCACGTCGTGTCTTCTGCTCCTTTGCACTCGCACCCGGCGTACGAGATTAACCCCCTCGCTCGCTGCAGGTGCTGTGGCTGCTGACGTACGACGACGAGCGGGGCACCCTGGCGGAGGCAGCGGACAAGTACAACGCGGGTGTGCCACCCATGCAGTGGCTGCCCTGGATCCCGCAGCTGCTCACCTGCCTGGTGCGCGCCGAGGGCCGGCTCCTACTCAATCTGCTCGTGCAGATCGGGCGAGTCTACCCGCAGGCCGTCTACTTCCCCATACGCACCCTCTACCTCACCCTCAAGATCGAGCAGCGGGAGCGATGTGAGCCTCCTCTTCTGGCGACAGAGGGCAACCCTTTGTAACGCACGGGTTCTCAGAACTAGGTCTCTGGAATCCAGGGACCTCGGAGCACCCTTGAGGGTTCCCCTGGCTCCCAAATTCGCTCAATCATTCCTGTCCCTCGGTGAAGCGTTCTTGCAGTTTAAAGGGGTTGTGACACGCCGAAAATAAAATATGTGATAACTATACCGCTAGGACCCATTGTATGTTCCTATAATCCTGCTAAATATTTTTTTTTATAAATGGCGCTATAGTTTTGTGGATAAATCGATTTGTATGCAAGTCCCTCGGATCCGCCCCATTCGAAAAGGCCGCCGTGGCTGGGAGGCTGGTGACGTAGCCTGCCTCTCGTACAGCGTCCCCTTGCACGCACTCACAGACTTGGCTCTCTTGACGTCTCGAGCTCCAGCTACCTCGTTTACCATCCGCGTTTTGAGCATCTGGTCCGTGACAATTACGTCTACGGCATCGCTCGCCTTGTCAAGGTGTTCGACATTGATCGCAGCAGCGATGATAGGGATTGCTCTCAAGAGTTGTTGTAAGCAGTTCATATTGACTGTGACCCGATGGCGAGTTACGGACGAACTTGACGTGGTCACCGTAATCCGGGAATATCTCGCAGACAGACGCATGCAGGGTGGAAGGTCAACGGGTTGGGGGCGAGATTGAGAATAGCGTTCGGGTTGCCGAGTTGCGTGAGCGGTTTTGATCGTACCACGGCGAGGAGAGCTTAGGCGATCATGGGGGTCTCTAGAATGAGAGTGTTCATGATCATGTGGTTTATAGACGCCATGGTGTGACTAACTTGGGCAGTGTTGCCTTGTTGCCAGGTGAAAATTATAAACATTCTTAAATTGAATATTGCAATTATCAGAGCTCTAAAAATTGCGTAACTTGGTGTATATACTAAGTAGCCTATGAGCATTCCATTTTAAGAATAATCTATCCGTTTAATTTTCGTGTCATAACCCTTTTAAGCGCTGGTTCAGAAGATTTGAGACATTCATTGATGTGTAGCTTTGTGCGAAACGCTTCACTGTCACAACGAGCTTGGCACCAGCGGCCTTCTGCCTTTTAGTTGGAAATGGTATTCGTGGGTACCAAGTTTTACCGCCCGTAGTGGAACCCAGCGAGCAATTCCCCGCCACAGTAGTGGTTTTGGTGATGGCCTTTTGATTTTAGGACAAAAACAAAAAGTTTGGCGATCGTCCTTTCACATTAGCAGTGCCGTGCTATCTAGATTACTTTTTATGAGGTCTCTAGGCTTCTGCACTGCTTTACTGTGCATCACTGCCAAGGCCAAGGGGAATTCCTTGACCATCAATCAAGAAAGAGAGAGGTGTTCCTCAAGGTTGAGAAGTTTGAGAATCCCTCATGCATAGGTTCCCAACCTGGGTTCCTCGGAGTTTCGTCTGACATTTCTCGAATACTCAAAATCTCTCAAAAATGTTTTAAAAGGTATTTTTAAAAACTTTTTTTTTATCTATAAGTCACGTACAACATGTATTATAAGTAATATACTCAGGAAGTGCACATTTATATAGTTACATTGATTCAGAGTTTTATATCCAGCTTGTTTATAAGCACGTTTTGAGAAGCTTTTCCTGTTTTCTGAGAATTCATTTTTTCGTCACAACACAAAGTTTTGCCCATTGTATCTTTAGAAACTTGGATCCCAATACTTTTTTCAAGGTCTACTACCTCATAAACCAAAGAGCAACAAGCCTGCTGTTTCTGAGAAATGCTAACTACAAAATTTTCTAATTGGCAAAGACTGTAATGACTTATTTTTAATTATCAGCAAAAAAAGTTTCAACTCGTGAAAAACTTTCTTTGGAATAATGCTAAAATAAAGTAATGGTTTTGTTGCACTCTTTGCTGTTTGTAGGACATACGGACATACTTTGCATCATTCCTCTTGATAGAGGTATTGTAAAAAAAAGTTGGACCGAAACATTTGTGATAAAGTTTGGGTTTTCTTGAAAGTTATAATAGATAGGAAGGAAAATTGAGCTTATATTTGTGCCTGGCACAAGAACTTAAGGGTAGACTTGAAAATTTTATATAAATTAAATCAGAAATCACAAGAAAAACGTTAAAAGACCAGGGTCTCCCCTTTAATACCATGGTAGCATCGTTGAGCCGTGCACTGACACGTAACTTTGAGCTGTCACCCCCGTTCTGTGCATAAAATTAAAGAAGTGCGTAGCATTCCTAACTTATTTTATTGCAACAACACCAAGAGGGGAAATTGTTGTCATTCGAGGTAGTTTGCTGTCCCTCGAGGCCAAAACGCCACAGAACTCCCACCGTGACTGACAGTAGTGGAAGTGTTTTTCTTGTCCTCATTAGGACCCAAGTGCTTCAAGTGTCCAGCTTTTGGGAGGGCTATGATATATGGAATGTCATGATCCAGTTCTCAACTGTACTCAAATTCAAATATGATTGCACGCTCGTGAAATCACTGCATCATGAGCCCATACTGGGCGCTTTTTGACCTAAGGGAAGCGGCTAAGCTGTGGATGTTACCGGCACGCTCTTTTCTGGTGCAGACAAGAGCAGCAGCGAATGGGGCCCCGAGCAGGGCAAGCCAGGGTCTGTCCATGGGTCGGGACAAGGGGCCCAATCTGGGGAGGCCCCCTCCCCAAACACCGGTCAAGGAGGGGCCACGGGTAAGCTACCAGCAATCTGGACCAAGCCCCATCTTGTCGACTGTGATGCTGTAGAAGTTGACGGTGTCACAGTCGTAAGGAAAAGAGAACCAGTCTAAGCTGCCGCACTTGAGAATTCCTCGCTTCCAGCTTTCATACAGACAGTGCAGTAAGAACAGTGAGAATATTAGAAAATCTCTGTATTGGCCACTCTTGAATTATACGTCCACCAATAACAAAGTTTCTTATTCCGATCAGAATTTAGAATATATGTGCCGTGCTTTGAAATAACTGGATGATCTTATTCGCTTAGTGTCTGGAAACAAAAATTTAACGAGGCAAGGCCCATTTAAAAATCGTGCTGCGACAGATTAAAAAAAAATAGTAGCATGCTGTCTTGAGGAGCCCCTCTGAGCAGGTTTTGCGATTGTGTCTTCTTCGATGGCTGTTGAAAATATTCAACGTGTGAGGCTCTCCTATTCGTTTCTTGTAAGGAGCCAGCTCTTTCTGGGATTTTGTTAATACAATTTTCATTAATTTGCTTGTGTTTAGTTGGGATGAATTAAAGGCAGAGTATATCAACTGAAGCTCTGCCTTAGGTGCACATATATGGTGCATTGACATCCTTTTCAAAGCATTGTAAGTGCCCCAGTTTGATTCCATGTTTCGGATAATTTGCAACTGCACACATCTCATGTCTTTGCACTTGCCGACTCCCCGCAAGATGGGGGGTTACGGTCTGATTGGCTAACCGCACGTGCAGGAGAAGGGGCGTCCCAGGGCGGCCAGCCGGGCGGGGAGTCCGGCCCGATCCGTGCGACGCCCTCCATGTGGCGCTGCAGCAAGATCATGCACATGCAGAGGGACCTGCACCCAACCGTGCTCTCCTCCCTGGAGGGCATCGTCGATCAGGTAGGCCGTTCCGGATCACGACTACTAGGCACCAGGGGGGCCCTTGGCCCATCGATTCCTGCGCGAGAATGTCCGCTAACCCTTGGCGACTACGGGTAGCCGAGAATTTTGGGCCACACTATGTATTGAAAAGCTATAGCATTGGCATTTGTCTTGAGGCAGCACAAGGTTTCACACTTGGCTCGGGCACCATACGCGGCTACTGGTGTTTGCAGTTTGTCTGCTTTCAGGCAGATGAACTAGAGCTAGAAGTCAATGGAAAATCGAACAAACTGGAAACCACTGATGTTTGGTTGCTACGTTATGTCACTGGGTGTAAATGAATCAGCACTTATGCAGGGTAAACCTTTTGTGAAATGTGATGATTTCTATGTACAGTCAACTTCCGAATTCAACCTTGACAGGGACATATGAAATTGGGTTGAATTATCCAAAAGTTGACTTGAAAGCTGCGTGTGAAATTCTGAATATCCAGCACTTTAGATCAGGTGGGCTAAAATTTTTACAATGAGCCGCCGCACACCGCCGGACGGTGTACGTCTTTCATGTTATCAGTGAGGCGGTGGCACCACCGGCGCTGCCGCTGCTGCACTGCTGTGGAGCAGCGCTCGCTGCTCTGCAGCAGTGTTGCAGTGGTTGTTTTGTGTTGAGACCCGGCCGTGTCTCAACCTTGCTCTCTTTTTCTCTCTCTTCACAAATCAACGCGCACTTCAAAATTTAAAAAAAAAAAAAAAATTTTTTTTGTTGACGCGCGGTTGATTGCACTTGTAACTTGCCCAGTGCCAGTTCTCTCTAGATCAAATTAACCAATATTTTATATTTTAGAATAGAAATAACGAGTTTTTTTATAGCGAAGCTGTTTGGCTAGGGTTCCGTGGATATTTCATATGCAGTAACAACTGCAGGCACTCACCTTCCCCATATAAAAGATTCAAAGTAAATAACCAAAACAAAGCGTTGACAAACGTGCGGCCAAGATGCCGTTTGTTTTATGCTTTTGCTTTAGAACAGTTACTGCTGCAGACTCCAGCATGTGGAACAACATTCCCTGCATTCTCCTTGATGATTGGGTAATTTAGCAATGCAGTCGAGCCTGGTTATATCACACTCAGGTATTTAGAATTATTGTATGCATCAAACAATCCAAGCAGCCCTTTGAAAATCGCATGTAATAGTATAGGAGCGTTGTCTTTTTGTTTCAACTCCCATGGCGAGGACGGTCGATATAGCAAAAGAACTCATTGCGCTGGTGGCGAGCACATTGCTTGCCTTGCGTGGCTGGCAGGCCACCAAGCCAGCATGCACGCTAGAAGATAGGTAACGAAAGAGCAGTTGTAAAAATAAAAAAAAAAAATAAACCGTAAAAGAAAAAAAAGTGCAGGATGAAAAATTTTATTATTATTTTATTTATTTATTGATACTACCGGCCGCCGTGGAGCAGCGAAGGTAGGAGGGATACATCGATCAAGTTTTACGAAAAAGCAAGCGCAGAGTGTGGTGGCGCAGAAAAGCAAAAACAAAACAAAAAAACACTTCGCATATATAATCACGAACACACGAAGAGCAGAAGAATATTCTTTTAAGGGGTATCAAGGCCTGAAACCTCAAAACTCTGGTAATTCGTTTATCAATGCTAGAAACAGTGTCAAACAATTTAAAGAGACAGTTTGCTCGGGTAACGCATTCCATGCATGGATAGTACGAGGAAAATAAGAGTATTCGTAACAGTCAGTCCTGCACTTTATTTCAGTGATTGATTTACTGTGTTTATTTTTTCTGACCCTAGATGTATTGAAGTGAAAGTAATCTTGATAATCTAAGTTGTAGTTCCCATGCAAGGGGAATGGCACGCATGCACGTGTAGGGAGAGCAGGGAGTGCTTGCTGTCGGAACGAACTGTAGGCTGCGCCATTTCCCCAAACACTGCTGATGCTGCGTAACTCCCTAGCCCCAAAATAAAATACTGTAAACGACTTATTTTTCGCAGGTTCAATATTTCGTGATTTAGGTCAAAGCTGAAGCTTTGGAATAATTCGCGGGTTCTAATTTTCGCGACGCGGTGAGATCTCAATATAGATTCCAATGTCTTTACGTTTAACCGGAATTGTTTGCGGGACTTATTTTTGCGAACTGTAGGCGATTCGCGAAATTCGTGAAAATTAGGTCCTTGCGAAAATTAACTCATTTACAGAAAGCACAAAAAAAAAAAGGCTTCGGCAAGTCGAGTGTGTCGACAACAACGGTTGTGCAATCGCTCTTTGACCGCCTTATCATTGTTTACCTTTTTCTTTTGCTGTTATTGCTTTGCTCTTTCTTTCTTTTTTTATTCTTTTCTTTTTTGTTGCCTGAATTTAGTGAGCTTTCTTTTTTGCTGCTTGCTTAAAGGGATGGTGAACCGAAATTTGGATTTCATAAAAATAATGCTGGAGATGTAGGCGGGGCACTACAATCCCTACAACACTACTAGTAAGGCGATATCTCAAATGGGCGGCCGTATTTTTGAAAAAAAGAAGTCGAGATTGAACCAGGCCGAGGCGCGGGACGTCAAGATACCGAGTTTCCTCCTCTTTTCGCTTCGCTCCCTCAAGGCCGCGAGGCAGAGAAGACGCGAGGCCGTTCCCTCTCCTTCTCGGAAAAACATGACGTCAACATTCCTGCCAAATGCGCCTCCTTTTTTAAAAAATACGGTCATCTGTTTGAGATATCGCCGTATGAGTGATGTTTTGGTGTTTGTAGCATCCCGTTGCACGCTTTTGCCGCGTGTTTTGGGGAATCCAGATTTCGGTTCAGCATCCCTTTTAAAGGGGCACTGACACATCAAAGTCATTTTTTTTTTATTGTTTGAAACGATTGAAAATGATGCCTGGGCATTACCCTAAAAATTCGAAACTTGGGAATTTAGTATTTGTGAAGTAAAAAAATGATTTCTAAATGCCGAATTTGAAGTTCTCATGCGATCCACGCCAGTGGAGTGACGTCAAATTTTGAGGGCTCCTGAGAGTCGAGTTTCTTTCGCGCCTCCGCTCCAAAATGTGTCTCCGCGACCCGAAGCGAGGAGAGGGGCGCTGGCATCGCGGGAAGTACCGTACCGGGAAACCGGTTTCCTGCTTGAGTGCCATGCTACCGCTGCCTATCGCTTCAAGCAGACAACGGTGCCCCGGCAGTTTCACAACCGAAACTACGATACACAGACAACAAACCCAGCTGTTTTGACCGTTTGACGATTTCCTTTTCGAAGTCTGAGAGGTCATCGGGCACCTATAAAAGGCTTTTCGTTCAATTCCCCGACTCTCCGATTACCCTCTGCCACATGCGCCGAGCGCCGCCATGTTTTCCAGGGGAGGATAAAAATCCAGAAGGCGACATCACAACGCGTTTGCGGTCTCCGCCAACTATGCTGTACTGTATTTAGCGGTTCTTGAATGCCCTATTTGGTAAGCTCCCATTTGTCGCGACCTTCGGTATTAGCAAAGGCGCCAGGAAATTTCAACTCGAGCTTAATTTAACATACTTTTGTATATAAAATTATTGGTATATTGAACTGTTTTATGATCCCCTTTGAATTCAATATATCCGAGTTTGACTGTAGTTCTATTCAGTAGATTAGTTATCAGTGGGCACCATTTTCAAGATCAGTAGACTCTTAGGTGGATAATAGAGGTTTCTCGAAGAGTTTTCGCTGTGTGACCCCCATCGGCCATGTCACTCTCGCACCGCTCCCTCTCTCTGCCGTCGTTTTAAGCGCTTGCGTGCCTAGTTTCCTTTCCTTCCGCCCTCTCGGGGTGGTGGTCCTGTCACGCGTGTCTAGTTTCCTCAGGCCCATCGGGGCGGGTCTGTGTTGTGTGCTAAACAGCTTTGCTGGTCATTAACCTTCACCGAGTGGAATGACTCATGATTTTTTCCATAGAAATGTATGGGCTCTTGCCAGGACCTTTGAACAGGGTCGAATTGAACGATATAAGTCGAATTAACCGAAGTCGAATTAACGCAAGTCGACTGTATACATTTGCGCTAAAAGTAGTTTACTCCAAGGGAAGCTGTTGTATATGGGTCACATTGTATACCGAAGGGACGCTAAAGTAGTTGCGTAAGTTGCCTTTTCCTGGTGATAATTTGACCTAAAAAATAAAAAAAAAATGATGACCACGTGTGGCCTTTTTTACTAAAATGCAACTGCACATTGCAACATTCTTTTTTTTTTAGCTATATCTCAGAAAGGAGGCCTTTCGTGATAGGTGGTTTCATTTTTAATGAGGGAAGAAAAGAGCCGCATATGAATTGTAGTTTGTTATTTTTTAGGATGTTTAGAGTGCTTCAATTGCGTTGTCTTCATGAAAAGAGAAACACAAATTCCACTTTAGCACCAAGTGTCACTGGAGCTTTGCCTGAGCCGGGCCGTGTCTTCCCCACCTCGCAGATGGTGTGGTTCCGGGAGAACTGGTACGAGGAGGTTCTGCGGCAGCTTCGCCAGGGGCTGGCCAAGTGCCACGCGGTGGCCTTCGAGAACCGGGGTGCTGTGTCGGAAGCCACGGTCACCCCGCACACCCTCAACTTCCTCAAGAAGCTGGTGTCCACCTTCGGGGTGGGCATCGAGAATGTGTCCAGCGTGTCCACCACCTTCTCCAATGCCGCCTCCGAGTCCCTGGCCCGCAGGGCACAGGCCACTGCCCAGGACCCAGTCTTCCAGAAGATGAAGGGCCAGTTCACCACAGACTTTGACTTCAGGTAGGAACGCACTGTACAAGGATTTGTTTTCTCTAGATTGTTCATTAGGACGAGACTTGACAAATTGTGTTAATTACAGAGAATGTTAATGATGATTCATATATGATTCAGCTTTTTTTGTGGGTTAATAAAGCAGGCACTTGTCAACATGTGCTATGTATGAAAAGTTTTTTATGTGCTGACTAAGCGCCAAGAAGAACTGTTTTTCAACCGAAATTTGCCCCTGCGGGCTATACAGCGGGTGTGAACTACAGTCCCAAAAATATGGTGTATTCTAACGTGATCGGTACTCCAAGTTGCCATATCCGTACAACCTTAGTTTAGTGTAAGAATAGCAGGTATCGATGATTAAGTTGTTTGTTTGTTTTTATTGCAGTGTCCCTGGTGCTATGAAGCTTCACAACCTGATCAACAAACTCAAGAAGTGGATCAAAATCTTGGAAGCCAAGACCAAGCTGCTGCCTAAGTAAGTTTAAAAAGCATGCTTTGCCTGACCTTGCAAGATGAGCTCTTTGTGACTTCGTCATCATGTGTAGGAAAACGAAATACTGCCTTTGTTCACACTGAGAGGGGCACTAAATCTGTTTCCAATTACAGCTGCACTAATTATCGGAGTCAGCTAGGCTGCTTTAGTACTACTCGGGCAGCTGTTACGGAGCCTGAACAATATGTTACACGGGGTGTGTGCAGCGAGCCACGCAATGTTGCCTGCTACTAACAGCACATTGTTTCAATGACAGGTCGCTGCTGATTGAGGAGAAATGCCGGTTCCTCAGCAACTTCTCTCAGCAGACAGCTGAAGTGGCCCTTCCAGGGGAGTTTCTCCTCCCAAAGGTGTGTTTTTAAAATATACTCCCCACCTACCTGTTTCTTTATTTAACACTCCGCATGCTGAGGGTGCCTCGGCACTCCACCTACCATGCACGGGTGCAGCACCGGTTCAGTGCAATGGCAGCTGATCTCTGGAAATGTGCCTATAGAAGCTGCCTGTAAAGCAGTACTTTATGGACAGTTTATAGACAAAATGAAAGTTTTACAGCTTATGATGTTTTATCTTTTTTTTTTTTTATAAATCTGGTGTTAGATTTGATATAACTTAGTTTTTTTTAGGTTCTCGATGCAATGTACATGCAGAAAAACCATGTTTTTGTGCACACGTGATGCATGGCAATGCATTAAAAACACCTACCGTAATATCCCGAGTCATCGCCCACCCCCCTACCGCCTGAAATTCATTAAAAAAGTGGGGTGGGCCATGTCTCGGTGGGTGAGCACAAACACTTGAAAAAAAGCGGAAAAAACCGCCTATTTTTCTCTGCGTATCTAGCGCTGATGCACAAGAGATACATCGAACTCAAAACTCGATTTAGTTTCATTGTTTTATAGAAAAAAATGCTCACGAAAGAATATTTTACTATAGCGAAGTCCGTTGCTTGCATACGCGCTAGAAACACCGCCGATCTGCATATAGCGCGAACGTTTGTTCCGTGAAAGAAAGTCACCACTATGTTCTCCTAGTTAGTAAAAAAAAAGAAAGAAAAGTCTACAAGAAAATAGAAAAACCGACCAGGCGCAACGAGCGAGCGAGCGAGCGGACCAAAGAAGCGACCAAGAGCAATGCTGGGAAAGCGGTGAAAGCCGGCGGTCGCGTTGGCAAGTACTTTGGCGTCGGGTGCCTTGTCAATTGCAAGCTCTTGCGCAACTTTCTTGTTTGGTGCGTACGTATGTGCGTCCGTGCACGGCGGGCTATCAATGCACGGTTGAGACGCTCTGCAAACGTCTGTGTAGGGCGTTCCAGCAAAGCTTTATTTACGCGTTGGCTTTGTGCACAACCGCGGTCGCGACGGGCGGGAAGAAGGAGCGGGTTCGCGGTGACCTTACTTCGGCGGAGACAGACTTTGACCTAACACTCCGCGGTAACATTAACAAACTCTTATTTTGTTATCTCCATCGTTTTCTTTTTTGCACGGATACACGACCACTTTGGGGTCGCTCACGGAGGAAATGCGTAAACAAAAAGAAGTGTCTTTCCCTCCTTCGTTTTACTTTGTCACGGACGTCCTCCAACTGTAAGGTCCGCGGCCGCGTCATTCGGGTAGGATGAGTGTTCGCGGATCGCAGAGTCCGCGCTGTGGTATTTGAAGGGGTGGGCGATGACTCGGTGTTTTTTTCAGAAATCGATATTGGCCCAAAAAATGGGGTGGGCGATGGCTCGGGGATGGGCGATGACTCGGGATATTACGGTAGTAAAATAAAATAATTTGCTCCTTTTAAACCACTGAGTGCAATGAAACACAAAAATAATGTGTGTGACGCTTCTTTCATGGTAAAATAAAGAAATAGCAAAAATGTCGATTCAAGGGGCTACCAAACGTTTCCTAAATTTTTCATAAATAAAAAAAATATATATATATATACATTCTAACCAAACCCAGATAGTCGAATTGTACATATTCTAAAGTATATGCATGCCAAATTTGGTTGTAATTGGACAATATTGAGAACAGAAATTCTTATGCACAAACTGTGAAGATGCCCCAAAATGACACAAGAAGAAAAACGTGTTTAAATGTTACCACAGATGTGTAGCTATACTCATTCGCAGTGCAGAAAATAATATTTTAATAAATTTCTGTGAGAAATCGAAGTTACAGAAGTCTGCAATGGAGAGGAGACAGCTAGGCCTACCTGTCAACGTAAATGTGAGAGCAGGCGGCGTCACAACTTGAAGAGCTACGCAGAGAAAAATTGCTCAAAATTCATACCATCGTGGTTTGCCTGAAGGTCTTCAAATGCATATTTGACTCATTTAGCAATCATAACCAGCACTAATTATTTTTATACATTAAATAAATATAAAGATTCAAAAATAATAAAGCACCGTGAAACGCAAAATCAATTTTTTTCAAAATATTGCCGTTTTTCGATTTGCATCTCCCTTTAATGGTAATGTTGCCTATATGCGCTGTATTTCCAGTGTTTCTCAGAAGCACAGTTCAAAACTACAACAGGTCGGGAAGGAATGCCTTTTCCCTATGCGGAGAGCAAGTCATCTGCTTCTTGCGCAGGGGATGCAGTGACATCAGAACGACGCCGAGTTCTGATTGGCTTTGATTGGAAGGATAGAGGATAGACCTCAATGCTAGATGCTTTGAGGTCTACCCACTATTTCTTTCAATCAGCCGATAAGAGCCCGGCATTCTGACATCATCGCAACCTCTGTGCACGAAGCAGATGAATTTGCGCTCCGCATAGTTGTCCTCTGTTACTATCGTTGTCGGTGAAAATTCAAATTTAATAATGATAATGATAATCTTAATTGCTTCTGACCACATTTAAAGAATGACATGGTTTTTACACACTACTTCCCAATAGAATAAGGGATCACTGTCATAGTGCAACTCACAAATATCAAACATAATTTTTCTATGGTAGGTGGTAGTTTCTTGTAGGCACGTTGCTGTGCACCTTTCTGCCTTTCTTACTATATTATAGTACAAGCAAACACGGCATTGGAAGTGCCAGTTCCGCTTTTTTTATTGTCATTAGCAATCTGTCGCCATTGACCCATTTTTTCTGTTGCCCGCAGAACAACCACTACTATGTGCGCATCGCCCGCTTCATGCCTCGCGTGGAGATAGTGCAGAAGCACAACACCGCCGCACGCAGGCTCTACATACGGGGCCAGAACGGAAAGGTGAGTCGGCAGGGGTCTTCGCTCTGAAGGAAGCATTGCATTGTGAAATGTCACGGCTTCTGACTCATAGGGTCGTGATTTCATCTTTCTTTGTGATTTTCATTTCACCTATATGCCTTGGTATTCGAATTTCGAATATTCAGATTTTCTAATAACAGTTTCGAATAACGCGCTATTCAATATTCGCTTTGAAACAAACAGCGATATTCTTACTTTTCGAAGTGTTGATCACAGCAAGTTAGCCATGTTGAGTGCTCTTCCAACCAAGCACCTGTGCACCGCGGGAAGGCAGTTCGCGTCTCCAGCTCGCTGCTCGCCCTCCCTCGGCGGAAATGGGAAGCGCTCTAGTGAGGGTCCTACGGTTCTCCTGCTCAGCAGGCACGGCGGGACTGCTCGCGATCATGGCTCGCGAAATGTCATTGCTGAATGCAAGCAACACTCTTCATTGTCCCAATGAAGTGCTACAGCCGGTATGAGATTGTAACTCTCTAGAGGGTTCTAGTATGGCGTATAGAAGCAAACACAAGCGCCATGCGTTTGCATTAGAGTTGCATGCTCCACTCTGTGCTTGCACGTCGTTGCCGTGCTCTCATCCAATACCGCAATTTTGGGCTCCGCGCATGCGCAGTGTGGAACACGCAAGACTAGTGCAAATACACAGCACTTGCATTTGTTTGTATACACAATGTTAAAACTCGCTACTGTTTTACCGGTTTCCAATGCCAACGAAACGTGCTGCAGTGAGCAGACGTGCCAACAGGTAGGTGTTCCTACGAACTGGAGGTTCGAAGGAGATTTTTACACGCTTCCTTCGAAGTGTGTAAAAATTAAAGAAAGCAGAAGTTCAGGACATATTGGTATTTAAAAAAAAAAATATTAAGAATAAAATCCTTTTTGGGAAGGAAGGGTGGCCTTTTGTCCAGAAGGGTTGGCAGCAACTTGGGAAGTTTTGCCAATTGTCAAAAGTCACGACTTTGACTGCACCGTATGCTTTACGCACAATTAATGTAATTTTACATGTATTTTTCAGATTAGCTAAAATGTTTCCATTGATTTTAGACTATTTTACTGTTTTTATTTTATATCTTGTTAATTAAACACACTGAAATTGGCACCAGTGATTTTAATTTGCACTCTTTTGCTTGCCATAGTTGTTCGCGCTTTTGAAATTAGATCATAAGCAACAAGCTATATTAGAGCTTGAAAAACTGTGTATAAAAATATTTTAATTGTATAAATATTATTATTAATACGAATTGAGGCAATGTAAGCCCCCAGTAAACTCTACAATTCCAAAAGTATGCCATTTAACCGTAACATTTCTAGAAAGATCTCATTTATTTTTTTAGCATATGAAAAACTTTGAAGTCATTATCAAGATGGACAAACAGTCAAACACTGGGTGTAATATAAAGTAATATGCATCACTCGTTGCTTGAAGAAAACACACACACTCCTGCTCTCTGACTCGGATTCCGTCTTCGGGCTGTTGTAGTGAGAACAGCGTTTACTAATTTATAGGTTTTGTGAACATATTCTGAACTCATCACCCGTGGTGATATTTTTGTAAAATTTAGATTGATTCTGTTATTCTTGTGTTGAGAATAATGTTAAAGCCATTCGTCATCTAAATACCCCAGAACCCCATTAAAAGGCCTGCAGTTCATTATTTCACATGATAATTATCGGAGCGAGAGAAGGCAGCAAGAAAACACAAATATCAGCACTGATTTTTTCAACAAATAGAAAATTAAAGACCCTGTCTTTGAAGGGACACTGAACTCTCAAAAATATTTTGAAGTCCCTGGATGAAGCACCTATGTCACAAAATAAGGTTTCCGTGAACAACTTTTTTAGCTCAATAATTACGCTGTGAGACAGATCTTGGCTTATGAAAGAAAAATAGAGGTTCGTTTCGGTTTCGTTCCTGAATTAAAACGTACCTCCTAGCGTAAATATTACGCCAAACACTATTTTTGTTTTCAGAATAAAGAGGTGACCTGCGCTTATAACATTCTAGCTTCCTGGTGTAAGGAGGAATCATTTGTGTCACTCAGTGAAAAGACAGCACAGTAGACAGGATCAGCAACTGGTATATCGGCACTCATCTTTGACCCTCACTATAACTGCCATTTGGAAGACGAGTGGCGCTGCCTATACCGTAAAATCCCATAAGGGCGCCCTCCCCCAGAGATCGCCCATCCCGTTTTTCTGGCTAAATATCTGTAACATAAAAATTCCAAAACATAACCCACCCCCGATTCCCGTCGGATGTCAAGTGATGTCCGACGGGAATCGCGCATCAACGGCGCGATCGGCGGTACCAGTGTGTGCGAGAAGCGAGTTCATAGCGGGTTTTCGCGTTTTTGTCTGCGATCTGCACGGGATATCGGCTAGCATAACACTGTAGTTGTTCCCGCGTGTATATTGCATCGTGAAATGCAATTCTGCTGTGTTCGCGATTTGCGGTATCCGTTCCCCCAGTTCGTAGCGGCTTCCCGTGTTTTTGTCTGCGATCTGCTTGCACGATATCGATTTTTACCTGTAAGTAACACGCGCAAGTTGTTCCCGCGTGTATATTGCATCGTGAAATGCGATTCTGCTGCGTCCGCGATCTGCGGTATTTGTTTCTGTGACATTTGAGTTTGTAGAGTATTCCCGTGTTTTTGTCCGCAATCTGCGCACAATATCGGCTTCCATGACAGGCAAGTTTGTAGCGGGTTCCCGCATCTTTATTGCATCATGAAACTTGGATCTGCTGCGTCCGCGATCTGCGGTATCCGTTCCCGTGAGATCCGAGTTCTTGGCGGGTTTCCGTCAGTTCTTCGCACCGTGTAACGCGAATCTGCTGCGTCGGTCACTTGCAGTATCCTTTCCCGTGGCACGGGAGTTTGTAGCGAATTCCCGCGTGTTTATCGCATCGTGAAATGCGAATTTGCTGTGTCCGCGATCTGCGATATCAGTTCCCGCGTCACGTGGTTTGTAGCGGGTGCCCCGGCGCTTATCATTATTTTTTTTATAAAGTTTCGCTGTGGCATCCCCAAAGATAGCCCACCCCATGTTTTTCACCATTTATCTCTTCATTTTGGGTGGGTGTCCTTACGGGATTTTACGGTAGTGAAATGGAGTCGGAAAAACCGCGGAGCTCGCGGACTCCAGAGGTATTGCTTTCCCGCAGTGTACAGGTGCTTGGTTAGAAGCCCACTGTGATTATACAAGAAGCATGCAGCATGAGCTACACTGGCGGAGGTTGAGCAGTTTCGCGTGGCTCGCATAATGAGCCATGCTCCGTGCTGCGCAAGCGCGAGGCGTAGTGACGTCGTACGGCGCACAGCTGGCCCGTCAAAGCCGCCGCTGCCGCGCGCTCCGCCGCCACTGCGCGTGCCTCGCCGGTCTGCACATTCCAGAGGAGTGACGTCATAGCCGCAGCAGACGCACTGGCGCCGCCGCGTGCCCAGCTGTGCGCCTCCGTTGCGCAGTAGCCAAGTCTGACGCTGCACCGGAGCCGCTTTATTCGCGACTCCAGCAAAACGGACGCCGCCGAGCGGGAAAACCGGGAACCAGCCGGTCCAGGTCGCTCCACGCCCCTCCGCGTCTCTGGTGGCTTTCGCGGAGACGTGTTGTCGGCGCGGTGGCGAACAATGTAATTTGACGAAGGTCCGAATATTTCTTAAGTTTGCCTGAGTGATCATTAGTGTGGTGAGGCCTCAGTAAATTGTTTTCTTCTATTACGTGTTTGAAAGCCTGTTTACTCCACAGCACACGGTTGCGTGCTTTCGATTTCTTGGATGGGGAGAAATCACGGAAAAACTTTTTTGATTTCTTGTCTGTCTCGAATCACATTCAAAGTGACGACTGCTTGGTAACTGATACTGGAGGGAACATCAATGTTGCAGTCAAGTGAATGGGAAGGTTCGATAGCTGCTTTTCTTGAGTTTGGTTGTGTTCGGTTAGCTTCAAGTTTGAGCCACCCACGCCGGTCGGTGCGTTGGCTATTCATCTTGGCTGCTTTTCGCCGAAAAGGCCTCTGGACCACACTGAAGGAGTTGGGCTGATTTTGCAATTACTTGATTCAGGAAAACTTGCTCGCTGCAAATGACGAATGAGGGAAATTATCTGTTTTCAAAAGGTGGGAGACAAGTCTCGCAACGTTAGATGCTGCCACGGCATTTTGACCTATCGCGCTTCCAATATTTATATTACCAGGACGTCGAAGCCAGCAGTAATATACGTCTACATTGATCAGGTTGACCGGTCACAAAAAATATACTAATTTTCTCCGTTCAGGATTCGAAGCAAAGTTCAATGCAGAGAGGTTCTGCGCGGATCTTCAATGAAGACTCTCTTCAGTTTGTCTCTGTGCTGCCGGCTATAGAACCATTTGGCTAAATTTAAGTAGTATGTCTTCGTTTGTCAAATATACTTTTATTCAGCAGCTCACCTAATAGCTAGTCAACTAAGCTCATATTTCAACCCGAAGGATATACTAATATCGCTTTAGTGGGACCATAGTACGTAATATAATACATAACCCGCTCATCAAAATGACTTCTCGATTGCTACTAAAACCTGAATTGAAATACGAGTATCAGCTGCTTAGTGGGGCGCCGGCGGGTTAACATGGTCCTTGGCTCAAAAAGTGGTTGCTTAATTTTCGTAAATTTCCTGCAGCCTGTGTTGATGGCCGAGCAGACGACTGGAGCTGTTTCGTAAACGCGGATACGCACAAAAGCTCGATTCTGCGGACAGATAAGTCGCATGGTCGAGGCATGCGAGTTAGCTGAAAAGTTACTATCTGTGGAACAATTCTATAGTTATCGCCGCTTTCCTTAGATGATCAAAACTGACTAGTATATTACCGTCTCTCCGGAGCCCATAGTTTCGGTTTTGAACGAAATCTCCGAAACGAAAGTTTGACACGAAAAGAAAAAAAAAAAACACCGGCAAAACAAAACTATGCTTTGCAAGTTTATCTGCACCGGCTACACTTCACCGTCTCAGTTCAAATACCTATAAAGTTGGGCATTAAACAAAAGAAAATCTGTTAAATTGAACGCGCCACCCATTCAGGCGGCCCGGCCGAGCCGCCGCGACCTGGACTCAGCCGCCATGTTTGTTTGGTGGTGGCGCCCCCTATAGGTCGCTGGAGTCGCGAATAGCGCCTCTCATTTTGTGCGCATAAGCTCACGCTATGTATATCCTGGCACAGCCGAGCTAAGCCACAGCAAATTTTTTTTCTTTTTTTGTCAAAGTTGAAATTGAGGAAAGAGTATTTGCATATAGCAAGCAGATTTATTAACTCCATCAATAAAGATAGCTGTGACAAATTTGTTGTCCACATGCCACAGTTTGTAAATATAATGCATATTAAGATTAACTGAGCTTAGAAGTGGGCAAGTGGAAGGTGAGGAACAACCTTCACAAGTTCAGCTGAATTTTCGTTTAAGAATGGTGTACAGTAGTGAAAGGCTCGAAAAAAATATTCTATATTCTATTCGAAAATATTCAGCCAAAGCCACTATTCGCTTCGAACTCGCTTCGAACTTGAAATTCTCTATTTGCACATCACTAGATGTTTTTAATCTTGCCGTCTACGTGAGATGCGATGTGGCAGTTCTAAGCTGTAAAAATATGGTCGAGTTCATAATTGGGCAGCCTTCTTTATTTCTCTATTTGTTCCGGAAGCTCACAGAGCAGGACCTTTCTATCGTTAAGTATGTTTTACCAAACAATATCTTTACTACATCAGGAGGCATCGCTCCATATAGATCCTTTTTCCATGTGCCAGATTTGAGCAGAAATAATTGATCCTCTTGAATTAAAAAGAGCAAAGGATAGGCACGGACATAAAGGAGGCCGGACAGCGCTATTTAGCGCTGTCCTGTCTACCTCATGTCCGTGTCTGTCCTTTGCGCTTTTTAATTCAATATGTTAAACCAACTAGCCCACCTTAATATTTTAACTGATCCTCTGTTACCCTACCCAGATGCCCAGACACTGAAATTAGTAATGACAAAATCACATATCTGTGCTGGTGACGAGAACACTGAGGTGTCTAAAAGGTCAATAACCTGCCCCACAACCACAGTGACGAAGTAAAGCGAAAATAATGAAAGAATAAAAAGAAGTGAAGGTCAGTTATGGGCTGCACCCATACACAGCTGCTGAAAAGTGTCTACCTTAATATCCTGGGTCATTGCCCATCGCCTAGTCATCGTTCACCCCACTTTTTGAGCAAATATTGATTTCCAAAAAAAACGTTGCGATCACCCACCCCTTACAAATACCCCAACGCAGATTCCGCGATCCGTGAACATGTATCCCACCCGAATGATGCGACTGCAGACCTTGCAGTTGGAGGACGTCCGTGACGAAGTAAAACGAAGGAGGGAGAGACACTCCTCTTTGTTTATGCATTTGCTCCCCGATTTCTACAATCCCAAAGTCGTAGTACATGCGTGCGAAAGGAAAACGATGGAGATAACAGAATGAAACTTTGTTTTTCTTACAAAAAAGCTTTTCTGGGCAAAAAAAAACAAAGTCTGAAAGCTAACACAAGCAGTAACCGATTCAGGGATCGCGAGGTCAGCGAATGTCTTTATATCCTGGAATGTAACTGCGGAGTGTAAGGTCAAAGTCCGTCTCCATCGAAGTAAGGTCATTGCGAACCCGCTCCTTCTCCCGGAACGTTGCGACTGCGGTTGGTAAGGTTGTGCAGTCTTTAAGACAAAGTTGACGGGTAAATTAAGATTTGCTGGACTGCCGCACGCAGACGTTTGTAGAGTGTCCGATTTAGAGCTCCGTGTTCGTGGTGCCACTTTCACTATTTCACTGTCCGAAAGCAGACCTCAGACGACGGCGTGTTTGTTCACCTCAATGCACCCGATAGGCGGAGAATGTCCGGGGCCGGGCAATTCTTCGTCAAGTGTGTGCACCGCTCGGTTTCACGGTTGATCACTGCCGCAACTACAGAATAGACCTAGTATTGCTATACAGTGTAGACCGCATATAACGTATGTTGCGGGAGTCGCAAAAATCCGCACTATAAGCGGTACCGCGCTATAACCAAAATATCAATTTTTCAGGGCAAAATGCATGTCATGAGACAACTTACCTTTGTAAAACAATTTATTTTATGTTAGATGAAAAATAAAGCTTAGTTTGAGGCAAGTCTTTATTTCACCAGACTAGTACACTTCTCTCTCAAGTGTGTCACACATTTTGAAAGAAATGAGCGGCTTTTGCCTGGCTCAACCTGTTAACGGCGTCGTGGGTTTCGGACGAACGTTGCGAGCGTTCAGGATTGCTAACCCTAATCACTTTTCTCCGGTGATGAAAACGCGTGAAAATTCGCATCCTTTATGCGGTACGCGCCAGTAATACCTTCAACTTGAGCACAGGCATGAAATGCTCCAAATAAGAAATCCGGGCGATGTTCGAAAACACAAATGTTTAGAAATCACCACTGTAGTCGAAGTAAACAAACACGACAAGGGCGTTTCTGCCATCTTGAGAATGCTGCCATGACATCGCCGCACGAGTAGGTGGATCTTCCCTTCTAGTACGTGCTGGGTTACCATAGCAACACACAACGAAAATTCACAGTCAAGCATAGCGCTTTTACGCAGAACGATGAGCTTCCACCATGCCGTCTACATCGACGATCACAACCGACGCCATGTTTGCGGATAGAAGCAGCCGGCCTGCGACCGGCATGCGACACGCGTGAACACTTCTCCTTGACCTGCGGTTGGTCTGTCGTTGCGGTTGTTTCCAATGCAGCGGAGGGACGCACGCACGTGAACGACACGTGCGTGCGTCCCTCCATCGCTATGGCAACTGAAGCCTCTCTCTTCGCTTCTCCCCGCTCCTTCGAGCAACCTTCTTGCCCCGCAAGTGCCGCTTGCGGCTCGCGCCGTTATCTAGTGTCGCACAGGGAAGCGTGCTCGCTGCTCCGGTGTCGGCGCGGTCGCCGGGCAGTTGCAGAAACCGCACTATAAGCGGTATTTCCCTTCGCGCGCCTGCATTTTAAGCGGTATGTAATTACATGGAGTTGTATGGGAGGCGAACCGGTGGTTTAAAAAAGCCGCGTTATACCCGGTCCTGCACTATAAGCGGTTACGTTGTAAGTGGTCTATTAATAAAGAAAGTCGAAACGCAACTCGGAACTCAGCACTACGTATGAGCAATAAAAAAAATCAGCACTACCTATGAACAAAATCAGTATCATCAGCACCACCAGAGCTTCGCCCCAACCAACATCATTCACCACGTGGAGATGCGGTCATTTCTTTTTTTTTTATATACTAACGAAGAGAATATAGCGGTCTTAGAAACGTGCTTTCACGGAACAAACGTTCGCACTGTATGCCGATTGGCGGTACTCATCGCGCGTGTGCAAGCAACGGACTTTGCGATAGTAAAACATTCATGAGCTTTTCTTGCACAGGTAAACCAATGAAACTAATTCAAATTCTGTGTTTAATGTATCTCTTGTGCAGCCACGCTAGATGCGTACAGAAAAACTGGCCTTTTTCTAGCTTTTTTTTTTTTTTAACTTTTTGTGCTTACCCACCGAGACATGGCCCGCCCCACTTTTTTTTAAATTTCAGGTGGCAGGGGGGTGTTGTAATGACTCGGAATATTACAGTATAGCAGTAGCTTGTGCATTACTACTATAATCTCGCTTGGTGACGCCGCTTCAAGCGGGAAAGGCTGCCGCTAGGTGGGAGTTCTGAGCACAGTGCCGAAAGAAACGCGCGAGGCGCACCTGGTGTGCAGATCTACCCGTACCTGGTGGTGAACGACGCCTGCCTGAGCGACGCCCGGCGGGAGGAGCGGGTGCTGCAGCTGCTGCGCATGCTCAACCACCACCTGGACAAGCAGAAGGAGACGGCACGCCGCTTCCTCAACTTCGCCGTGCCCCGGGTGGTGGCCGTCAGCCCCCAGATGCGACTCGTCGAGGACAACCCGGCCTCCGTGTCCCTGCTCCACGTCTACAAGCAGGTGCGCCCGTTTCCGGCTCTTACTGCCCAGGCGAGAAATGCAGTCACAATAAAAGCCAAGTATGTAAGGATAAGATGTGTACTGAATGCAAAACACGAGAATACAGATTATAATCAGCATAAAAAGAAAAACAAGTCATCTAAGGAACACACCAATAACAAACATCATTATCTCTCATTTTATGGAAACTGAACAGTTTCCATAAAAAAGTTTCCACAGTCTCTCATTTTATGGAAACTAGTGATGGGCCGAACTTTTGCCGAATCAAAAGTTTGGCGCCAAACCTTGGGATTCGGCAAAGCCGAACTTTAGCCAAACTTTTCTAAAGATTCGGCAAAGATTTGGCAAAAATACATTGTTACCAGACTTAAGGCGAGACACTGGTTCTAAAATGGACTATTTTATTTTTGCAGCTATACTAATGAAAGTCACTGTGCATATGTGTTCCTTCTTCCTCACTTCAAATATGAAATCAGTTTCAAAATATCTCAATTAGTTTTCAAGTTATAAAAAATAGTGTTGCCTAATTTGGTTAATTTCTTACGGGTCGTTAAGGCCATTTCGAACAAAAATATTTTTTTTTTATTGATGTAGATGCATAGCTAAAGGTCTGCCATGCATTATAAAGCTATTTATATTTTCACAAAATTACATTATAATACAAAAATGTACTAATTATGCTAATTATGACACTAATGAGGTCGTATTATTTATCATAAAATTTTCGTTGTCATTATAAACTGCCAAAAAATAGCTTTACTCCATAGTCCAGTCCTTTCTGAATAAAACGGTATAAAAAGTTTCAAAATGCTACGATAAAAACCTCATGAAAACCCCCGTAAGGCTAAGCACGTTGACAAAAAACATGAAGATGAGAAAATCAAAGTTAAAGTTTTGACATTGAACATAGAAAATTGTGTGAACAATGATAAATAATAATTGCCACCAAGGTGTAGTGTAAGTCTTCATGAACAACTTGACATAAAAGATGATGTAATCCATTTATGGGAACATTAGGAAAAAAATATGAAAGAAGTAAAGAACGAGTGAAATGTTGATAAAAATCACATTTTCCTGTTTCGACGCTGACTACAATAAATCATGTGAAAACCCTTATGCAATAATAGTTATCAAGATGTAGTGTAGTGCATTCTGAACAAATAATATTAAAAATTGCAATAATTTGTTTTTGAGAAGATTGCAAAAATCGTGAAGAATTACTGATATAGGCTAAAAATTGCTTCTAAAGTGATGAGCCGACAACTTTGGACAATGGGAGAGGCGAGCAAGAGTTTCAAGCTCCAAACGTAATTTTGTTTGGCCCTGAAAAGGGCCTTTGTTCCACATGGCACTGGAAAAAGCCATTACAGCTGTCCTGGGCTGTAATCTCGTGATGCTCCTGCCTGGTGTCGCTTGGAGAACCTTTCCTTCACGCTACTGCTGCTCTGGTGCACCGCGTTTGCTTTACGTAAACGGAGACTGTCCTTTTCGATGCTTCGGCGGACAAGGCAGTCACCGGTGGCGTAGCCCAGGCCTGCAGCAATGGACTCGTTGGTCGCTCTCCTTCCCTGGTTGTAGACAGCAACAGCTTCAGCCGCAGCCTTCTTCACGCTGTCCAAGGAGGCATTCGCATTCTTTGAAGTCTGCGTCCAGATCACCGAATGCAGGCTCTCACTGGCATTCTGCGTCTTTCCCTCACTACACCGTGCCAACAGGTCTTCATTGCTGAGCCTTTCAAACACTGGCTCCAGTGCAGCCCGAACACAATCCGGAAGAGGATTCTTGTGCGGCGGCGGAGGCTCACTGTTTGCCAAGGCCCTGTTGTACTTGCACCAGGACTCCGCTCCCTCGGGGCACTTGCTGTGGTCTGGGGCGCCGTCTGTGGAGGTCATGTGCAGGAGTGTGGCTTCCACCGCCCTCTTCATCCCTGGAACGTCATGGCTGTTGCTCCTGAGAGCATAGCCGTAATAGTTAGTGATCTTCTTGATCTTTTCCTGTGTCAGCTTTCCTCTCCCACCAAGTGACTCGCCTTGTGCCTTCTTCTTCTCAACAACGTTGCGCAAGGCAGCTCCCATCCGCTTGTGGACGTGGTTCACGCAGTCCTTCTTCTCTATCTTGATGAAGCCGTAAACCTTCGCTTCAGACAAGGCATGGAATGTCCGGCTGTCCCCATCCGAAAGGATGGTGGTGTAGTGGAGACCATGCTTGGTCAGAGACCTCTGGAACATTGTGAGCGCAGCCTCCACCTCCATACGGCCAGCATTGCAGTCAATGTTCCTCTGGCAGTCGTGGGTTGCGTACCAGTCGCTGTAGCCATCGTCCTCGGGCTCCGGTCCCAAGGCACATCCAAGGCAGAAGTTGGAGTACACAACATGGTCGATGACGAGGCCAGAGTACAACTCCACAATGCAGCCTACACCAATGTGGGAGCTGCGTCCTCGGGTCATCCATGATCCGTCGAAGATGACATCGATGTTGCCAATGGGGTTCATAAAGCGTGTGTAGAGCCCCTTGACGACAGCAACACTGGCGGCTTCACTGTCGGTTGCTGCATTCTCACATGCCCGCACAAGCGTTTTCAGGTGTCCCTGGTACGTCTTGTGGTGCAGGCCCCGATGAGAAATGTTCATGGAGGCACAGAAGTCTGCCAAGGCTGTCACTCCTTTGCCAATGGATTGGATCCCCTTCATGGCCCTCATGTTCACTTCAAAGGGAGTGATCTTTGCTGTTCCAGCAACCCTGGGAGAGGAGAACTGCTTCTTCTGGAAGTCGCAAGTGCTGCAGACGAGCACAAGCTTGACGGCCAAGCCGTACTCCTTGTCCGCGGCCTTGCTGAGCGTGAGAGATCCCACACCGCAGCTTCCACACCTCGCGTGCGCGAAGAGGTCGTTGAGGACTTTCATGTCGACGATGACAAACTGGGTCCCGGCATCGCTTGTTTGGCATGATCCGTTGACTTCAAGCAGATCGAACTTCCGCTGGGTCGCCGACTTCTCCGATAAAACGCGCTTGCTTTGCTCCGATCGCTCGGCGCGCTGCGCTTGCTCGGCCGTAGAGTAGTAGGTAGAGTCGACGCGAGTGGTGCCGGCAAAACTTGAGCCATCCGGACCAGAGCTTGAGGCCGCAGCATCGTCAACGGGAAGGCTAGCCGATGGTCCCGGCAGATCCAATGCGTTCGGCAGTGGCGCAGATCGTAGCGGCGCACTTGCAGGTGATGTCTTCCGCTTGTTCCACGCACGTCGCGTCTTCCTCCCGAACGTCCGCCGCGTACTCTCTTTCAATCGAGAGTCCCCCGGCATCTCGATCGCTCGAAATAAAACTCCCGCAACTTCGTAGCGAGAAACCAACGATGTCCGACGCGAACGCGCGAACGTAAACGATTTCGAAACAACGTGCACTCAGCCGCGGAACGAACAAAGCGACAGGCCAAAACGAAGCAGACGACGCTTCTCCACGCTCTCCTTGCGCTGCTGGAGGCGCGCGCGCGCCAAGAGGAGGAAAGGAGCAAAAGTGGAAAGGGGCGCGTCTTGGCCTATGACAGGCGCGCGCGGCACGACGTACCCGTGACGTACGCGCGCGGGCCAATGAGCAATCGTTATTCCGGTCGTGAAAACCCGCGGAATGCGGACGCTCTCCAAGGTTGTCGCGATAGTGAGTGGGATGAGGACGTAGGGAAGAGAACCAGCTTCCCAACAAGACCAAGATGGCCGCGATCCGACGATCGGTCGTGAAGCGACGCGGGCGCGCAGTTTGACTATTTTTTTGCGTTGGATTCGCGATTTGAGCGTCGCGGAGGCATCGTATTTATCGTTTTTTTTATACTTAGACGTCGAATAGGACATTGAAACTTCGCAGGCAGGTACTTCAGACTATATTCTATCCAAACATGTGATTTTTGAAAAACCCCAAATTTCGCGATGCATATTGCATATTGACACAGTTTTTACTAAATAAGGTGATATTCTACAAGATAATTGTATCGGTGTCGTTTTTGTGTTTACTTGTAATTTTAGTCACTCCTTGCAGAAGTGGCGTGACAACAAGGTTAACGAGGTTGGGTAGAAGTGAGCTTGGCCCAGCCACGAATCACGCTACGAGAGTTTCGGTTTTGAGGCATTATCAACGCAAGCCTGCACGTGTGTGTACATTGTTAAAATGAAGGCAATAACGTTGCGTTCTTGCTTTCTCTGGGAGTCACCGTTTTGTGCGCGAAAACGAATGCAACGGTTGCTGAGCCTTCACCAGAAGAGATAATATTATTATTTTCAATATGCATGTTTCTTTTTCGATTTGAGTCACTTGACGTCAGCTTTACATGAAAGTCTGCGTCCCATATTTGCAACGCCTCAATTTTAACCTTTAAAATGCCAGTTTCTGGTGTTAGGACACACACAAACGTTTGGAAGATAGGGAGAGTTAGGAATGTTGGATGTGCAACGTAGAGCATTACAGTTCTGTGTTTAGTTTTATGCAGATACAGGAAAATAGTGAAATAACGCTAATTGAAAAAGCAATATTATTTTGTTTTGGCACACACTACTTCTGAACCGAAAACAGAAATGTTATATTGCGAGGAGTGCTTTAAAGTAATTGTTGGCCAATGTTTCAACTACCTCGTTGCATCACTGGAAATGCCAAATGAAAATCACGTTATCCGGAATCTACCACATCATTTGTCACTTGCGCAGTGGACTGTGCAAATTACAGGTCAATCTTCTATTCTTGAGGCAGAAAATACTATAGAAAATACTGAAGAGAACCACACTCACTCACAAACGCACAGTTACCATGTTGCCTACTCCACACCTCGCCGTAACCGCAGGTAGTACTACTCCGCACCACCGTGCACTGCACTATGGTAACCGCACGACTGCACATCGTCCATTTGCAATCCACGGCCCTGTTGTGTTCTCGCGCGTGCGCAGACATTTGCCGAACTTTGCAGAATCTGAAGTTCAGCAGATTCGGTCCATCACTAGTATATACCCAACAAAATATAACAAGGCGAGTCAGGCACATCAAATAAAACAAGGATGAACTTTAAAGGTATAAAGTGTAATACAATGCTTTATTGTGATTAGGAAGCTTAGACAAATTTTATATCGCTGCTTACCTGCAGTGCTCTACATTCTTTTTTAAATAAAGGGAATGGTTTTGCATATTTTTTAGAGGGCATGTTGTTTATTAGACTAATTTTTTCATAGTGTATACTCTGCCATCCGTAATTTGTCCTTGTATAGGGTTCCCTTCTTTTAACATGACGGAATGGGTGCAATTCTTCTGTGGCGACTGGGGTGGCGTATAACCTTTTTTGATAAATTAATTTAAATACTTTGAAGTACTTCTCTCACTCAGAATTTTCGAGTATGCATAGAACCTTTTTTGTAGGATTAGTAATTTACAGTAATCAAATACTGTACTAGTTGTGCCCCATATAAAAATTCTATACACATTTTGGAGAAAAATAAGGAGTATTGCAATGTTTCAACTAACCACATCGGCACAAGGCTTGCCACTCTATAAATACAGTCAAGAACTCGTGATAATTCTGAGTTTAGTTTACTTGTGTGTGTATTCTATTTTAGCTCTTGTTAAACCACACACCCAGAAATATTTGCTTGGTTACTTATTCTATTAAATCACTTTCAGACGTAATCTTAAGAGAGTTTGTAAGACGTTTTGTTGCTAGTTTAAAAATCACATATTTTGTTTTGCTTGTATTTAATTGTAACCCATTGGAACTCAGCCATTTTGAAAGCTTTAAAAAGTAGGTGTTTGCCCTTTCCTCCAGGCATTCTGGAGTTGCTTCACTAAAAACAAATATTAATGTCATCAGCATACATTATTACCCCCGGAAAACCAGGAATGCTTGCATATCATTTATATGAACTAGGAAAAGTAAAGGGCCTAATATGGAACCCTGCGGGACACCATGACGAGTTTTTTCCTTATTTGATTCTAGATGGTAAATTTTTTACGTATTGCAATAGATGGACAGCTCTCTTCGTGAGATGAGGCCCTCTTGTGGAGCCGGCTCCCAGTTGTCTTTCAGCATTATTGTAGAAGGGGGGAGAGAGAGAGAGGAGAGGGAGGACTTAACCAACGCCCATTCTTGTTTCGTCACCCCTTCATTTTTTTACTATTTGCAAATGGAAATGTTTTTGTTTTTTTGTTGTTTTTTTTTGCCTATACTGGGTATGCTTACCAGGAGGCTGGGGGCGAGAGTATGCCGAAAAAGGCCTATACTATACGACGTGCAAGTTATATTTTGTTCACTCACAGGCCACTGCATCTATACCCGTTTTCACCTCAAGAACCCTAGTAAAACAAGTCCAGCACCTCGCGGAGCGTTTCTAATTTCCTCATTTATCTTGATAATTAAGGTATATGTAGGAGAATTTTAGATTATATATATGTTATATTATCAAGACGTACACGTTTCAAATGCTTAAAGCATTGCATTTTCCTCTGACAACCATATCTCGTAAGAACTACTTCGCGCCGCATATGAACAACGCACAAAACTTGCTTTTCTTGAGGGGAAAATGGGTATAGGAAGCAGGATCTGACTCCCCTTCTCGGGAGCAGTGGCTTATTTCACTCGAACACGCAATCATGTGTTTTCGTTCTTGCAACTTTCGAACCAGCATATGCGTGGGGCTGCGCATGTGCAGATGATATTTTCCCAAATCATGGATATCTCCTTGATAAAACAAAATGAAGCTCCAAAAAACAAAAAACGGCTTCCAATCATATTTAGCCATGTCGCCCCCCCCCCCCCCTCCCCCAACCAAAAAAAGAAAACTGCACAGGGAACATATAAAGAAATATCAGTGCAGGGCACACTGACTAAAAACCTGCACTGACGCCAACGGCATTGTAACTCACAATAACGCCGCTTGTCAATCATGTTGGGGTTGTTCTTTTGGATTGTAATCCCTTTTCTTCTAGAGCGCAGCTCTTAGCTGCCCATTCCCGGCTTGGATGGCGTCACCGTCACCGCGCGTTGCATTATGGGACGTTTCCCATGATAACGTCACACGTAACGGCACGAGTGACATCACAAGGATCACTAAGGTCACGAGTGACGTCACAAAGGTCACAACCTTCACATGACCTTTACTCGTGAAGGTCACGACCTTCACGAGGCCTTCACAAGTGAGGTCACAAGGGAGGGGGAGGAGGAGGAAAGGGTACCTTCCCTCCTCCTCCTCAAGAGCTGTGCTCTAATTTGGCATTACAGGGAGTTGTTAAACATCTTTCTTTTTTTTTTTTTCTAGTTTGATTCTATGGCTTAGCCGCCGTGGGCTTAGCGGAGCAGGGGTAGGTCGGGGGGGGGGGGGGGGGGGAAAGGGGAAGGAGGGAGGAGGAAACAGGCAACGGTGGAAAGGGTAGAAGGGGGAAGAGGAGGAAGTGAGGGAAAAATGAGGAGCGCGAAATGGTGTAACGGAAGTTACAAGAGGAAGCTCCAGGCCTTCAGCGTCCCTGCCAAGCACACACATTCTTGCAGTGCAAGCATTGTTCAGGGCTATGTGCTCATGCTTGTAGTTACAACTTCAGTCGCACCTAAAGTGAACCAAACTATAGAACCACGGTATGTTATGTGCCCAACAGTTACGATACCGAAAGTTGCCTCTACAAAGTAGAGCTGTAAAAATGACACCTCAATCTTAGTTTTGCACCTGATTGTTTTGAGTTGCAAAGGCTCTACGGTGTTGAGGTACACTCGTTGCAAGCACAAAAGGCAGGCAGAAGCAAGACAACCTGTCTAGGCCACCAGATTTAGTTTGTATGTGAAGCTGTGGGCTGAAGTGGGGACCCTCCCCCCCCCATTTGCAACCACACGCAGCGTTGCCACAAGCGGGGCGTGGAGCACGACTCGCCGCTGGGACGCTACTACGAGCGGCTAGCGGCGGTGCAGGCCCGTGGCTCCCAGGCGAGCCACCAGGTGCTGCGGGACATCCTCAAGGACGTCCAGGGGTCGATGGTGCCTCGCCACATGCTCAGGGACTGGGCACAAGCCGCCTTCCAGCAGCCCACACACTACTGGACCTTCCGCAAGCAGGTGCATACTATGCATCCCCCTCTTTGACGGACCATTTGGGTACCCTCTGAGTGCACTGCAAAGCAGTAGTTCTACTAATGAAGTCCTGTTGATATCATATATGCATTTGCCACCTTGGGTGGGCATTGCAAACCCCTTTTATGCAAGTTCTCTTGCACATACAATTACTTTCCCTAGACAACAATGAGTCTTTTGTGTGACATATCCGAAGGCCCAAGGTCAATTATCAGGTGCAGCATTTTTGGTGTTCTCGTGTGTATTACAAGTTTTTAAAATTTGTTCATCCCTTTTTCATCTCTCACAAAACAGACTATACTGGCTGTTTGTCACAACGAAATATTTTTTTTTTTAAGGCCGGGGCAGGATTTTTTGGTGTAAGGATCGGAGCAAGAATTGGGAAGAACTGATTCCTATTCCATGCTTTGTGAATGTGAAGTGTTTATTCTGACCACAAAAAAAAAACGGAATGAAAAAAAATAACACTTGATGGTGTTTTTTTTTAGTGCTTACAACTGGACCCATACGGATATGCATATTTTTTAGATCTCGTATTCTAGAATCTTGCAGTGTTACCGTAATGATATACTTCACTCCGAGAGCTGTGCTGGCGTACCTACAAAGGTACGAGGAGTATTCCCATAGATATATCACTGCTGCATAATGGACGTTAAAGACCTATGGGTAGCAGTAACACTTCCCTAGCTGAATTTCTCACCTACCGCATAAACCAGTGTCTCCATGCCTCAAAGGCAGACTGACTTCACACAGCCTGGACACAAACATCTAATTTTCTTTTCCTTTTATTGCCCCTTCCGTGCAGTTCACCCTGCAGTTGTCGCTGGCGGGCTTTGCGGAGTTCGTGATGCACCTGACCCGCCTCAACCCAGACATGATGTACCTGCACCAGGACTCTGGGCTCATGAACCTCTCCTACTTCAAGTTCGACGTGGACGACATCACAGGTGCGCCGCCGTCAAGGGACACGGAAAAAGCAACAGGGTCGCAAGCAAACGCTGCGATGTCTGTTCAGCTGGTATCCGGCCAGAGATAGTAGTCCAATGCAGCTTTGCAAGCTTGTCTCTCGGTGTCAATGAAAATTTGAGGGGCATTAAGAGCTTGACCAGCTCGTTCAACCCAATCCTCGATCCCCGTCGAAACAAATAAAGCGGAAAGAATTTCTTGTTGTTCTTGAGCTGAAAGAAAATTCTCTTTACAATAATTGGCATTGCCCACGGACGAAGACTTACATAAGTGCTCAGTATGCAACGGTAGGTCCACCGTTTTTCGAGACTGCACAATAACGGTTGAACCGTAAAAGGTACATCTTGGGGTAAAAAGCTTCTCCTCTTGTTTCAAATTTCGAAACGACTCGCAAGTTGCTCGACGCTCGAGGCTTTGAGCAAACGCTCGAGACCCAGGATTCGTCTTGTCGCTACAGGAGACCTGGATGCGAACCGACCAGTGCCGTTCCGGTTGACACCCAACATCTCGGAGTTCATCACCAGCATCGGCGTGACGGGCCCCATGACAGCCTCCATGATCGCCATCGCCCGCTGCGTGGCGCAGCCCAACTTCAAGGTCCAGGCGCTCCTGCGGGCCGTGCTGCGCGACGAGATGATCGCCTGGCACAAGAAGGTGAGCTCCCCCAACCAGCCACCAGCCTTTCGACGGTAGCACACAGACCGAACTACGGGAAACATGCCATCTCGCGCGATCCTCCGATCCTTTCTGAGAAGGATCCTCTTGCCGACTTACAAGGGTCGTGCAAATATTTCAAGTTTCACCTTCGTACCGCATCTCGCGTAGCTCGACACGAGCGCCGAGATATGTGACGCTCGTCTTTCTATGAGCTTTCCTTCTGGTACACAATAGAACAGACAAAACCCAACCGTTTTTCCTTTCAAAACACCTTGTAACATGGTTTCACGACCTATAGCAATGAAGCCGACGCTATATGAGCCTAGTGCATGTTGCCATTCAAGGCTAAGCGTTCGACAGTGATATCACAAAACCACGAGCAGCCACAACTCGTGGATCAGACACGAGCTCTGCATCAACGTTTGGATTAAGTAAGCGTGAGCATACAAGCAATTCCTCAGTGGACACCTGAATTTGGGCTCATGCCCGACAATTGCACCGATTAACGTGCTAAAGATTGCAACTTAAAAAAGCACCATATTTTTTAAAAAAATTAATTTGACTGGCATAATTGTGACACTTTTTTTTTTCACAATTTTTGTACAGAAAAAACAAAAAAAATTTGGTGCAATATTTATGTTGTTAGACAGAATTCAGGTGGAGGTCGCAGCCCATTCTAAGCCCCGCCCACAGACCAGTGGCTCCAGCCATTACTACTAGATTTGCTTGGCTACTCGGCCAAACATGCTCGGAAGCCTGTTGTCTCCATTTTCCCGACATCCGGTGCGTCTAGTGTGGAAGCCTGACACCGCCTGGGTAGTTGTGCGAGCAGATGCACAGCATCCTCCGGCATCGTCTGCTATTCTACGCCACCGTCTATTATTGTCTGCAATGCCCAGACACGGACACGAAAGCTGTGCATCAGCATCCGTTTTCGCTTTCGTCCGTCTACTATTCCGCCCTTGTCTAAAAACTTCTGCAATGCTTGAGAGACGCGACCGTGAAAGCTGCATCCTAGCATTCCATCATGCACGAGCCACGTGTGAATACAAGCGTCTGTCAGCGTCTGTCGATGTTAGATAAAAGTGACCGAGGACTAAAAGAAATCAACAAATTAAATATGTAATTCTTTCAGCTTTCCTGTTGTTGTATTTTCGCATGGCATCCACGAGCAAGGTGGGCGAGCATCATGACAAACGACTAAAACTCGACCTAAAATATTCGCAGTGGCAGGCCAGGTGCACTGCAAAACATGAGAGCTACTTTCCTTTCAAAGCAAAATGGCAGGAACAAACCTGGACAAACTTGATGCGAGCCGAACGCCCGATTTCCTCCGGCCAAATCGCTTGCAAATTCTTACCTGTGTAGGTATCTTTCCGGTAATGAAACCATGGTTGCAATCACAACGGTTGCACAATTCACGTATCAGTGGTGCCGCTGTTAGAGAACCAATATCTTTATTCAGCATCAACATGCGCAAAGGAAAAGATCAAGCCAGATCAACTAAGATAGTTGAAGTGGGACGCCGGCTTAGGCCAGTCTCGCTACAGCCCGCTACGAACCCAAGCACCCGCAGGGCGCCAACAGCGCTTACGAAGGCGTGTACTTGGGACAGTTGTTTGCTGCAAACTAGATCAATTGATTAGCTCTTTGGGGAAATACCTCGGCAAACGCAGATCAACTCTCACTGAAAAAAATAAATTACAGGACACTCAAGACTGCTTGCAGGTAGAAAGACAAAAGCATTATAGTAGTCCCGCGGAATAAATGTTTTCGAGTAATGTTTCAACACGTATTAAAGTTTAGGACGACGTCCAAGAGATTGACGTCAAGCACGGCACCTAGAACGACCTCTCAGACAATGTCAAGAATGGCGTCTAGGACGACATCAAGAACGCCGTCTAGGATGACGTCGAGCATGACATCCTAGAGGATGACTTCTAGGATGACCTCTATGATTACCTTAAGCACGACTTCGAGAATGACGGCTAGAGGAGGACACTTAAGGAGGCTGTGGCATATTTGTGTGGGCGGCTACGTTTGCCTGAGGAAGCCGCCGTAGATGGTAGACGCTGCTGCCGATGTCGAGGCCGTAGATGTAGACGCAGTCGCCTCACGGTCCATCACACAAAACACAACGAGCACAGATGAAGTCCGAAGCGCACATTTTGCACACGGCGCTTCGGCAGTGACATCACGCTCCCGCACTTGAGCGTGAGCGGCACATGCTTCATGACACATTTTTATGGCCATCTTCAAGCACAACGACGCCGCTTTTTTGCATAATGGGACAATTAAGGTCGTCCTAGAGGTCTTGGACAACGCCAAGGACAGCATCGTCCTTGGACATACGATTGAGGAGCTCAATCATGTTTTTATGGCCATATACGCCGCTTTTTCACTCAGTGGAACAAGTTTCACTCAATGGAACAACAGCTTGTTGAGCTTGCCTTAATGGGCGAGCTCGACAAGCTGCTCTCGTTGATCGCTTTGCAGTCGCCGGCAGCCGTGTTTGTTATCGTCTGAAACCGAAGTGGAAATGCAGTCTTGGGAATTTTGAAAACAATAATGACTATCTTGATTATTTGTTTCATAAACATAAAAATATTGTTAATTAAAATACTGTTGCAGTATGCAGGGGCCAATGAGCGCTGAGAAAAGGTGCTTAGTTTTGTAAGTACCGGGCAGGGCCTATAGCAGGGCTACCCTCCTACCTGAACTTGCGTCTAACAACATAAATATTGCTCTCTTTTTTGTGTGTGTGGAAAAATTTACAAGAAAAAAAGAAAGATGTTTACAGTCCTCTGTAATGCCGAATTAGAGCGCAGCTCTTGAGGAGGAGGAGGAGGGGAGAGTCACGTGACGTCACATGTGACATTACGAGGGTAAAACTTTCCCACTAAATTTGTCGGAAAATTTCTCCACTAAATTTAGCGGAAAAATTTTCCCGGTTTGAGTGGCGCCACGTGTGATGTCGTTATGGGAAACGTCCCATAATGCAACGCGCAGTTATGCTGACGCCGCTCAAGCCGGAAACGGGCACCTAAGAGCTCTAAAAATATTAAGCCCTTTAAAAAAAAATAACAAGGAGGACACCTAAGCACTTCTTACAAGTTGTGTATGTGAAAGCATGAATGTCGTTCTTCCTCCCCCTTATTCTGTCTGCGGCCTCAGTGGCATGAACGGCCAGGTTTCGCAACTGCCGAGGTAGCAGCTGACGGCTGAGGGCGCACTCTCATGATTTGGCCGCGCCGCGCTGATTCCAGTCGTACAGCCTCTCCGGAGTTTGCCCGAGTGGGCTGTGGGGTAGTGATGCAAAACTATCTATAAATTGACTATCGATACTATCAATAGTTTTTCCAGAACTATCGATAGTCGACTATCAATAGTTTTTCGATAGTCAAATTTCTGGCAACTATCGATACTGTCAGTAGTACTATCGATAGTATTGCATTACTAGAGCGAACACAGTTGCCGCACTGGCGCTTGCCTCCCTTCCTCCTCTCTTCGCCCAAACTCCCGTCTTCGTCATCGCTGAAAGCTGAACCAAAGTTAGAATGATAAGTGCTTGGGCTAGTTGGTGTCCACATTTGAAAACATAAAGCGAGAAAAGAAGAAGAAGGAGTGAGGCAAACTATTAGTTTCGCTAAACTCTCGATACTAAAACGTCGACAGTACTATCGATCGGTTTACGATAGTCGACTATCGATAGTTTTCAGATAGTCGATTAACGATAATTTTTTTATAGTCGACTATCGATAGTACTATCCATAGCTTTTCGATAGCCGACTATCGTTAGTATTATAAATCACTTTTTGATAGTCGACTATCGATAGTACTATCGATAGTTTTTTGACAGTCAACTATCGATAGTTTTTCGATAGTTGGCTATCGGTGGTACTATCGATAGTTTTTTTTACAATCGATAGTCAAATTTCGGGTGACTATCGATACTATCGATAGTACTATCTATAGCTTTGCACTACTACTGTGCGGCCAGGCCCGAACCGCTGCACCACTTACCAGCGGCCGGGCCACTGCGTGCACTGCGCCGCCATGGAGGGAACTTCTCTGGTGGCATTGTTTTTACTACGTCGCAGGAGAGCCTCGTTCCTTGATGACGCACACCAGCCAATGGGAGCCTATCTATCAGATTTCTGCTACAGACGACAGGCTTCGCTCCATTGGGACTGGGGAAGGCGCTGTTTGACGCGGCTTCAAAGCTGATGACAACGATTTGCTCCATAAAACAGTTAATGCTTTTGCATTAAAAAAAAATAATTTAATTTCAGTGTTTCTTTAAGTGCCACATCATTGCAGCCATGCGTGTTAAGGGCAGACACTACCTAAAAACAATTTCTGCAAAAAAGGTTGATTTTGAAAAATCCCATATTTACATCTACCAACATCCAGAGAGTATTCCCAGAAAGTTTCATTAGTATAATCTGGATTTTTATTTTTTTATAAATTATTTTCGGTTTACCGATGCTAAAGAAAAGGTAGAGGTGGAGCACTTTGAATGCATATTTCTGTGTTCCACTTTTTGGCATAAATGTCACTTTAGGAAAGCTTGCTTGGTAACCGGACGAAAGGAGAGACTCGCTCATTGTTATTCCCAACTGGAATTTAACGGGAAATACAACTGTGGCATTGTTTTTTTACGTTGTGAATGTCTTTATAAAAGATGTTAAGATTTTGTCAACAGCGTAAAAGGCAAAAAATATATTTGATTTTTCACCACAATGTTAGCATAAAATAAATTACTTTTTGGAAATTTTGTTTTCACAGTTGCACTCTCCAGGCATTCTGCTCCGTATCTAGTGAAGAAAAACATTGGGTATTGCATTAGTTCTCTAACAATAGTTTTTCTAAACAAAGTCAGTGTGTTTCTGATAAAAACAACTATATGTTTCTCTTACAACTCTTGTATGCAGATGAGACTTTGTACTGCACTCTGCCTCGCAACTGCCAGTATATCATGTAAATTTTATATACTGTAAATGACTTAATTTTCGCGGGCTCAATTTTTTGCGAATGGGGCCAAAGCTGAAAATTTGAAATTGTTCGCGGGTTCTAATTTTCGCGAATCAAGTGTAGCTTCCGTAGGGTTCACATATTGCCCGATTTGTTCGCGGGACGTATTTTTCGCGAGTTGTAGGCGATTCACGAAAATTAGGTCCTCGCAAAAACTTAGTCGTTTACAGTATATTAAGCCAAACATTCAAAAGTTGACCTTTTTGGGTAGTGTCCCCCCAACGAGAGCATTATAAGCCACGGGTGACAGAACTGCTCGAATAGGCAGGGCTGCAAGGCCAAGTTGGTTCGGCCCTGCCCCATGTGCCCCAACATGCCCTGTGCAGAAGCAAGACGACGCAGTGGCTCCGGGCTCAGCTCCTCAGGACATGGAGGGCGAGCTGCTCATTGGGATGGTGTCCAAGGCTGTCAGTGCCGTCATGACCAGGCTACAGAGTGGGTGTCTTCCTTCTGCTGCACTGCTCTGCTCAGTCACTGCATGTTCATTGCATGCTGCCAGATCTGGGGACGGGCAACTATGCGTTCCATGACATACGTTCTGGCCTGGACAGATGATACCCACATACTTTAAGCCATCTATTATCGGCATATTTGATTCGGAAATCGGGGATGTACCAGAATAATTTACCATGTTTATAGAAGTCTGTTACAACGAGCTTGTCTCAAAAGCTGGAGAGTGAAGACAGAAAAAAGTCGGAGGACATTTAAGCCCGTCTTACGAGTTCTGAATGCGAAAGCATGAATGTCGTTCTTCTGCACCCTTAGTTCGTCTGCGGCGTAGTAGCGTGGACGGCCATGTTTCGCCGGCCAACGGCCGAGCGCGTTTTCTTGTAAAGTGGCCGCGCCGCGCTGAGCTCGGCTGTGCACCCTTTCCGGAGTTTTTCTGGGCAGGCTCTGCTGCCAGGCCCGCACCGCTGCGCCTCTTACCGGCGACCAAGCCGCTGCACGCGCTGCGCCGCCGCGGAGAGGGCTTCTCAGGTGGCGTTTTTTGGAACTACGCCACACAAGAGGCATGGGAGCCTCATTCTTTGATAACGCGTGCCAGTCAGTGGGAGCCTATCCATCAGATTTCTGCTACAAACGACATTGGAACAGGGGAAGGGGCCGTTTGGCGCGGCTTCAAAACTGATGACGTCGGGTCGCTTCATAAGACCAGTTAATGCTCTCGCATTAAAACAGCAGATACCGTAAAATACCGAGCATCCGCCCATTCCATTACTAAGCGCCCATCCCTAAATGTTGAAACATCTGAAAAAATATGCGCAGTAAAAGTATAGATAAATTTTGTCACTTAAGAAGTGCCCATTCTTGCGATTATCTCCAAATTTTGAGTGGGCGCTTCGTCGGTACTTTACTATAAAATAAATCAGTTTTTTTGTTTTTTTTTTAATATAATTTACATAACAAAATCAGGCTTCGTTGTGAATGTTCTGCAACTTGCTGTCACCCAAGTAAAAAGGAACTCCTGCGAAGATTATTTGTGTTCTCCAGTCGTCGTTGCGAAGCCAGGGAAATGCTTCTCACTGCCTTCTTTTGTGATTCACACAGCCATTGTTGTTGTTGCAGATCTGGCAACCTTCGATGGCGTGGACAGCAAAGTAAGCACGCTGGTGGCAGCCGCCAACAGCCACGACAACCTGTGCCGCATGGACCCAGCCTGGCACCCCTGGCTCTAAGCTCCCTCACCTTCAGTCACACCACACACTCGCGCAGGGAAGTTGGCCATCCTGTGTTCGATATAATTCTCTGCCAACCTTATTGCCTCCCCCACCCTGTGTCCCCCATCATTATTTTACTTTTTTTTTTTTTGTGGTCTCGGTCGGCAACAGTTGGGCGATGTGGGGCAAAATGAATCTTGCTGGATCTAGGAGCTCTTAGATTCAGCGGGGATCACAAAGGGATCCCCACTGGATCTGCGGGACACAGCGGTAACATCTTGTACAGACACACCTTTTAAATAAATCTTTGGTTGCTCTTATAGCACTCTGCACCGTGTATTTATTCTTGGAAATTAGAACTTTGGTCGGCAAAATCCCGACACGTCTCTAGCCCAATTGTGCTGGATATCCTTGTGTACCATTTGGGCCTGTATTATGATGTTCGATGAATGTTCCTTCGTAAAACCCAACCGCTGCAATAATACTTGACGACAGTACAGGTTTCTTTATGTACATAAAGTGCATTTCCCTTAGCTTTAAAATCATTCTGAGCAATGGGTAATGCTATCGGGCTTTTATTGTGATCACTGGCGTGTAGATCTTTAGATGGAATTCTTAGGGACTCTGGCATTAAAGGAGCACCTAGCTTATTTTTCCAACCGACCCTGCTCTACAGCAGTGGTTCTCGGCCACTGATGTTTCGCGGACCCCTTGTGGATCGGCGGAGATGACGGAGGACCCCGTTCGTGGTGAGAGGAAGGGAAAGTTTAGGTTAATTATGATAGTGATTTAATAAATGGATATAACTAAGTGGTAATGTGAAGTAGGCATCTCTTATCGACATATACACGAGAAAACTCGCCCCGTAAATTGCAACGTTTCTTTTCTATCGAAGAAAAGACAACTTTTATTGCCGGACTCGGCTGATGAGGCTGGGCTTCGCGGACCCCTAGAATGCCTTCGCGGACCCCAAAGAGTCCGCGGACCCCTGCTTGAGAACCACTGCTCTAGAGGAAAGCGTTCTCACAGTTTAAGCACTATTCTAGCATCTTTGAAGCATGCACTTATGTACACATACCAGTCGAACAGTCCCTAACGCACGCAATATTATTAGCAATACAGTTGAACCTCAATTTAACGAAACCCGATTTTACGAGTTTCCCGATTTAACGAACAAATTCAGATTCCCCGCGCAGCCTATCCCGAAGAATGTCTTTCTCGACTTTACGAAGTTCCCAATTTAACGAAATAATTGGGGGGTCCCGGTGACTTCGCTAAATCGAGGTTCAACTGTATGTAGGTTCCCTGAAATGCTGTCACTGAAAGCAGACGGGTGTTTCTCGAGATCAAAAACCTTGAGAACCCCTAAACCAGTGGAAACAAATTAAAAGTAATTCACACAGCACAAAACAGGTTCTGGAAAACGAAAACAACATTTTCTGTGTTTTATTCTAAAATTTTGGGTGCTTTCAACAATCCAGGAAAGATCTGGAAGCGGGCCACTGTACTTCAAAACTGTGACCGGGTTTCTGCCATGAGTTCACTTATTTCTCGCCAAATCCGACGCAAGAGCTGCCTGCATTACCGTATTTACTCGCATATTGGTCGATACGTCGTATAGGTCGACCCCCTAACTTCGGGATCCCCGAAAAAAAAAAAAAGTTGAAAAATATAATACCGGGATTCGCGTATTGGTCGACCCCCCAGTTTTGATGAGGCGATTTTTGAAAAACAGGTCGACCTATACGCGAGTAAATACGGTATTTTTGCATAGAAAGGTAATGCCGTTTGTCCAATATATCTAAACCTAAATGAACAACAGCAGCAAAATGAAGGACTGCTAAGCATATACGACATGTTGGCCTTAATACACCAGACTTGACGAAAAACACCCAATTGGGGGGGGGGGGGTGACGACTTGTGGCAACATCTGTGGCCGCCACTTACCGTAACAAATAAAAAAACGATGTCCTATAAAAATTTACATAGTAGATGCACTACATTAATGAATTATGCATTCCCCTCTACGACTCTGTTTGCACGTAAGTTATTTATGAAAATAAGAACATGCATTTCGTGTGGCACTCTCGTTAGGGAACGTAACGCTTCTGCACTAGATTATATATAGCGTTTGTCATTGATTGGCACCTAAAAAATGGAACAGCAAGTTTGTAACCAGCATATTGCCGTCAGAACAGACATTTTTGGTAAAACAAAAAACGAGATTGCTGTTGGTTGTCAGCTCCTGATGCAAAAGCATACGAAACGAGCTCGCCAGTCTCAAATGCGACTAAATTCTGCATCCCGAGTAAAACTTCACCTACAAAGAGATCGTAGAACTTCGCAAATGAATTCTAAACATGCCCCAAAGTGTAAAAGTAAAAACTTAAAAGACAAACAGAAAGACTGGTTTAAGTGCAACATCACTGAGTAGGTGTGACTATCGTTTTTCGATGCCCAAAATGAAAGGCCCGTCTTGGGTTCCGCAAAACGTCGGCAATGTTGCATATCCCGCCCCAATTACCCAAGGTCTTTTTTTGTTAGCTTCGGGGCATGTGACATTCCCCGGCATGGAGGTAGGGAGCTTCTAGAGGCAACATGATATCACCAGAGGTGAAGCGAGAAGTGTGGAGGGACACACCCCCAACGACGTACAAAACCAAGAGACTAGGCCCCAAGGGTGACCAAAACAGCTGTTGGCACCAAGTCAGCTCTCCTTTTCGTCCAATAGCGTCTCTTGGTCTTGGTCATCATCTTGAGGGCTAGTCCCTCCACACTTCTGGCTTCACCCCTCGTGGCATCATGTCGCCTCCAGAAGCTTCCTACGTCCATGTTCCTTGGACAGGCCCTTTGTCAAGCTGGCTGACTAAACTTGCCCGACTTTGCCTCCAAGGGGGCCAGTTGTACTATGACCTTAACGGAAGAAAACATTCCTACGTACGATATGACTCTGGGGTGGCGTTTGCCGTCCAAGGAAGCACTGAACGTCTTAGCTGCATCACCAGCAGTTGTCACTCTCGTCCCAGCATTTCACGTTTGACGGTGCTTCGTCATCGTCGTACTGGCCGTGCCGGGCGACAGGACTGGGCGACGGGAAGTGAGCTGCCGTGTTTGCGGTGTTTTCGCGCTTTTGCGGATTGTGGTGTCAATCCCATACGGCCTCAGGTGGTACACGAGGTATTCCATGACATACATCATGTTTGGGCTGATGTAGTGAAACGAAATGGCTGTGTCGCTGCAGCAGTTCATCCCCTGGAAAAGAGAGTACGAAAGGTCTAATGGCCGTCTCGTACAAAACGCCTCAAATTGCGATCTGCCGTTTTTTTTTTTTAATGTCAAAATTAGTGATAGGCCGAACTTTTGCCGAATCGAAAGTTCGGCGCCAAATCTCGGGATTCGGCAAAGCCGAACTTTTGCCTAACTTTTCTAAAGATTCGGCAAAAATACATTGTTACCAAACTTAACGTAGATATTTAGTTTTTTTTCTGGCGAAAAAAGGTTTTGTGTTGTTTTTTTCCTAACCTAAATGCAACATGTCACGCAGATTGACACAGTTATTACTTAATAAGGTGAATTTTAGGGACTCCTTGCAGAAGTGGCGTGACAACAAGGTTGAGTAGAAGCGAGCGTGGCGCAGTCACGAATCATGCGAAAGTTTCGGTTTTGAGGCATCATCTGCGCAAGCCTGCTGTGTGTGTACATTGTTAAAATGAAGGCAATAACGCTGCGTTCTTGCTTTGTCTCAGAGTCACTGTTTTGTGCGCGAAAACGAATGCAACGGTTGCTGAGCCTTCACCAAAAGAGATAATATTATTATTGTAAATATGCACGTTTTTCGATTTGAGTCACTTGACGTCAGCTTTGCATGAAAGTGTGTGTCCCATATTCGCAATGTCTTGTTTTTAACCTTCAAAATGCCAGTTTCTGGTGTAAGGACACACACAAACGTTTAGGAAGATAAAGCGAGTTAGGAATGTCGGATGTGCAATGTCGAGCATTATAGTTCTGTGTTTAGTTATGCAGATACATGAAAATCGCGAAATAACACTAATTGAAAATGCAATATTATTTTGTTTTGAAACACACTACTTCTGAGCCGAAAACAGAATTGTTATAATACCGAGGAGTGCTTTATAGTAATTGTCGGCCAATGTTTCAACTATTTTGTTGCATCACTTGAAAGGTCAAATGAAAATCCCGTTATACAGAATGTACCACACCATTTGTCACTTGCACAGTGGACTACGTAAATTACTGGTTGATCTTCTATTCTTGAGGCAGGAAATAGTGAAGGGAACCACAAGCTCACAAACGCACAGTTACCGTGTTGCCTACTCTCCATACCTCGCCGTAACCGCTGATTGCACTACACTGCACGATGGTAACCGCACGACTGCACGGCGTCCATTTGCAACCCATGGCTCCGTCGTGTTCTCGCGCGTGCGCAGACATTTGCCAAATTTTTGCCGAACTTTTTTTCAAAAGTTTGGCATTTACCGAACTTTGACGAATCTGAAGTTCGGCAGATGCGGTCTATCACTAGTCAAAAGGGAAGTTAGTATGTACCCCTACAAACAATATGAGCTGAAACACCCCATCTGGCCCTTTTTCTGCGCTTGCAGTCCCCAAAAGCTCCGTCATCTCTCAAGTTGTCAAAAAGTCAGAAGTATGGGACCTCCCTCAACCTTGCACTTCATTCCTAGATCGGGACGCGGCTCTCTCAAAAACTGGCAGGTATGCCAAAGAAGCATGAAGGATAGTTTTAGCTCGTATTGTCTGCAATGGTACAACGCCCTGCATAATGACTCGTCCTCCCCATCCTGCTTGTCTCTTGCGCTGTTTTCCCTAAAGTGAGATGTGTATCAACTGTAATAATGCTTAAAAAAAAAAAGCCAGCTGGTGAATATTCACGACGACGAAAACCTGGAGTTGAGGAATACAGCCTCAGGTTTTTGTCGTTGTGTATGCATATCAACAAGCTCAAATAGAGTAAAACCAGGCTAGCAGAGCCGTATATGTAGAGAGTTTGGTCAATGGGAGGCGCGGGCAGAGCCAGGGCGCGCGGCAGACTCGGAAAGAGGGCTTGGCATGCTCTCTTGACCAACCAGAAGCCGAAAAGAATCCCCTAGCGGTGGTAGCGAGAAACAGTTCTGAGCCGATCGATCATCGAAGGTCTCTGTTCGTATATGGTTTTAATAAGTGCGTAAGAGTGAAGTGTAGTAACTCTTTGTGGTTGAAAATAGGGTGCACGTGTTGTTTCATCATGATCATGCAGAAAGATGTAAGAAACGAATGCGCCGCTCAACTCTGTTTTGCGCGGACAGAGTGTGACCGCTCTGACGGCAGATTCCCGGCGCTCGGCGTTTGGCGTAAGGATTATGTCGATCTTTCCGCTAGTCGCACTCTTCCACCATCATTTTAGATGAGTGTGATTGAAACATCACGTGTACCATATTTTCAGCCATCGAGAGTTACTCCAATGCAGTTATCAGGTTTGTTTCTCACGAACACCGCCAGCGTACTATTTCCGGCTTCTGGTTGGTCACATTCGAATTTCTGAAGACGCCCTGGAACACGCCCAGCCCGCTTTCGGCCAATGGCGCCGCTTCTTTTGTCTCCTATACTTCCCAACGAATGGCCAAACTCTCTACATATACGGCTCTGCAGGCTAGGTACTATACTCCGTTTTACCTTACGATAGGCCGCAGCGGACGCCATGAGCCATTTCGACTGATCCAGCGCTGTGAACGCGTCGCACGACTATGCACCCCACATGTCATCGTACCTTTACCGAAGCTCTTGCAACATTTGGACGGCATTAAATTGGCTTCGATGGTTTTTAGCATCCCGAGAAAGGAAATGGGATATATATACATATACGGAAATCGCGAGTGTTCCCTGCCTACCCAATAGATGGTGCCAGTGTGTCTTCCCACGAGAGGTCACGAGAGGTCGTAAGGCATCTGGTCACAAGTGTGCGAACGAGCCTCAAATTCTTGCAGTGAACGATCTATAGCTGCAAACAGACGGCGACTTTGAGTGGAAAGAGCCTGGGAACCCACCTCCTGGAAAGGATAGTATGCATAGGTCCAGAACCAAAAGTCCTTGGGCATCTGGCCGGGAATCAGGTGGCTCTCGGGAACGAGCGGAAAGAAGCGACCACGGCCCATGGCATCGCGTGTGTCCCCCGCGTCGACGCCGAGGTTTTCCAGGCACTTGCCCATCTCAACGTCTTCGGCCCCGCGTCCGTCGGCCCGGCACTTCTTGGGATCGCGCAGCCCGACCTCGATGAGGCGGCGAAGGGCCTCTCGGCTGAGCACGTAGCCCGCTCCACCGCTCATGTAGCCTTGTTTCACGAAGGGCTTGAAGCGGCAGCCGTAGTAGACGGGTTCCGAAGAGTTCTTGTCCAGCAAAAAATACCTGCAAAGACGTGACGACGTGCAACCTTTTCGAGCGTCGAGTAAATTGCATCTAAAGAATATACTTGGAAGTGAAGGACAAATAAGCAAGAAGTTACGTGCTTCGAGTAAAGTAGTAGCTACGCGGGGCACAATGTAGCTGAAGCAGGGTACTATAAATGCAGTGTATTTTGAAAGTAAAGCGCAAGTATCGGTAGTTTTTAAAGCGGTCTTTCGTGATACTCTTTCGTGCCCCAATACAGTGTTTTTCAAGTTGTGGCACGTGTGGCCTTGGAATCGTTTTATGATATAAACTTAACAAGACCAAATTTGGGAAATGCAATTCGAGGTCGGGAGCACTCTCAGAAAGTACTAGAAGTACTAGACAAAGAAATACTTCAACTATAAGTACATGCTCCAGAAAAGTATCTTGAGTAAAGTACAAGTAATTTGAGTACAGAGTACTTTCTCTGCAAAATCACTGAGATAAATCATTTTCCTCAAAAGACATATCTGCTACTATATGTGTAACATTGAATTTTTTACGTTGCCTACCTTCCACCCCTCTGGTTTAGCGAGTTGACGTCGATACAAACCCACATTAAGCCGTATTGGGGACTTCCTGGGCAAACGTTCGACAAATGTTCACCTGAGATTCTCCAGGATGACATAGGTGTCGTCGTCTGCCTTGAGGAACCAGTCTGAGCTGTTGAGGTAGTGGTTGTACACCTCCCGGAATGAAGCCTTGGTCTTGGCCCAAAGTGCGTTGCGCGATTCCTCCACGGAGAGTGCCACCGTGGGCAGGCTTGGGTCCGGCGCGGAGCTCATGAATAGCAGGATATTGCAGCGGCGGCCCCAGGTGGCTTTGACATGCCGCGCCTTCTTGGCATGGTTGGCCGGATTGGTCATCACCCAGCAGAGCACACGCACACGGTTGTGCAGTTCCCTCGCCACCTGGTCCTCACCTGCACGAGCATTCATTCCCATCAGTTCTCTTTCAGCCCGCAATGATTCAAAAGGGTGGAAGTTAGACTTCAACCCTTTTACCCCTCGTCAGTTTACACTCGCAGCACAGAGTGCAGCGAGCTCAAAGTGATGAGACATCTGTTACCATTACATGGTAGACATCTGTAGTACAAACCTGATATGATACGACCGTCTTAGCGAAATTCTCAGGAGAAACTGAAGGGACATTTCAATGATGAGCCAGGTTCACTCGGTGCACCCTTGAAGAACCTGACACTCAACTGCTTGGTCACTGCAACTTCTGCCACCAACTGTCACCAACGGCATAACAGTTGTATCTCAGTCAGAGCCGTTTGCACAGGAAGAGCTTGGAGGCAGTCTTTCGAAGGTGCCGGTGGTCTAGCAACCACGGCTGGGTGTCTGACAACCAGGGAACGGCATGTTCCCTTTGCCACCTTGTGTTCTAATTAATCTTCAACTTTGAAACTCTAACCAAGCTTTATTACAAAGCAAAAATCCCGACGTTTCGGGACCAACTCGGTCCCTTGATCACGGGTGACTGTTTTTGTCCTGCGGAACGGCCTGCCCACGAACCCGAACACCCCCGGGTGTTTTCCGGATTATCCCTCTTAACCCCGAAACGTAGCTGCTGGGAAGGGTCCCCGTCGACCGGTTTATGTTGCCACGTGTGCATTGAATATGCCAAGACTCCAACAGAAGGCGCCTCCGCCAGTTTTTCTCCGTTCCGAGGATGGAGCTGTTGTCAAGGTCGATGGAGTGGTTCGTCTTCTCGACGTGTTCAGCCAGCGCGCTTCCCTCCACATTTTTCTTCGCGATGTCGTAGCGGTGGCGCCGCAGGCGCTCTGGATAGTTTTTCGTTTCCCCAACGTACGACGCAGGGCAGTCACCGCAGGGAATTTTATAAACCAGTCCCTGTGCCCTCTCCCTCGGGGGGGCGATCCTTTGGCAGGGGGAGAAGGCCGCCGATGGTCGAGACTGGCTTGTGTGATACCGCTATGCCGTACTGTCGCAGTACTCGGGCGAAAACCTCGCTTGTGCCCTTGATGTAGGGTACACACACGCGGGTGGAGGGAGGGGGGGCATCTTGGGTTGAAGGGGTGCGTCGAATTTTTTTTATCGTGCTTTTTACAAATCTAGCTGGGTAGCCATTCTTCCGCAGGTCTTGTTTGATCGTTTCGATCTCTTTTCGAAGGGTCTCCTCTGATGTGCAGATCGTGATCGCCCGTCTGACGAGTGCCGAAGCCACGGAAGACTTATGTGTCCTAGGGTGGCTTGAGGAAAAGTCTAGGTATCGGCCTGTGTGTGTCGGCTTCCTATACACACGGAAGTCCAGGCGGCCGGACTTTCTCACTGCACAGACGTCTAGGAAAGGGAGACAACCGCATAGCTAACCATGATCATCTCTCTAAAAGATAACAGTCCATTCTGTTATCACAAAGTCGGCTTATGCGGAGCGCGAGTTTGTCTGCTTCTTTTGAAGGGGTTGTGGTGACATCAGGGCCCGTTAGCTCGAAGTGCTAACCGCGGCTAAAGTTAGCCGCAGTACCTAGGAGAGGGATTTTGAAATCACGTGACTGGCTCGGTAGGGATGCGGGGAAACATGGCGGTGCCCCGGTAAGTGAGCGCCGCTCGCTTTGGAACTAATATGTCATTGTAGCTGCGATATCGGGCGCGTTAGTCAGCAACAAATGGTGCAGGAGGTTTTCGCTTTGCCTTACCTCACTTAAATCGCAAAGCATGAGCAACGACCTCGCCGCATTTTTAGATAGTCTTTCGATTCTGGATATTGATAGCACACAAAAGCAGACAGCGTCCCAATAGATCTTTTTCTAAATTTCCCAAGCACCGAGTTGCATGCTACTGGTGTATTTCCACGCGTTGCACGTGCTGGCATCTGCAGTAGTAATTGTTCTAAAGCAAAAAGTCTAAAACAAAAAGTCTAAAGCAAATTTTGCCTTGCACGCGCTCGTCAAAGCCTTATTATGATTATTTACTTTGAATCTTTTATAAGAGGAAGGCCAGCGCGCGCGGACCGTAGGGTTACACTTCCAGCGTTCTCCTCGATGCTTGGGTAATATAGAAAAAGGTCTATTGGGACGCTGTCTGCTTTTGTGTGCTATCGATACCCGGCCGATTGAGTCAAGGCAGTCCGCTTTCCAAAGACGCTGCCATGCCGACAATTATCGCGTTCATTTAGGCTTAGGAATGGCCAGAATCGAGACTGTCTAACAAATGTGGCGAGGTCACTGCTCATGCTCTGCAATTTAAGTGAGGTAAGGCAAAACGAAAGCCTCCCGCACCATTCGTTGCTGACTAACGCGCCCGATATTGCAGCTACAACGACATATTAGTTCCAAAGCGAGTGGCGCTCACTCGCCGGGGCACCACCAAGTTTCCCCGCATCCCTACCGAGCCAGTCACGTGATTTCAAAATCCCTCTCCTAGGTACTGCGGCTAACTTTAGCCGCGGTTAGCGCTTCGAGCAAACGGGCCCAGAACGCCGAGCTATAATTGGCTCCAATTGAAAGATAGTGGGTAGACCTCAAGGTAGCTTGCTTTCAGGACTACTCCAGTCGGAGCTCGGCGTTCTGACATCACCAAAGCCCCTGCAAAAGAAGCAGACGAACTTGCGCTCCGCATACTAGCGGGCCGTAGGCTTTGCCCACTGGCCAAACACTGTCAGTGTAAAAAGGCAACGATCTCAGCATCAGCACATGCTCTCTCTGAAGAGGTCTATTGTCGCACCCCCACACTCACTGAGGCCCCCTCTGCTCACCTGTCCTATGGAACTCCTCCTGGGAGCCGTGGACGCTTAGCGGACGGTCGGGGCCCGCCGCGTCGACGCCGTCCCAGTGCGAGTGAGCGTCAGTGGCGTACAGAGCTGGCACGGCTGCCCGCGACAGCCGCGATAGCCACGTCGACCGGTGGTCCATGGACAGCACGCTGAGCAGCAGGTAGGCGCAGCCGAAGCCGAACGTCATCCCCGTGCCCAGCGTGAGTAGGAAGCTGCGGGACACGCTCCGCGTCGGGGGCCCTGGCTGATCCGACCACGGCGTCATGTCCGCCGCTCTGCCGGGCACTGCAAGCGAATTCGCAGACCGTGGCCGATCATCTCGGCTTCTTGCGGAGCAGTCGGTGCAGCAAGGTGGTAAGTTGGGCTAGTTGGTGATCATTGTACACGATGAAAAACGGCACTCAAAGGGACAGGACAAAAGGAAAGAACATGAGACAAACATGCATTGTTTGTGCTGCTTCTTCCTTTTGAGTGTTTTTCCATTATGCTCATAAGTGCACATGAACGGGAGGATGGCATTCAGAACCCCTCAGCAGAATTTGCTCGTCTCTGCCTGTGGGAAAAGCCTCTTGGTGTAAAAAAAAAAGAGGCCATCAAGACTACCAAAAGTGGAACAATGCGTTCTCGTAGTCTGCTCACTAATTTCATGTGAAGAGCCCTTTTTATAAAATAGGTTTGGCATTTTTGTAACTCCAATCACTTGAGGTATATTTTTTTTTTTTTTATCTTCAAGATGCTAGGGCCCTTAATATTCAAAGTGATCTTCAGCAGACAAACCATTTTGCGTGTAAACTGCCGTCAATCTAAATTATTTGTTTGTTTCTTTTGGTTTCTACTCTGAAGGGTCAAACCATGGTTCGTATCTAACCCACAAAAAAGATTACATAGAAAACAAAACACATTTTTACCTCTGCTTCCTCTCCTTCACACACTAACGAAGGATGTGGAAGCACTTCACTGCTGCAAATCGGCCACATTACAGCAAACTGATGTATTAATTTTAAGTTGCTTCTGCTGCATCCAAAAGTTCCAGTAAATCTAACTTCAATCAATGGCTTGAAATATATGATTGTTTTCTATAATGAAATCTCTTTTTTTAAGGTTATTCCAACCATGATCAATCAAAAGCTGTCGGAGTACCATTCACTGTCATATCCTCATCTCAGTCTTTATAAGTCTGTTTCCTCTAAACAGCATGCATTGTTAAATGCATGACGAAAATAATCGCTGGAGAAGGGGAACAAAAGGTACAAAGGACAAACACAAACCTCCAAACATAGCCTTGTTGCTCTCCACATATAAAAAGGACAGTGTGCAACTTTACTGAATTCCAGAGCGCAGCTGTCTATGTTTGACCGCATTATCATGGCAAGAAGCTCCACATTAAACAAGATCGTTAGAGTCGACTGAAATTTCCGCGTAAAATAAACTCGCTCTTATGCAACAAAAAAAAAAAAAAGGGCGATATGCATGGGAGCGCGCAGCCCCTCTGAAGTGTTGGCTTCACCACAACGCATCGGCAAGGCCTTTTCCAAAAGCAACGCCTTCGCAGCGCCGAACACTCGAGGCATTTTCGTTTCTGCGCCTTTCCGAGCTCACACAGATGTTTCATCTTCGGGAATGGGTTCGTGTCAGGGACAGTCCATACGCCTAAAGGGCTGACATAACCCGAAGACAACGGCGATCCATCTCGAATCGACGGGCCGATGGCCCGTGCCCCTCACGCCTCGCGACTAGCAACTAACTCCGCTTGACGCCGGCCAACTGGCACTGGTTGAAAGTCACTGACCTGCCTATTTTCGGCGATGGCCCGAACGTCTCAGGTAGGCAGGCAGGCAGATGTTCCGAGCTAACGCCCCGGGGATATCCCCGGAGGGAACATGATGCTACCAGCGCAGTCGGCGCAGCTCCGGCTTCAGTGTGTTGGGCTACGCATGCGACAGCCGGCCCGGGATGTTGGATCAACATGGGATGCTACTGCGTTCGGGCACATCCCGGCTAGATTTGTTGAGAAGGGGCAGAGGCGGCGCACGGCTTTCGGTATCTCCGCGGTTCCGGCGTCCCCAACAGCTTTTGCGTTCGCCGTTCACAGATGCAGCGATGAGGATTTGGGCGAAACTGAGCGACTGAGTCAACTGAGTTGCGAACTTTGTCTAGCGCGAACCTGAAGGTTCGGTTGGTTCGGTGCAGGTCGAACAGGATTCGGTGAGATTCGTAAAAGAAAATAATGACAGAATGTTCCTTTCATTAGCTTACATTTTTGTTTGATATGTGAAGTATTTGTTTTAAGGGAAAACTTTGTTAATTCTCTTGGTTTCATACTTTTGGTTTCATAATGTTGGGTTGTCTGGCAACCCCCAAGTAATAGAGTAGTGATACGTAGTGACTAGACCGACTAGACCTGTGCTATGCCTGTGCGCCGCCGCGCCGCGCCGCCGCCGCCGCCTGTTTTGCTCTCGCCGCCCTGCGCCGCCGCCGGGTTCCCCAGATCCAGCACGCCGCCGCCGCCGCCGCACAATAAATCCGGCGCGCCGCCGGCGCCGCCATCTTTTTTTTTTTTTTTTTGTTTTTTTTTTGCTGCTTCTATATGAGTTTTACCTACTATATTGTGCATAAAAAATGAATAGATTGTTTTGCCTTTCATTTTTACTCCTGTAAATATATCAATAGATGTAGAAGTTCCATAAAAACCGGAGACACAGAACAAAACAAAAAAACGGACAGAACAACAAGTCTCAAACTCAAACACCGTCTAGTTTATTTGAACAACGAACGTTGTTACATATACCCCAAAACCCTCACCACCAAAAAAGAGACACCTCCCCTTCACTAGGTCACCGAGAGCCGGACACTCAGACAGAACCCATATGATTCATGATTCAGACATATCTAAATGATTTACACCACCTTGATGACCTCGCTTGAGGGCTGACCAGCCACATGCGATAACAGGCAACTCCAGCTCCAGCACAGCCCTTACAATTCTGAGAAAACAGACACAAAAAAAACGCTTCATATCACTGTCCAATGCCAAGGACGGTGTGCTTGCTCAATTACCAGAGGTCAAAATACGCATGGTCTCCCTCAGAACTCTCCTACCATTGCTGATTGTTGGGCGAGTGTGTATTGTGCGTGAGAAAACATGATTGCGCTTTAAGACATAGACAGAGGAAGAACACCACAGAGCGCTTACTTTCAACTGATTTAATTCAAGCGCCTCAGCGTAGATACACACTGCGTCACCACACCACATCGCAACCAATCCGTGGCCCCGCCGCGGACTGCAAATAAGCTATCTCTTTTTCTGCAAAGTCAATTAAAACCACGCATGACTGCAGGTGCGAACCATTATTTGCTTCCTCCACTGTTCTCGCTAGGCACACAAATAAGACTGTTAGAGAGATAATTGAGGCGGACGCCATCATTAGTTCCGGCACGTGTTGTGCACGTGTTTTATTCTGGCACCCCTGAGGACTACCCCGAAAAGGAGGTTAGGGTTAACCTTTCTAATTTGTGCTGAGCTTTAAAAACTAAATTTACACCGAACCTCTCTGCCGTTGATATAAAGTTATGAGAGATTCCAAGGTAGTAAGGCACACACACAACATTCCTTACAACCGGTTTTTTTCCACAGGAGCCGGATTAAACGTACGTTCCTTACACCTTGAGCACAACTGTAACAATCCCATCCTGGTGTAATTGTTCAAATGGTTGTGAACGAAAATTGAGTTTGGCAGAAGGTGTTGTCGGTTTTTATCTAGAAATGCCTGACAGGAGTGGAGCAACAGCCCATTGTCACTCAAAAACTCTGAGCAATTGATTGAAATATTGAATCCGTATCATGGGAGAAGGTGCGATGTGACAACTGTAGACATCAAGGACTTACGTTACTCTATGGATAAGTCGGAGCTGTTAATAAGGGGCAGGAGGTGGTGTGATGATAATCTAGTGAAGCTGCAGTCTGCCAATGGGATTGATGTAGATAGTTTTATCAGCATTCTGGAGTTTCATTTAGAGTCCACTGCCGTAGACTTTGATGGTTCTCTTTTTATTCAAAAACAGGGTGTGTGTATCGGGTCGTGAATTGCTCCAGTGTTGTCCGAGATTTTTTTTAAAACGAGACTTATGTACACGTTGACGCGGTTGTGCGGTCCTTGTCGATTGGACCGCAAAACCCTGCCATCGCAACAGTCAAATTAAGTACTTATAGACCTACTGTTGCACACGGAAAAGGGCCTGTGCTGGATGTACGGCAAGGAATCAGCCAAGCCTCTGTTGGCAGCTGAGAGTTGTCACTTGAAAATAGTTAAGAGTGGTGTAACTGCGTCTGCGATGGATAACGCTTGTAAAGAATCCCGTATGTTTTGGGTTGGTGAGGTAGTTGAGTTGCAAAATTGATGCGTCGTTTGGAAGCGGGCCATCACAATGATGTAATTGTCAGAGTTGTGCTCAAGGTGCTGAAGGTTTAATCCGGCTCCCGTGGAAAAACCGGCTGTGAAGAATGTCGTGTGTGTGCCTTACTACCATGGAATCTCTCATAACTTTATATCAGTGGCGATTGGTGTAAATTTAGTTTTCAAAGCTCAGCACAAATTAGAAAGGTCAACCCCCTTTCTGGTGGTCTTCAGGGGTGCCAGAAAAAAACATAAGAACCCAGATGTAACTTTTCAGGCAGGAGTGGTGTAGGGACCCTCTCATTTCGTCGAAACTCGTTTCGTGGAATTAATTATCGCAGACAACATTTCATGGGCACACGTTTCACGGACACACGTTTTGGCGAATTGCACGCTGTAGGGACATCTCGTCACGCGTGTATCATATATTAGTAAGGGTTCTGATGGAGTTGCCTGTTATCGCATATATGGCTGGTCAGTCATCAAGCGGGGTCGTCTGGGTGGCAGGTTAGTGTGACGATGAATCTTTTGGATCTGCCTGAATGTCCGGCTTTCAGTGACCTACACTCTAAAAAAAGGGTGTATTCTTACACCTTTTGTCCCATATAAGACACCCCAAAACTTCAGACGTCGATCTGACGGTACTAACTTTCACGAGAGGCTTGATAGCCGTGTGGTACAACTTATTAAAATAGCTAATGTACGTTTTACTGACTACAAAAAAAAAATAATAATAATAATAATCGGGGCTGCGAAACATCAGTGTTTTCTTTCTGTGGTCTTTGATACGTACTTTAGCTATTTAATCAGTTATATCGCTCCGTTATCAAGCCCCTTGTAAAACGTGTCGCCGTCTGTGCGCTGTGCGTCAAACTAAAGTTTTGGGGTGCGTTATATGGGACAAAAGGGTGTATGGTGATACCCTTTTTTTTAAAGAGTTCTTTTTTGGTTGTGAGGGCCTTGACGTATATATAAGAGCGTTCATTCCTTATTCAAATAAACTGTTTATTTTTTTATTTATTTATCAAAGTACCCTCAGGGCCCGAAGGCATTACAGAGGGGGAGAGCACATACATGAAACAAAGATGTTCGTATACGCGACGCGAAGTCTTACGAAATTTGGTTGTCGGAGAAAAAAGCGATGATTTTGGCACTGGAACGTGTAAGTCTTGATAACATCTACATAGTAGAATCCAGCTACATATATCTTAATTCTCCACATAAAGGTGGAAATTAGTAATGGTTCGCAAGGAGTCGGACTCTTTTTACTAGAGTTCTTGATGTGAAAACGGGTATAAAACCTGTGTTTGAGACTTGTTGTCTTGTGCGTTATTTTTATCGTTTCGTGTCTCCCGTTACTATGGAAGTTCTTCACCAGCTCGCCTGTGTCTTTAAAGTGTTATAACGGAATGAACGGTTTTGTAGACCGCAAAACGATTTAAATGAAATTTTTGTGAAATAATTTGATACAAAAGGGCTATATTCGCGTCCGTTTTTCAGGCTTCTTTCAAACGTATTTTATTTTGATCCACACGCCTGGCTTGTTCCTGTCACATCGAGTTTCTGGGGGTCCTTCTTTCTCGTTTCCACGCCGGGATCCAGCATCGGGGGTCGAAGTCGAGCCCCCATCCGGTCGAGTCGGGGAGGCTCTCCTTACCGGTCTTTGCCGCCAAAGTATTTGCTTACACTCCCGAGCTCAAAATCCTTGCACCCTCGCAGATTTTGTAGATGTTGTCATGATCCTCTGTTATGCGTCTAGCCATCGTGGAGGGCAGCGTCGGCGTGATGCGCTTGTAATCGGAAGATCTGCTGCGGAGCAAGGCGAGTTGGTTGAAATCGACGTCAATCGCTGCAGGTTGTTCGTGAAACAAAAAAAAAAAAAAAAAAAAAAAAAAAAAAAGAGCTATTGTGCGGCAGTTTGACGGCAATCCGGTGTGCCTTGTGGGGCAAACCCGGAAATGGTGTAGGTTTGATTGTTCACGTTGGTGATGAATTAAGTGTCCATGGAAAAGCAGGCCAAGTTTCGAGGAAGGAACGCCGTTCGTGTACCATACCCTGTCCCTGACCCTGTATGGAGCATGGTCGATATTTTGCATCGTAGGAACGCTTCATGCTGTGAAGGTAAGCGAGGTTCGCGTTTGCAGCGTCGCAGTTCGCGCGGGACGTCGCCGACCTCGTCGGGAAGCGGGGAAAATTCCATTGCTCGACGTGGGACAAAGTTGAACAGGAGTTCGAACGGTGATGTCTGGAGTCCGGCGTACGGCTGCTGGTTCACTTGAAAGCTGGTTGCCTGGAGATAATCGCTCCAATGGCCGATGTCGCCGTTGACGTTCTTTCGCGCAGACATGGAAGGATTTTTCCGTTGACGCGTTCGACAAAGCCGTTAGCTTCGGGGACGTAAAGTACTGTTAGGGATGCTCTGAATGTGCCTGTCGGCGAAGTACCGCGAAGCCGAACGAGAGGTTAGGACCCTGTCGTTGTCGGTGATGACGGCTTGCGGCGTATCAAATGAGAGTACGAGTTCTATAAATCGAAGGACGTGCTCGGTCGACTTGTTAGGCACGGGGCGTGCGACAAGCGCGTGGTGGGGTGGAACGCGGTGATAAAATACCTGTTGTCGTCGGTCCTCATCTTGCGGAATATCTTGCGCCGCGGCTGCCAGCCGGTGACATATTCTCTTACAAACGAGAATAAACAAGACGCCGAAGTACTTGATTCCTCTAACA